AGAGCACAGGCTCTTAAAACAGGCTGGTTTGGGTGTGGGTGGGTGTTTGCAATTTAACCTGGGGACATTTCTGCGACTCTTACCTCCTGCTCCCAAACCCGAAATGGCATCTCTGCTTTTTCGAAACCCGACTAAGCCCGTTTGCCCGTTTATAGAGAAAATGGCGGGGGTTCCTATCGGCGCCCTTCTCCTTCACTTGCTGAGAGACTGAGGCAATGAGTTAAAGCGGACGGGGTGTGTGCGTGTGTCGTTGTTAAAAACATACACACCACAACTACAATCACCACCAGCAAGGCCTGAGGAGGCAACCCGAGTCAACTCGGCGGGACTCGAGGCGCACAAACGAGGCGGGAAAGCCGGGCAGGACTCGGATCTAGGCGCCCCAGTGCAACGTTTCCATACAACATTCCCTTCTTTTCCCCGCTTTTCGTCGGTGTTCCTTTAAGTATTTATTGGGGGACGGGGAGAGGGGTTTTTTTTTCCCCCGCCGGGAGAGGAGAGAGGAGGAGGATGGTGAGGGGATGAGGAAGGCCGCGACGCGCCTCTCTCTCGCTCTCTTACTCGCTCTCTGGCCAAGCTGGGGCCACGAGCTCGTTTCGAACGGAGGCAACGTTCTGCGGCCGTTGGAATGGCGGTTGGAGTCACAACGGAAGGAACCGAGGCGCGGGGACTGTGAGAGAGCGAGAGACCTTCGGTGTGTGGGTGGGATGGGGGGGTGGCACTTGTGTGCATATCCTCCAACATTTATCCCGTGAAAATAGGGGCATCCTATTCCATCATCATCTTATTATTATTATTTGTTAAAATCATTTTTATTTGATTTTACAAATATAAAGTTGTAACAATCCAAATGCATTTCCATATCTAGAGATTACTCTGAATCTCAGGACTCCCCCCCCCCCCTTCATGGGTCCTATTGTCAACATTTTCAACGGCATATTATTGCATAATCCGTATTTTGTATTTGACCATATTGTCCATGGTAACATCATCATTTTATTATTTATACCCCATCTGTTTGACTGGGTTGCCCCAGCCACTCTGGGCGGCTTCCAACATATATAAGGAGGTAGGCTTTTGGGGTGTAAATATGGGTGTCAGGCAGGAATTTTGCTTAAATGTCTGGGAAAACTTGGATGGATGGAAAAAACCAGCAGAAAGCGTTCCAAAAGCTTAAAAATCACTATTTGGGGGTGTTAGTTATCCCAAAAAAAGCTCAACAATTTTGGGTTTATTCCCAAAACTTTGGCAGTTTCCTTAAAAAAGCTCAACAACTTTGCGTGTGGTGTCAGGAATTTTACTTTTGAAATATGGGAACCATAAAAAACAGAATAAAACATTAAACACTTTTTTAAAAAAAACTTCCCTATATGGGGCTGCCTTCTACAGGTTGTATAGTTACTTATCTCCTTGGCTCCAGCTTGCATTACTCCATACCATCCAACATTTCTCCAATGAAACTAGGGATGTCCTATTCCGTAATCATCATCTTTATACCCCACCCATCTGACTAGGTTGCCCCAGCCACTCTGGGTGGCTTCCAAAATAAATAAAAACATAATAAAACATTAAACTTCCCTATACAGGGCTGCCTTCAGGTGTTTTCTAAAGACTGTATAGTTACATCTCCTTGACTCTGGAGTCACATAACTCCATACCCTCCAACATTTCTCCAGTGAAAATAGGGGCATCTTAAGGAAAAGTGGGACATTCTGGGATCAAATCAGAGACCGGCACGATTTCTGTAAATCTGGGACAGTCCCTGGAAAATAGGGACACTTGGGGGTCTCTGTGACCTCGTATGTTTGCAGAATTTAGCCAGAGGAAAGCCCCACCAGCTTTGTTGGCACTTTGAGAGAGGGCAAAAAATTGCCCCCACCCCAAATCCTTATTTTCTATATAATTCCTTTTGGTACAGTTGCTTTTTTAATGGATCTTGTCAACAGGCTCGTTGAAACTTCACATTATTACAAAAACAGTAGTAGTAGCTGTTTTGCACTCATCTAAAAGGAAAACTTTCATCCTAAACCTCCACTGCTTTGCAGCTCTACTCATACATTAGGCAGCTTCGGAAATAAACCCCCAAGGAAAAATCCAGACCCGCTGCCTTGCAGTACATATTTAGGCAGGAAGAACCAGCTGCACAAATGTAGAGCAACTTTTAATCTCAGAGTTGTGAGTTCAAGCCCCACATTGGGCAAAAGATTCATTCATTGCAGGGAGTTGGACTAGATGATCCTCATGGTCACTTCCAAGTCTACAATTACACAATTCTATGAAATATAAGACAGGGCCATCTGGCTTCCAGTAGTATGTGTGAAAAGGATCTAGGAGTCTTAGTAGACCACAAGCTTAATATGAGTCAACAGCAGGCTTCCTCAACCTCAGCCCTCCAGATGTTTTTGGCCTACAACTCCCATGATCCCTAGCTAGCAGGACCAGTGGCCAGGGATAATGGGAAGTGTAATCTCAAAACATCTGGAGGGCTGAGGTTGAGGAAGCCTGGTCAAGTGTGATGCAGCAGCAAAAAAAAAAAAAAAAAAGCTAATGCTATTCTATCCTGCATCAACAGAAGTATAGTGTCAAGATCAAGGGAAGTCATAGTACCGCTCTGTCCCGCCTTGGTAAAACCACACCTGTCGCAGTGTCCAGTTCTGCACAGCAGTTTAAGAATATTGATAAGCTGGAACATGCGCAGAGGAGAGCAACCAAGAAAATCAAGGGTCTTGGAACCAATCTTCATAGAGAAACAATTGAGGGAGTTGGGAATGTTTAGCTTGCTCTAGAGGCTAGGACCCAAACCAATGGATTCAAGTTACAAGGAAGGAAATTCCGACTCAACATCAGGATGAACTTTCTGACAGTAAGAGCTGTTCAACAGTGAAAGAGATTCCCATGACAGGCGGTGGACTCTTCTTCCTTGGAGGTTTCTAAGCAGAGGTTGGATGGCTGTCATGGTTGCTTTAATTGACATTCCTACATGACCCACAAGGTCCCTTCCAACTCTAGAATGCTAGGATCCCTGCAAGACAGGTGCATTTAAATTTGTGCAGCCCATATGAGGAACTGAAATTGCAACAACATGATTGTGGTTGTAATAAAAAAAAAATAAACGTCTCTTAGGGAGTAGGCCCCCACTGAACACAGGACTTCTGCGAAAATAGGCACAGAATTGCACTGCCAAACAGCAAATGAAGAATTTTTGATTGAGTTTCATCTATCACACATACCCATCAGTCCAACCAGGACAAAACTTGGCATAACCTCAGTGTAGCTAAACATGTGATAACCGCAGCCATTATCACATGCACAGATGACAGCTTCATAAGGGGGTTAAAGGCATGCAGAAAAGAAACAGCCAAGGCACATTGAGTAGACATCCCCACCTCTCTGGTGTATACAGCAACGTGCAAATGTGGCTTGAAATGCTGGAGATGACCAAACTGTTTTTTAAAGACTTAGATTTTTAGTTAGGATGTTCTACACCTTCCGCATCACAGATCCAAGATACTTATAATAAACCAATGTCCCCTAACACATGTGAAGCACTACCATGTTCACAATCATGTGGTTAAAGACTAGCAGAACGGACTTTTTTTAAGCTCAATTGGTATGTGGTGCCGATAATGCCAAGGTTGCAGGTTCAGTGCTCGTAAGGGACAGCTGGATATTCCTGCATTGCAGGGGGTTGGACTAGATGATCCACAGGGTCCCTTCTAACTCTACAATTCTATGATTCTAACAAACACCCAAGGATAGAGAACTGCAGATCCTCTACTCAAGCAAGCCTAGCCTGTGGCAATAACCAAAAAACCTATCTTTCAAATGTGGCCCAGAATGTCATACCCAGATTCTGAAGTCATGGAAAAGGCAGTGAAATCTGATGATGTTTGGTGTGTCTCATGCAGACCTAGATTACTGCGGAACTGATTAGCGACATAAAAATCTTTTGCAACATAACGACTGCAATGACTACTTTGCCATTGTTCACAAATCAGCTTCATTTGATTGCTAATGTGCATTTCTCAGATGGCTGTATTTTTTTCTTTTTAAAAAAGGCTGTATTTTCTTAAAAACAGCCACATGCTGCAATGTTAGTTCACTACTCTAATTTGAAATATTAAAACTGGATCTTGTGAACCTTATGCTGAGTGCAACAGTCCACAGATTAATTTTTCAAAGTGCTACACCAGTGAAGACTCACCAAGAACTCAGCTAGATAAAGATATATGTGTTGTATATGCATTAGGTAAAAAGGTAAAGGACCCCTGGACGGTTAAGTCCAGTCAAAGACGACTACGGGGTTGAGCTTCAGGCCGAGGAAGCTGGCGTTTGTCCACAGACAGCTTTCCGGGTCATGTAGCCAGCATGACTAAACCGCTTCTGGCGCAACGGAACACTGTTGATGGAAACCAGAGCGCATGTAAACGCCATTTATCTTCTGGCCGCAGTGCTGCCTGTTTATCTACTTGCACTGGCATGCTTTTGAACTGCTAGGTTGGCAGGAGCTTGGGCAGAGCAACAGGAGCTCACCCCATCATGGGGATTCAAACCGCCGACCTTCTGATCAGCAAGTCCAAGAGGCTCAGTGGTTTAGACCACAGAACCACCTGTGTCCCGTATATTCATTACAACACTGTGACAACAGATGGCACTGTGGAGTTTCATTTTTGCCAAGCGAGTTTCTCGTGCAAGGTTTACAATGCGTTTAACTGAAACACTTCTTTGATGTGTCTAGATCCAGCCCAGGTTTCATGTTTGAATATACATCTGAATATTATCTGTAGAGCTCCTAATTCAGCAAAACAATCCCCAAGCAGAAGCAGATTCTGCACATGCTTCAGTGGCTTTGAGTAATAGCCATCTCATAAATTTTGAGAAATTAGAATATGAAATAACACAAGAGAAATACAAATTTTTATTTGGATGTATCCACATATTGTTCACTTGTAGAAAATGCATCTGTAAATAGAGCCATACACTTTTTTTTTTTTTTTTTTAAAGCAATTTATTGGGTTTTACAATAAAAATAAACATAATAAACAATATAACATTTGTCTTAACATAGTTTCACATTTTCTTTGGACTTCCTCACATCCCCCGCTCCCACTTTCATCGTTATAACATTTTGTCAGCAATTTATCATCTTATTTAAATTCTTATATCTCTTCAATGTTTCATAATCTTATAGTTCTCATAAAGAGTTAAACTTTCACAGTCTTACTTATTTTCTTAAAAACTTCTAAGTTAAGTGGTGCTCAGTTATTTAGTCTAGCATCTTATTTAGCATTCACTCAAATCACAATATTTTTGTAGATAGTTCTTAAATTTCTTCCAATCCTCCTCGATTCTCTCTTCTCCCAGGTCACGGATTCTGCCGGTCATTTCAGCCAGTTCCATGTAGTCTATCAGTTGCATCTGCCATTCTTCCAGTGTGGGTAAATCTTGAGTTTTCCAATGTTTTGCAAGAAGTATCCTTGCTGCTGTTGTTGCATACATAAAAATGTCTGGTCCTTCTTTGCCACCCCTTGGCTGACAATACCCAGAAGGAAAGCCTCTGGTTTCTTGGTAAAGGTATATTTAAATACCTTTTTCAATTCATTATAAATCATTTCCCAGAACGCCTTCACTTTAGGGCAGGTCCACCAGAGGTGGAAGAACGTTCCCTCACACTCTTTACATTTCCAACACTTATTATCAGACAGGTGGTAAATTTTTGCAAGTTTAACTGGGGTCATATACCATCTATAAATCATTTTCATTACATTTTCTTTCAGAGCGTTACATGCAGTAAATTTCAATCCATTACTCCACAACTTTTCCCAGTCCTCAAACATAATATTATACCCAATGTCCTGTGCCCACCTTATCATAGCCGATTTAACCATTTCATCTTGTGTATTCCATTCCAACAGCAAGTTATACATCCTTGAAAGTACCTTAGTCTTTGGTTCTAACAATTCTGTTTCTAATTTCGATTTCTCCACCTGGAACCCTAGTTTCTTATCATTTTTAAAAACTTCTTTAATCTGAGCGTAATGTAACCAATCTCGCACTTTGTCTTTCATTTTCTCCAAACTCTGCAATTTCCAATTGTCTCCATCTTTTCTAGTATTTCCCAATATTTTGGCCATTTAGCCTCCATATTGGGTCTTTTCGGCCTTAGCTTCCAAAGGTGAAAGCCACCTTGGTGTTTTATTTTCCAGCAAGTCTTTATATTTTGTCCAGACATTATACAATGATTTTCTGACAATATGGTTCTTGAAGGCCTTATTTGCTTTAACTTTGTCATACCATAAATATGCATGCCATCCAAAAACATTATTAAACCCTTCCAAGTCCAACACATCAGTGTCTTCAAGAAGTAGCCAGTCTTTTAGCCAGCAGAACGCTGCGGCTTCATAATACAACTTTAAGTCCGGCAGGGCAAAGCCCCTCTTTGTTTTACATCAGTTAATATCTTAAACTTGATTCTGGGCTTTTGCCCTGCCAGACAAACTTCGAAATATCTCTCTGCCACTTCTGAAAGCACTCCGTTTTGTCCAAAACCTGAAGTGTTTGAAATAAAAACAACATCCTTGGCAATACATTCATCTTAATAGCAGCAATTCGGCCTAACAAAGAAAGTTTCAATTTTGACCAACTGTCTAAGTCTCTCTTAATTTCTGTCCAACATTTTTCATAGTTATCCTTAAATAGACTTAGATTTTTTGCTGTTATGTTTACCCCTAGGTATTTTACTTTTTTAACCACATTAAGTTCCGTCTCATTCTGAAACCGTTCTGACTCTGTATCAGTCAAATTTTTCCCCAAAACCTTAGTTTTCTGTTTATTTAATTTAAATCCCGCCACCCGACCAAAATCATTAATCAATTGTAATACTCTTTTCGTACTGGGCTCTGGCTTCTGCAAGGTCAAAACCAGGTCATCTGCAAAAGCTTTTAGTTTATATTGTTTCTGACCAACCTGAATTCCTTCCACCAACCGATCCCCTCTAATCATGTTCAGTAGCACTTCCAGAACCGAAATAAATAACAAAGGGGAAATAGGGCAACCTTGTCGTGTCCCTTTTTCAATTTTAAACTCTTCTGTAACCACATTATTAACTATCAGTTTAGCTTTCTGTTCTGAATATATCGCCTCAATCCCATTCTCAAAACCCCGTCCCACTCCCATCTCTTTTAAATTTCCCATCATAAATTTCCAGGAAATATTGTCAAAGGCCTTCTCCGCATCTATAAAAATTAAAACTGCTTTTGTATTTATATCTGTTTGCAGAAGTTCCAAGATGTCAATAATGTTCCTTGTGTTAGCAAACAGATGTCTACCTGGGAGAAAACCGGCCTGGTCCTTATGAATTACTTCATTTAATACTTTTTAAATCTACTTGCCAAAATGTCTGCAAATATTTTGTAATCCACATTTAAAAGAGAGATGGGACGGTAGTTCTTCAGTTGTGTCTTTTCAGCTTCTGACTTTGGTATTAATGTGATGAACGCTTCCTTCCACAGAATCCGGTGCCCTCTTCCCCTCGATAATTTCATTGCTGACCTCCATCAAGGGTTGTATCAAATAGTCTTTTAATGTCTTATAATACTTGGAGGTCAGCCCATCTGGCCCTGGAGATTTGCCAAGTTGCATGTTCTGAATAGCTTGTTCAATCTCCTGTCGTGTTATTTTAGAGTTCAGGATTGTCCTGTTTTCTTGTGACAATTTAGATAGTCCATTTTTGGCAAAAAATTGTTTAATCTCAACTTCGTCTTGCGGCCCTTGGGTGTATAATTTTTTAAAATATCTCTGGAAACACTTTCTAATATCCACTGGATTCTGAATGTTTTTTCCATCAACCTCTAAATTTGTAACCGTGTTTAATCTTTGTCTTCTCTTCAACTGCCTAGAGCCATACACTTCAACCCTGAGTATCCATTTAGTTTAGTGGAGACAAATGAACATTAAACATTATATTCCATTTTCTTCTTGCTGTGAGCGGTCTTCTTTTGTACTTTTTTATTATGAACTACAAACTTGTCCAGTAGAAAAATAATGTAAAAATAGTTAATTTGGAAAACTATTTCCATCTGCTGATCTTACACTTTCAGAACGTGGATTGTCCTTCAGTATATTTTCTTAGAAACAGTGAATTGTTGAAAACACATTTCAATACCATTAATTCAATGCTCATGTTCATTTTAAAAAATAGCAATCTTCCACTTCATAGAGATCAAAACACAAGACAGTTACAAATAATTTCTTAATAAATTATGCAAAAAAAAAAGGAGTGTTTTGTTTGTAATCATGTGAAATGTGACTGCAGGACGAGGATTTTCCTTGCTACTCTGGAATATTTGTTAAATAATGAAGAAATGGACGACCATGAACACAGCCTTTATGTTGATTTCCAAGTTGTGTCTCCATTTTGTGGATAGTGTCTTGTACATCTTCCTTGGATATATACAAAGGTAGCTGCCGACACAGTCTTACTGCTTCTCCCTATGGGAACAAAAATGTTTACATTTAGACATTAACCTGAGGCTACAATAAAATCCAATAAATTATATAGGGTGCAAACTTCTCCATTGAACATTTTTTACTACTATACTTTTTCATAGAAAATCATATTCCAATCTTCTTTGGCCAAGCAACTGAATTAGGTATCTTTGGTTTTTCCCAAATCTAATCTATGAAAGAAGAAATTTTGCAAACAAAATGTGGGGCAGCTCCCAAGCAACAGTTAACCATCATAAGAAGGGCTTAAGGAGTGGCTCATTCTTAACCATATTCTTTTTTCCCCTTTTTGCTGCGGAAATAAGATCAGGCTGTTATTCAGAAACAAGCTCAGTGAGGCTTACTTTAGAACAAATTTGCCCTGCAGTCCAGTTTCCCAAATCCCAATGTGTAAGTAGGTTACTCTTCTGTGTGGAAAAGATCCTGCCATAAATTGAAGTACAGATTTGGATAGGTGACCTACAGATATACTGCAGCTAAATTATTCTACTCAGAAGTTGCCATTGAAGGAAAGAGGAAGGAATGGAATTTGATACATGGGCTGGCTCAAATTAAGAAAGGGACCTTTCTTCACTCTCCTCCCTTCCTTTAGCTCATATATTCCACATTCTGGAGACTCAAATGGCTCAGGGCAGTGGCTCCAAACTTTCTCCTCCACAGAACACTTGAAAATTGCTGAGTGTCTCGATGGACCACTCAAAAAATTTTCTGCTTGCAATGCTCTATTTTAGAGGCCGTGTGATTTCTAACTATATTTTTGTTGCTTCATTTCTTATGTGTTGCATTTTACTGTTTCAATTCCACAGGATTCAAACTGTAAAACAATAAAATGCAATATATAATAAATAAAAATGGCCATTAAAAACACAGTTTTAAAATCTATATGGGTATCTGATGGGCCATCTTCCATCTTCCACCACAAATCCAGACATTTTGCAGACCACAGTTTGGGCACTCCTGGCTTAGCAACTACATGAATAGCTTTTTAGAAGTTGATACCAGATGGGTTTTCCCAGTAGTGATGTATGGAAGTGAGAGCTGGACCATAAAGAAGGCTGATCGCCGAAGAATTGATGCTTTTGAATTATGGTGCTGGAGGAGACTCTTGAGAGTCCCATGGACTGCAAGAAGATCAAACCTCTCCATTCTGAAGGAAATCAGCCCTGAGTGCTCACTGGAAGGACAGATCCTGAAGCTGAGGCTCCAATACTTTGGCCACCTCATGAGAAGAGAAGACTCCCAGGAAAAGACCCTGATGTTGGGAAAGATGGAGGGCACAAGGAGAAGGGGATGACTGAGGACGAGATGGTTGGACAGTGTTCTCGAAGCTACCAGCAGGAGCTTGCCAAACTGCGGGAGGCAGTGGAAGACAGGAGTGCCTGGCGTGCTCTGGTCCATGGGGGTCACGAAGAGTCGGACACGACTAAACGACAACCACCAGATGGGTGGTGGAGGAAAGCGATCTGGACTGGGGCACAGGAGTAGAGCTTTAAACACTGTGACCGCTTGTGTGTTCCAGATCAGGAAACCCAAATCTGCTACCTGCATTGGAAGAAGGGCACCCATTTGTGCCAATGGAACCTTTTATTGTAATGCAAATAACAGTCATCCAGGCCTGATCTGTATTGTGATTGCGTCTGGTATTAATTTCTCCTTTTAGGTAGCAATGCTTTATATTTAAGCATCAAGCTGTATCTTTTGATAGGACAGTGGCATTAAAAGCAGCATGCTAAAGAAGAGCTTGCAAACCATAAAGCAATACTTACCTCCAGGTAGTTCATGACTTTAAGAGGTCGACACTCATGAACTTCTTTTGCATTGCAATCTACCACAGCACTCAGAATTTCTTTCAGATCAGGTATCCCATAGTACGGCAGACAGTTTGCCATTCCTTCTATTTCCAGCTGATTTCCCATAGCTGAAACACCAAATAGTAAACAAATGAATAAACTGAACACAATGATACCTGGAGTTACCGAGTGTGTTTTAAATACTGTTTTGATTTACACAACAAAATATTCACATTAAAAATTGTTGTTGCAATCCTAGACACGCTGGGGGCTAAGCTCATCGGGACTTACTTTTGAGTAAACATGCATAAACATGCATACAGCACAAACTGTGCTGTAAAGTTGCAATTATAGATCCCCAGAGCTACACATTTTTAATTTTCTTAAAATGAAGAACACAACTTAAAATATTTCATTATTAGTTACTTGCACGGTGAGTGTGCTTCAGTTTATTCAAGTTCAACTTTGGAAAGCATTGGCTAAATGCTTATTTAAATTTTTGTTAGTATTTCAATGTTTGAAACAAAGCTTTAATTCTATACAGTGGTACCTCGGGTTAACTACTTAATTCGTTCTGAAGGTCCATTCTTAACCTGAAACTGTTCTTAACCTGAAGCACCACTTTAGCTAATGGGGCCTCCTGCTGCTGCTGCGCTGCTCCTGAAGCAGAGTTCTTAACCTGAGGTAATATTTCTGGGTTAGCGAAGTCTATAACCTGAAGCGTATGTAACCTGAGGTACCACTGTGTGTGTGTGTGTGTGTGTGTGTGTGTGTGTGAGAGAGAGAGAGAGAGAGAGAGAGAGAGAGAAATGATGTTAGAATAATTTCATATGGTCTAACCTAGCTCTTTTCTGTAGAATGCTTGATGCCTATTTTGAAAATTCCCCCCTCCCGACTTTGGTCTTTAAAGTCTAATCTGCTAACAACATGGGTTTCGTTTTTGCTTTATTTATTTGCCAACCTCTCTAATAAAAGAGCCATAGGTTCTCAAGGTAACATAAATCCCATTATGTTCAAAATGGTCCCAATTATCATTTTTTTAAAAACCTAACACATCTACCATATAAGCCTAAAGTCTGCCAAATCCCAACCACACCTTCAACATTTGACAGCTTGTACAGTTCTGCAGTCTAAAATGTGTAAAATACATGAATACATTTTATCTAAAAACTTCCCTAATTCTCAAAATGCTCAAGTACTGAACTTTATTAACCTTCCAGATCCTGTGCTAAGTTCAGATCACAATTAAACCTTCAATCTCTTAATGCCAGTCCTTTTACAAGTGTGTGTGTAGATAGATAGATAGATAGATAGATAGATAGATAGATAGATAGATAGGAATCACATAGGGTAGAGCAAAAAGATAGTTTTCATAATGGAGAGAATAAAGCTGTTGGGATCCCCACAATTATTTATACTAAGGCTGATACGATCAATAACATCTGGGATGAACAGGGAGGTAGCAACCAGGCAACAGAATGACAAGCTTGACCCAATGTACACAACTGCAAAGCAGGAAAATCTATACAGTGGTACCTCAAGTTACATATGCTTCAGGTTACAGACTCCGCTAACCCAGAAACAGTACCTCAGGTTAAGAACTTTGCTTCAGGATGAAAACAGAAATTGCGCGGCAGCAGCACGGTACAGTGGGAGGCCCCATAAGCTAAAGTGGTGCTTCAGGTTAAGAACAGTTTCAGGTTAAGAACGGACCTCCAGAACGAATTAAGTTCTTAACCTGAGGTGCCACTGTACTGGGATGCGGGTGGCGCTGTAGGTAAAACCTCAGTGCCTAGGACTTGCTGATCGCAAGGTCGGCAGTTCGAATCCCCGCGGCGGGGTGAGCTCCTGTCGTTCGGGCCCAGCTCCTGCCCACCTAGCAGTTCGAAAGCACCCCTAAGTGCAGGTAGATAAATAGGTACCGCTTTATAGTGGGAAGGTAAACGGCGTTTCCGTGTGCTGCGCTGGTGCTGGCTCGTCAGATGCCACTTAGTCACGCTGGCCACGTGACCTGGAAGTGTCTCCGGACAGCGCTGGCTCCCGGCCTCTTGAGCGAGATGAGCGCGCAACCCTAGAGTCGGACACGACTGGCCCGTACGGGCAGGGGTACCTTTACCTTTTTTACCACTGTACTAATTTATCCAGCGAAGAGCTAAAAAGAGTTCTGCAGATTGGGGAAATGGTAGGTGTGGGGAGGAGAATCCCCTCCCCTTCACCGGCACTACTTGGCTACATATTGTAGCTTATAGTTCAAATGGTAGAACATGAGACTCTTAATCCCAGGGACGTGGGTTCGAGCCTCAGATTGGGAGAAAGATTCCTTTGTGGGGGCTTGGACTAGATGTGACCCCTTCCAACTACAATTCTATGATTCTCTTATTTGGAGCAAAACGTACAATGGTCCCCCAAGTCTAGACATCTAAGCCAAAGGTCACAGTTTTGTTTTTCTCACGTGCTGGCAGGGGAGCAAAGTAGTCTGGATCAGTGTGTACATAGTAAAACCTGAATTATATCTCATCCTCCGATCAGCACTTCTGAGAGGGTAGCAGTCAGGAGACACCCCTGTCCACTGACTTCCACCATGGGAAAGTCTCCAGCTACAGATGAGTGAAGTGGAGGCAACCCTACTTGTGCCGGATTACCCCAAAAAGAGTATTATGGCAGTCGGGGAGATTACGGGAGTTGGGTCACCCACTGATCTGTCTGGAGCTGGCACAGCAAAAAACAAACAAGAAAGAACCGCCTTTCCACCTTACAGCTTCCTCATCAGGAGGAAGGATTCTACAGTTATTAAAGCTGTAATCCTATACCTACTTACCTGGCAGTAAGACAAACTGAACTTAATAGGTTTTGCTTTTGAGCAGGCACTGTTCTTTATTGTTGTTGTTATATAGCATTTAACAAAATTCCATATAGGTAAAGGACCCCTGACCATTAGGTCCAGTCGTGGCCGACTCTGGGGTTGCAGCGCTCATCTCGCTTTATTGGCCGAGGGAGCCGGCATACAGCTTCTGAGTCATGTGACCAGCATGACTAAGCCGCTTCTGGAGAACCAGAGCAGCGCATGGAAACGCCGTTTACCTTCCCGCCAGAGCAGTACCTATTTATCTACTTGCACTTTGACGCGCTTTTGAACTGCTAGGTTGGCAGGAGCAGGGACCGAGCAACGGGAGCTCACCCCGTCGCGGGGAATCGAACCGCCGACCTTCTGATCGGCAAGTCCTAGGCTCTGTGGTTTAACCCACAGCGCCACCCGCCTCCCTAAAACTGCATATACATTAACATAATTTCCCCCCTTGGAGTGAGACAAGCGCCAGTAGATAAATTGTGCTCTATACCATATCCTGTTTTTCTGGGTATTAATCTTGGCACCCAAAAATAGGTTCCGCTCCCCAGAAGTACAAGAGAGTATTGATCAGAAACTATAAACTTTGATGCAGGGATAGACATTTGGGAAGTCAAGCTAAAGAGTTTTAAATCAAACACAAACTGTGTTTCTACAGCAATACATGTAGTTGGGATTACAGAATATGCTAATTGGAGACTTATTTATAAACTGAATTTAAAATCAGCCTGCATTCACCAGACTTGTGGATGGTTAAGAAAGGAAAACACTCTTCTTGAAGGGAATTGGTTTTTCATCAAGACACTGTTCCAAGGTTCTATCTTTCCCCCGCCCTTTTTCTTTTTAAAGACCTATCCTTTGAGATGCCCATATGTTACGGCAGATCTGTCAGCAGTCCTCTACATACAAGGCTGAAATGGTAACACATGAAGCTATAGCGTTTCTCAAAACTCACAGCAAATCTTTGTTTGGACCTAGCGAATTACCAGCTTGGCATCATATTGCAATTAAAGCTCACTTCCCCACAATACTGACCGAAACATCTTATTTGTACTTTAGCTGTTAAAACAATGAGTGGCTGTTAAAACATGAGTGGCTAATCTGAGGCACAAGCAGAAGGTCTTCAGCATGCCTGGTGTAAGAGCAGGACAGCCCAAAGGCCTGGCTGTGACAATATCCGGCCTGCACTCTGGACAATGCTACTCTTTCACCAGTTTAGCAGTCTAGGCAAAACCATACTAAGATGAGAGGAACTGAATATTATTGTACAGCAGTGAGGGTAAGAGCGGTTCAATAGTGGAACGGACTGTCATGGAAGGTGGTGGTCTCTCCTTCATTGGAGATTTTTAAGCAGAGGTTGGATGGCCATCTGTCCTGGATGCTCTAGTTGAGATACCTGAATAGCAGGAGGTTGGGTTAGATCAGGCATGGCCAAACTTGGCCCTCCAGCTGTTTTGGGACTACAACTCCCATCATCCCTAGCTAACAGGACCAGTGGTCAGGGATGGTGCAAATTGTAGTCCCAAAACAGCTGGAGGGCCAAGTTTAGCCATGCCTGGGTTAGATGAACCTTGGGGTACCTTCAAACTCTACAATTCTATGAGTGGTACAATCCATTTCTTGACTTTGTGAGGTAAGAAATACCCGTATACCTGAAGGAGCGTCTCCACGCCCATCATTCGGCCCAGACACTGAGGTCCAGCTCTGAGGACCTCCTGACGGTTCCCTCACTGTGAGAAGTGAACTTAGTGGGAACCAGGCAGAGGGCATTCTTGACAGGGGCGCCCTCCCTGTGGACTGCCCTCCCATCAGATATCAAGGTGATTAAAAAAAAACTACACAAATTTTAGAAGACACCTGAAGACAGCCCTGTATCAAGAAGTTTTATATGTTTCATGTTTTATTATGTGTTGAAAGCTACCCAAGGTGTCTGGGGCAACCCAGCCAGATGGGTGGGATATAAATAATAGAATTATTATTATTATTATTAAGAAAAAAGCTTGAAATGTGTAAACAAACAGAAATTACTTTTATTCACAAGCAAGGAAGTTTTTACACAGGAAACTAATCACACATGGCCTATGTGGGCCTTACTTATTAGAGACTAGCAAAATATGTCAACACATTTGTACCATTGGGAACGTAACATTATATTCTCTGAACATCTAAATGAGAGCATGAATTATGTGCTAAGCTCCTTCATACTGCATGACACCTTCTTTTCTCCCTATTCTCTAATCCGCAGGATTACAGAGATGAATTTAAAAAGGAGGCCAGCAAAATTTCATGGAAAATGAGGGTTGTAGTCAATGCTAGCCCTTTTCAGAGTAGAACCACTGGAATTAATGGTTCTAAATTAGTCACACATTAATTTCAATGGGTCTACTCTGAGTAGGAATAGTATAGAATACAACCCTGAGAAATTAAATGATTTTGAGTGAATGAAGATGAGCAGGGCAAGGGTTGCTGGTCAGTCACCCAAGAGACCTGCTGGTTTATTTATTCAAGTCCTTGCAAACATTTGAAGACTCTGCTTCATGCTATGCGTACCACTGTGAACAGTGGAAATAATCCAATCAATATTAAGTACTTAAATATTAAGTACATTTTAATATTTTAATTTTTCAATATTTCAATGTTGTATTTTAATCTTGTTTTTAAGTTGTATTCATTCAACTTGTTTTTATTATTGCTTGTTAGCCGCCCTGAGCCCGGCCTTGGCTGGTGAGGGTGGGGTATAAATAAAAATTATTATTATTATTATTATTAAAATCAGTGCTTATTCTCAGCCAGAGCATAGTTCCAGTACCTCTCTAATTTTTGTCATTGCAGGCCAGCGCTCCCCCTGCTCGCTTCTTGTCTTTATGTACATCAGAGAAGCCCAAAATGAGCATTTCAAGTCAAAATGGAAGCTGGCTGGTATGTGAGTCTACACTATTTTTTTTAAATCTATGATTTGAATTATCTACGAGCTGCTTGCGAGCTGTGATTGGTCAAGCTATGAGGCGGCACCAATTCGTATGTCCTTTTCAAGAGAGAGAGTCCATTCTTCCTCTTTAAAACTGAGCTCAGGGCAGAACATTTGTGGTATGAAACGTTACAGGATTTTCACAGGAAGCAACAGGACATGCACTGATTGCAAACGAAGGACTACGACAAGCCCAAAACATCTGCGGGTACAACTGGTTGCATATTACATTATAAGCAAAAAAAACATAATGAATGCTCAGTAAAAGGGAAGTCTGGAGGGGCCCATAGTGGATAATAGGGGCTGTTTTTTTCTAGACACAAATGTGGTAATGAAACACAAGTATTGTTATATACAGTACTATGAAAAGGAGGCAAGCAAGTAATGAGAACTACAGGAGCTGAATTAAATCAAAATATGAAGCCACACCATACCTGGTATTATCTTTATCTTAAATCCGTTTGCTGTAAGTCTTGTATCCGACAAGTAGGATGACCCATCAAATCTTATGCTTTCCTTGGGCATATTGCAAAGAACTTCTTTATAACGCGAGTCACTAAAAAGACTGAAAATCAATCATTAATCACTTTTATGAGACAGAATCAAATTTTAATAGTGTCCCACAATCAAAGCTCACGCCAATGAAATTTTAGAACTGCTTTACAGTGGTACCTCGAGTTAAGTACTTAATTCGTTCCGGAGGTCCGTTCTTAACCTGAAACTGTTCTTAACCTGAAGCACCACTTTAGCTAATGGGGCCTCCTGCTGCTGCCGCGCCGCCAGAGCACGATTTCTGTTCTCATACTGAAGCAAAGTTCTTAACCCGAGGTACTATTTCTGGGTTAGCGGAGTCTGTAACCTGAAACGTATGTAACCTGAGGTACCACTGTATTTCTGAGGATGCCAGCTCAGACAGCAACTACAAAAACATATACACTGTTAGAATACATCTTCCCAGCTATCCATTGTCCTGTGTTACCCCACAAGGAGAGAGCCACAGTAGCTGCTGTCCATTTTAAATCATTGCAGTTGCAATCTTAATTCTTCTAGTTAAGTGATGTAGGGAAAACCATCAAGATACTTTTATTTTTGCCAACTGAAGCACAAGTGGGGCTTTCCCATTGGGATCACAGCTGAGGAGAGAAGGATGAAACCTCCCTTCCCCGCATGCAGAAATCCTGCTAGAAATCACCCCCCTAATATTAAAGATATTTAAATGCCGTCACATATAGTTGGGCCGAAGAACAAAGGCCCACAGGAACAAAGGAAGTAACTGCACAGTTCTTTTCTCTCTGGCATCCAGTGTTTCCTGCTCTTTCCCCTCTCAACTTAAGACAAGAACAGACAATGCCAGAGAAAGCAAGGAAAGCAAAGGTTTCCTTGTTCCCTCTACTCAGTCAAAACATTATGGCGACCAAGCCTTTTCTTGGAGAAAGCACAGCACAGCTAAAAGGTGATTCACAAAATGGTGGCCATATTGATGATGTCATATTTCATACCCCCACCACTGATATTTACTAAGACTGCCATATTTTGTTTGTATAGGTAGTAGGCTTTCAAAAATCACCAGGGCGCTTTTGGCATTCAAGGGTAAATAAAATCTGGTCTAACTCTTGGACTACATGCGTCTTGTACTGGCTGTCTGAACCAGTAGTCTCTGTCGGTATCTATACATAACTTATACTTATCAAATCTCCTTAACTGAATTTGTTTGATACTGGAATATAATTATACCTCAATGCATACGACAATCATAGGGCCAATTCAGCTGTAATGTCAAGCTTTAACGTCCAGTACCCTGCCGTCTGTTATTTTCTGGCTTCAACATTGATTCCTATTGTGTCTGAAACACAGAACCATGGTTTGCTGTCAATTTACCAACCAGGGTCAAGCCATGGACTAAGGACCCTGATGAGGGAAACGGTATTAAACAACGGTTTCCTATTTCAGACATAACGGGGAAGAGACCAGGCTGGCAGTGTAGAAGCTGGTGAGCAGGCCTGAGGCGCATTTTGAGTTTAATAAAACCACGGTTTGGGAAGCTTGGAATGTAATGTCCAAAATAGGCCACAGGCACATTTAGAACAAGCAAAATGAAGCTGGAGATCTTAGGATCTCTGTTAGTTTGTAACTATATAAGCTGGGTCTATACTGGATTTGGGAGAGAATGCAGGAAGGTGGAATCACTTTTATTACACTGTTGTAAAATATAAAATAAAATGAATCATTTGCTTGTGGCCCTTTATATGATCTGCTTTTGAAATGGCTTTCGCCTTACCTATCAGTTAATATAATCGGGTTGTCCAGTTTCTGTATAGGAAGTTTATGGTTTTCAAGCAGTTTTTTAAACAGAAGGGCTTCTTCTACTCTGTACGGATTCAACATCATTATCTTTTTCTCAGAGGCAATTATCCACGCATCAGGAAAATTCGGAAGACGAATTAGGCAAGGATCATCCTTAACAGTCTCTTTCTGATTAAGCACATGAAGTTTATGTCTGAATGAATCCATAGAGAAGGGCACTTGAACAATTTTTATTGCTTTGCAACTATTTGGTTTCTCCTCCATTTGAGAATGAAAAAGTTTATCAAGTTTCTGTTGATTAATTAGACAGTCTTTAAGTTTGGACTTATGTTTTCTCTCTCTCTCCCTTGTTGATCTTTGTATACTCTGATCCGCAGCTTTTCTGCTCTGCTTGTTGTATCGCTCCAAGTCTCTTTCAGCCTTTTCTTCATATCTTAACAAAGAGGGGAAGAAGGGGGAAGAGAAGGAACATATGAAAAACTAGCAATGTTTCAGTCAGAGTCATTATATATCCACCTATAAAATATGTTTTCTCTCAAAATTAATTGTTGGAAGAAAAATAAATGTCATTCTCGCACGCTATTTTATCATCTTAGTTAATATCTTGTCTCTTATAAGTACCCCAATGTTCAGCAGCCAGTTCTGTTTGTAGTAGTGCTTATCAACACATTACTTTACAGATCTTATGTTTGTATTGTTTACTGCTACTAATCCGGAAAGTATTAACGCCAAATGCAAAATATGATATACAAACTATATGCACTGCATACAAGATTATGGGAATTTATGAGCCAATGTTTAATGGAAAACCGGGGGGCAGAGGCAGCAACATCTAAGGTTATAAATCAGCAAGCAGTAGATAATTAGAATTAAATTATCTATGCAAGATATTACAATTATCAAGCCAAAAGCATTTTCCATTCTGGTTTTGAAATTACCGGTAATATGGATAAAACTTGTTTTTGAACATGAGTCACACACAGGATGGAAACTACTGTCCAGTTTTAGTGAGCAGATGTGAAGTTTGCAAACTTACTTCTTTTTCTCTTCTTCATTCAGTGTTTCCCACATTTCTTCCAATTTCAGCATTAGTTCTTCCATGCTCACTTTGGTATTTTCAGCTAACAATCGTGGGCGATGGTCTTGAATAAAAAAGTCAAATGCTGACATGGCTTTCTTTATTATCCGATTTTTTATTATGTCATAGGCTGTAATCTGTCCCAGTTTATCATTTACCACGTTTGTTTTTTTCAGACTTTGAATGCTACTTCCCTCTTGAAATGTTTGTTGGCCATCATCATTTATTCTCTCTTGAGGCCTGACACGCTCCATTTCAGGAATCAAAATCCGAACAGGTTCAATGTTCTCTCCTCTGGTATTCTTAAATGCATTCCCCAAACTCCATTTATCAGCAGTTACTTCAGAAGAAGCTTTCAGGGTTGTGGTTCTCTCTATTGCTTCCTGGAAATGGTCATTTCTCAAATCATCATCAAGGCCATTTTTAGAATTTGTGTCTGTTAAGGGATTGCCATCTAGGTTAAATATCACCTTAGACTTATTCTGTTGGTGCTCACACAAAAATCCATCAGACACAGCTGTCTCGCAGCCAGATAGCTCATTTTTGGTAGAAAATCCTACAGCTGAATTATTATACAACATTTGATTCTCCAAACAAACCTCTGTGGGTTTGTCCATTCCACTATTTTGTGCATTGCTCAATGAAATCAATTGAGTGCATGCATGTGAATCGATATTCCTGGGTTCAGCTTCATTTACAGACACATTCATTTGTTCTGCTTCATTAACAAAGATGTCTCCTGACGAATCAGTTTCACAAGAAGCAGTCCCAGGTAGAGGTCCATAGAGTGAGGTCAAGACATTTTCAACAGCAAGACAGACAGACTCCTAAAGCAGAAAAATGGTAAGTACATTATTGTGATAAATAACTTACGCTAGCTAGCTACAGCATAATTAAGTCAATTGAAAATAGATTCTGCTCAGCTTATTTTTAAACCTAAAGTTATGCATAGAAGCATTATTATTTTTAAAAAATCTAAACACATTTTTAACTGTAATTGTAGCAAAACAACATTATTAGACTGCTCATTTATATCTAAATGGACATGCTGTACCTTATTATGCAGAAACACTTGAGATTTATCTGGTGTTAAATTGACATCCACAGCAGATGGAGGAACAGCAATGTTGATAAAGAAAACAGGGTGTGAACGATTAGAATCCTTGTGTGACTTCAGGTTATAGTATTGTTGAACCAGCTAAAACCAAAAAGAATAGCATTTAAAATGTACTTTCCAATTAGAAATGAATGCAATACAAAACTTTAATATGATATATACTTATCTTCTATGTGTGCAAGTAGCAACATTTTATGTGCATGCAGCGCATGAATTTTTCTATAACATCTTGCGGGGAGTCCCCCATTAATAGGAAGGAATTAGCTTTCAAAGAGTTGTGAAATTTTTGTAAAAAACCTTGTTACCAGAAATGTTGAAATGTTATTACCAGAAATATTGAAATGTAGGTATTGACCTACAATTTTTCATTAAGCATTGTAAATGGATGTGAGAGTCAATAAAATTGGCTCATTACTATTCTACACTTACAAGAGTTAACTAATGCACTAATTAATTGTCCATCAGTAGTCTCTTGGGCTTGCCGATCAGAAGGTCAACGGTTCGAATCCCTGCAACAGGGTGAGCTCCCGTTGCTCGGTCCCTGCTCCTGCCAACCTAGCAGTTCGAAAGCACACCAGTGCAAGTAGATAAATAAGTACTGGTGTGGCGGGAAGGTAAATGGCGTTTCCGTGCACTCTGGTTTCCGTCATGGTGTTCTGTTGCACCAGAAGCGGTTTAGTCCTGCTGGCCACATGACCCAGAAAGCTGTCTGTGGACAAACGCCAGCTCCCTTGGCCTGAAAGTGAGATGAGCGCCACAACCCCATAGTCACCTTTGACTGGACTTAACCGTCCAGGGGTCCTTTACCGTTATCTTATTAAGAATGATTGCATGTCTCTCAATTTTATGATATATAAAAGAAAAAATTCATGGCCAGGATCCAAAGAGCCATGCAACTAATTACACAAACTGGGACGCGGTGGTGCTGTGGTTTAAACCACTGAGCCTTGGGCTTGCCAATGAGAAGGTCGGCGGTTCAAATCCCTGCGACGGGGTGAGCTCCCATTGCTCAGTCGCAGCTCCTCCCAACCTAGCAGTTTGAAAGCACGTCAAAGTGCAAGTAGATAAACAGGTACCGCTCCGGCGGGAAGGTAAACGGCATTTCCGTGCACTGCTCTGGTTTCGCCAGAAGCGGCTTAGTCATGCTGGCCACATGACCCAAAAAACTGTCTGCGGACAAATGTCGGCTCCCACAGCCAGTAAAGCGAGATGAGCGCCGCAACCTCAAAGTCGTTCACGACTAGACTTAACTGCCAGGGGTCCTTTACATTTAGAGTGGGATTTGGCATTGCCATCTCTATCTCATACTAACCAACTCTGAAACTGAAGGGAATTTCAAATGATGTGGCCTGCTTGACAAAATTAAAAACCCTGCTGGGGCAACCTAGCCACTGTGTGCAGCTAATGCAGCTCTTTGGAACCTGGCAAATATTTTATAATCTGCTGGGACAAGGAGCTGAGAAAAACCGTACCTTTAGAATTTCCTTCTGATGCACTGGTCGATTGTTTACAAAGATGAAGCTCCTTTCTGCACTTGAATGACTTGTCAAACAACCATCTGAACTGGGCTTTGGAAGAAAGCCGCTGAGAAACACCTAGAATTGCAATTAAACTGGCCATTAAAAACCACTGTTTCCCATGACAATCAGTTCACAAAAACTAGAAGGTTCGGATCAGAAAGAAGAAATGACTCCAGATTTTCATGGCATTTAGAAGTCTCCTGCTTCACTTTCCTTGAAATTAAATCAAGGCAGATGACGATGAATGAGATCAAGAGTTAGTGTGAGGCTGTCGACAGAGCACTAAATTTGGATGTTGAAAAGCCAAGTTCAAATCTCATCCAGGTTTGAAGGTCACCGGGTAACCCTAGATGTCATTCATAACCTCACCAGGTGGTTCTCACTCCCCTGGTCAGCACTTACCAGACATTGAAGTTAACCATGAATTCATCTCCAACTGAGATTTAATTCTGAACTAGGGTAGATTTCTGGAGTTAAGCCTGAATTTGAAAAGCTGCTGGAGGCTCGAAGCCCCCACAGTAGATCTTCTTGTCCTAAGGGCCTTCTACAGAAATGTTCTTTTGCCCCCCCCCCAGCAATTTTTCCACTGCTCTGCGTAATGGGATGTTTTGAAGAACAGCCCTGCTAAGATAATTCAGGAAATAATCAAGTTCTTCTCAACTGAGGGAGGGAGGGACTCGGGAGGGAGGGACTCGGATAATTTCCAAGCTAATCCAAGGCAGGTGAGAGAGATCTCACCCACCTCCACTAATGTTAAAAAGAAGCAATGAAGAAACCTTAAAAGATACAGAGCAAACCAACCGCAAGCCAATCAGAATCACAAAAGCACTGCATGTGCAGCACTTAAGTATTTTTACATCCTTTTTATAGGAACAATATCTTTACCTCATTCCTAATTACAGTTACTTGGAAGGTAGCCATATTGATTTCATGTGACTGTACAGTGGCACCTTGGTTTTCGAATGTAATCCGTTCCGGAAGTCCATTCGAGTTCTGAAACGTTCAAAAACCGAAAACTCAATAGCCGACAGCTAGGCCTCAGGATCTTGCACTCAGCGGAAATCGCGTGGCATGTTCGACTTCTGAGGCGCGTTCAAAAACCGAAGCATTTACTTCCAGGTTTACAGCGTTCGAAAACCGAAATGTTTGTCAACGGAGACGTTCAAAAACCGAGGTACCCCTGTACTGTCATGGAAATCTAGTTAGGATTATAGCCTAAGAAGTGCAAACTTTGTTCCCCTTTAATGTGATGCTAGAAATTCACTGTGTGAACCAGTGACAAACAGGTAAACTCCAAATCCATTCCTATGATATACCCATTGATGGTCCAAGCATAAAAAGTTCTTTAGATATCAACTACACCTTACTGAGAAAAGAAATTTAAAAATTAAGCGTGTTTTTTGTTGTTGAAACAAAACATATGCAGATGGAAAGGAATGGAATTTAGCACAATAGCAACCCAAAATATAAGCACAGTGCTCGATTTTATATCCTTATTTAAAAAGTGAAGAACTCATGCTGGTTGAACTGATGAAATAACAGGTGGGGGAAAGATATAGATAATTAGAAACTTACCTCAGGATCTTCACTATGGTGTTGAAAAGGTACCATGCCGCTCATAACGGCAGTTCCCACTACTGCCATGAAAGCCATTTTGTGATCGGACACCCTGGTCTTCTGCCACATAACTGTCTGAAACAATATAGCATAGACTTCGTGTCAAAATTTTGACATTAGGTTTAGATTTATTCAACAGGGACATGACATGACCACAGATATTTGTGCGCAACACTACACTTGAAACAGTGCATTTAACATTCTGTTCCTAGACACCAATGTGAACCCATTATTTTCTTATGATATAGTATCTAATAGGGAACACTTTCTTTCTTCTTTTGTACACAGTGAGCTATGCTGAAGCAACTGGACTGTCTATCCGAGTGCAGGGGGCATGACTGGCTGAGCTGCCTGTCTTCCAGACTGAGGATTTGGGCTTTATTTTTAACCACTGTGAAATATGAAAATGCAGGATTCTACCACTGATATCTGCTTCTTCACTCACAAAGCCCAACAACGCAATTAACAGACTTAAGGGAAAGTTGCAAAACAGGTTAATAAATAGGCTTACTGGTGCAGATGGGATACATGTATGTATGTAGAAAGTTATTGGTTATCTTTATAAAACCTTTGCCCAAAAAGTATAAAATAACTAAAGCAGCAATTAGCGAAGACGCAGGAGCATTAGAATCCATTCTTCCTTTAAGTGTTCATTATAATCCTAGGGAAGCGGGTGGTGCTGTGGTCTAAACCACTGAGCCTCTTGGGCTTGCCAATTGGAAGGTTGGCAGTTCAAATCCCTGTGATGGGGTGAGCTCCTGTTGCTCGGTCCCAGCCTTAGCAGTCTGAAAGCATGCCAGTGCAAGTAGATAAACAGGTACCACTGTGGCGGGAAGGTAAACGGCGTTTCCATTCGCTCTGGTTTCTGTCACGGTGTCCCGTTGTGCCAGAAGCAGTTTAGTCATGCTGGCTACATGACCCGGAAAGCTGTCTGTGGACAAGCGCCAGCTCCCTCAGCCTGAAAGCGACATGAGCGCCGCAACCCCATAGTCGCTTTTGACTGGACTTAACCGTCCAGGGGTCCTTTACCTTTACCTCATTATAATCCTGTTCAAAATAGGCACTTTCCATCAAACTTTAAAATGCTCAATTAACCTACCACTGCAGAGAGAACAGAAAACGGCCTTTATCTAGATATGCACATCCTCAAAAGGCTGCATACTGTAGTATGTTCCATTCACAGCAGCAGTTACGGTGGTACCTCTGGTTACGAACTGAATTCGTTCCGGAGGTCCATTCTTAACCTGAAACTATTCTTAATCTGAGGTACCACTATAGCTCATGGGACCTCTCGCTGCCGCCACGCGATTTCTGTTCTCATCCTGAGGTAAAGTTCTTAACCCAAGGTACTACTTCCGGGTTAGCGGAGTCTGTAACCCGAAGTGTTTGTAACCTCAGGTACCACTGTATTAGCTACGGCTCTGCACTTGTACCCACACTCAGAGATGGATTGGAAAATTACACCCGGATTCAGGAGCAACACAACTATATTATGTTCAGAGGTCTGCAAATTCAATTGGTTTGGCCATAGTTGCATCTACGGAGTCTAGTGGACCTGATCAATCCAAGCAGTTTTCCTGCATGTAGCACCGTCCAGAATATACACGAAGGACAAACTTCTGGTTCTGTTATTTTTGCCCCCCACCCAATGCAATGGCATCTAAAAGCTGACTTCAGTATGCAAATGCAGTACTGCACATAGAATCACAGAATTGTTGTGCTAGAAGGGAACTACGACATGGGGCCAAAATCCACAGCCCTGAGATTAAAAGTCTATGTTCTACAGACTGCAGAGAAGCTAAATATCCTCTGAAAGTATCTTTCCCAGACCTACATTCCCTGTAATGTGACTGCAAACAGTGCCTAAGAAATCAACCAGAGACCCAAACACTATTTCCCCCAAAATTGTGGAATTGTTGTTTGTAGAGACACTTTCAAAAGTTTTTCACTTTTCTGATTGGGTCTAGTTTCTTCCAACAAAGCAGTTTTTTAATAGCATTTAAAAAAAGAGAGAGGTTATATTTGCAAGGCATTGTTTTCACTTGTTTTGTTAAAAAGTATTTTTTTAAACATTTAAAGCAAATGATTACATCTAGACCAAGACGCTTTTGACACAACTGATATAAACATCACGGTGCTTATTTTAGCTTCTATCAATGTGACGCCACAGATATAAATCTTAGTTGCTGATTAATGCAAGGATGTTATTACATTGCCTGACCTGCTGAATGTCTGATATACATAACTCTTCAAAAGATCAGTTAAAAAAAGTTTTAAGAGAGCTCTGGAACATGAGAACTTACTAAATGCAAAGTTTGTAAAAGCAGGTAACAGCTAATCACCGGAGGAATTTCTTATTTACTTTTCCTTAGGAACTGGAATCAGTAGGGAAAACCTCCAAAACTGGTTTTTTTAAAAATCAAATGCACCAAGCCCAAAAAGCCTTGTTAACTTTTACATTTCTTTACTTCTGAAAGCAACTTGATTTCCCAAGCAAGCTTCCTTGCACTACTTTATAATCTTGATTATACTCCGAAATCGTGCTATAAATATATCACACACCCCCATGTATTTTCTAGGTCACATAAACCTGGGGCCTAGGATGAGCCAAGAAAGAATATGACTCTGGGCAGTATGATGACACTGCGAAAGTACCCTATCAAAATATATTATTACATACAGACCATCTTAGGTTTTGACAGAGCTGGCCAAATATATCTTGACTCCTCTCTGTTTCATTGAAGAGTACTGCATGAATCGAAAGACTACAAAGTCTTTGACATCGCTTTTGCCCAGATCTGTTCTATGTGGGGTGCTGGAGAACCAGCCCACCTTACACAGAACAAATGCCTGCTAGACCTATTTGAACGATACTGCTTCCTATGGGATGCCACTGAGAAAATTTGCTTTAAAAAAAAAAAAACCCCAGAGAGAGGTGATTCCAGGGCTGGTCAACTCCCACGATACAAACCAGTAATGTTCCATTTTCCAACTGTTCCCTCCACCCCTTGAAAACTCTTGCTGTTTCAAAGTACGTTTTATAAGCTGCCAATTAGTTAACAGCATAAACTGTTTTGCACTTGTTTGACATATCAAAGTTATTTGTCTGTCCCTTTTCAATCTAGAAGAGAATAACATAACTAGATTTTGTAGGCACTGCACTCTTCCTTCCTGGATTAAGGAGACTAAAATAATAACAAGAGAGGAGATAAAGATAAAGAAATATTTACAAGCAGGGCAAAAAAAGAGAGATGCTTGCCACCTAGGACAACTGTGTCCTGGCGGAATTCAATTTTAGATCCTTAGATAAAGGTAAAGGGGCCCCTGACCATTAGGTCCAGTTGTGACCAACTCTGGGGTTGCGGCGCTCATCTCGCTTTATTGGCCTAGGGAGTCGGCGTACAGCTTCCGGGTCATGTGGCCAGCATGACTAAGCCGCTTCTGGCGAACCAGAGCAGCACAGAAACACCATTTACCTTCCTGCCGGAGCGGTACCTATTTATCTACTTGCACTTTGACGTGCTTTCGAACTGCTAGGTTGGCAGGAGCAGGGACCGAGCAACAGGAGCTCACCCCGTTGCGGGGATTTGAACCGCCGACCTTCTGATCGGCAAGTCCTAGGCTCTGTGGTTTAACCCACAGCGCCACCCGGGTCCCGGTTTAGCTCCATAAGTAGATGCAAACATTGTAAAACAAAATCTTAGAGATGAGCATGGAAGTTCCTCACAAAACAGACACAACTTCACACTTGTGAAAAGGAGGATGTCTTGTGGTGAATGAACTATTTTTATGCTGATGCTTATTTCTGATAGAATGTAGTGTTGGAAATGACCTCAAGAGTCATCTAGTCCAGTCCCCTGAAATGCACGGATCACAATTAAGGAATCCCTGACAGATGGTTATCCAACCTTTGCTTAAAAACTTTCATAGAAGGAGCGTCCAAGGTAGACTTTCCAAGGTAGACTATTCCACTGTTTTGACAGCTCTTACTGTCAGAAAGTTCTTTCTAATGTTTAGTCAGAATCTCATTTCTTGTATTTTGAATCCATTGGTCCAGGTCCTACTCTCTGGAGCAGTAGAAAACAAGCTTGTTCCATCTTCCATGTGGCAGCCCTTCAGTTATTTTAAGATGGCTACCACCTCTCAGTCTTCTCCAAGCTAAACATACCCAACTCCCTCAAGTGCCCTTCGTAAGACTTTGTTTCCAGGTGTCCTGGTTGTCTTAATATAATTTTTATATAAGCTTTGTGATTTGAGTACACATCCTTTGTGAACCACCCAGAATACATTTTTTAATAGGTGGCATAAATATATAATAATATAAAAAATTATAGAAAAGAGAAAAGAGAAAAATGGGAACCAATTATGACTTCTGCAAGGAATTTGCAAGTACCAGAATCATGCTCTGAAGAAGCAAAAACTGATATAATATTAGAAAAACCCATATTAAAAACAAAAGCATATACAAAGGCCTAGTTCACAGGTAACACAAAATTGAAGTGTGGTTTACCATGAACAGGCAAGCTTACTCATGCACAGGAAAACAACTGTCACGAGTCTCCTCTTCCCTCTCTTCTGCTGCCATGTTCGCAAAAGCTGAGCCATAGTTTACTTAAGTGCTATATCCAAACCTGGATGTATGGTTTGTCTCACTACAATCAAGTTTGGACACAACACTAGGGCAAACCATGGCTTAGCTCATGGTTGCATGGCAGTACCAAGAGCTGGGAAGGAGCAAACCAGCTGCAATTTTCTCCATGCACACCAGCACGCTTGCTTGTTCCCAATAAGTCAAAGTTTGGCTTAGTGTTAGGTGCATACCAGGCCACTGAGGCAATGCTAACTGTTCAGTACTGAATGACAGAATAGAATCTATTCTCGTTTCTTTATATTACTTGCACAACTCAGTTTTCGTTGCCTATCAAGTGTTTGTTTCCATAGAACAGATGAACCAGTTAAGATTCTGTAGGAATCTTAACTGGTTCATCTGTTCTAAGCAAACAAACACTTGATAGGCAATGAAAACTGAGTTGTGATCTGTGGCAATGGCCGGGTATCAAGCAGCACTAAGCCATGGTTTAGTGGACAACCCTCAGTGAGACAGGAAGCATCAGGGTTGCATGTTCTTCCTTCCCCTTCTTCCTCCTATATAAATGAGGAGGACCTTCTGCCAAAATTACCTCCAGTTTCAAAGAATCATGGTTTAATAGTGGGTTAACTAAGAATCCTGGTTTAAAACGAACAATGTTTATTTACTAAGCCCAAGTTACGAATCACAGGTTATAAAGCTAGCTTAATTATTATTTGTTTGAAACCAGGATTCTTGGTTTGTACACAACAAACAAAGTGTCCTTGAAACTCAAAGTAATCTTCACAGAAAGCAGAGGGAAGGGATTGTGTACAAGAACACTTTGCATAGGCTCCCTGAGGCTTCTCTATGTAGTGCTAACGTTTACCTGCTAAACCATGGTTAGCAATACAGTGGTACCTTGGTTTGCATACGTCTTGGTTTGCATACATTTTGGATTACAAACACGTCAAACCCGGAAGTGTGTGTCCCAGTTTTTTGGATTACAACCCCTTTCCCCCCCTTTTTTTTGGATTACGAACAAATTTCTTTTGGAGGCCCCATTGGCGAAAGCACATCTTGGGTTACAACCTGTTTTGGTTTACAAACAGACCTCTGGAACGGATTATGGTTGTAAACCAAAGTACCACTGTATGTGTAAACAAGCTCAATGTCCTATAAATTGAGAAAACAATTATAGAAGAGGCTGTGTTAATATCTCCTGCTAGGCCTAATTCATTTGTTAGTTTTCTCCCCAGACAGAAAAATCTAGCTTTTCCCATGCAGTAAATATATCCCAGGTAAACATCACGCTAGTGCATAGAAAATTGCATCATGCATTCATACTTTTCTCCAGAGGGGAGATGAATTACTCTGCATATCTGAAGAAACCTTGGAAGTGTAAGAAGAGAAAGCACAGCTCGTTCGCTTATTCATTATGTAAAATGTGTCTTCCCTTTAATTATGTCACAATTCATGGAATTCTCCGGGAGCGGGTGGCGCTGTGGTCTAAAACACAGAGCCACTTGGGCGTGCCGATTGGAAGGTCATCAGTTTGAATCCCTGTGAGGGAGTGAGCTCCCGTTGCTTGGTCCCAGCTCCTGCAGTTCGAAAGCTCGCCAGTGCAAGTAGATAAATAGGTACCACTGTGGCAGGAAGGTAAGCAGCGTTTCCGTGCGCTCTGGTTTCCGTCATTGTGTCCCGCTGCGCCAGAAGTGGTTTAGTCATGCTGGCCACATGACCCAGAAAGTTCTCTGTAGACAAACGTCGGCTCCCTCAGCCCAAAAGCGAGATGAGCACCGCAACCCCATGGTCGCCTTTGACTCCACTTAACCGTCCAGGGGTCATTTACCTTTACTTTTTACCTCATGGAATTCTATACTTGTTCAAGTAAAACCAATTTGTTTTAGGATATGTATGCTACTACTGAACACAAACATGGAAGATCAACTGTTTCCTCTCCCTTAAGGGAATGATTTCGGCAGTCATTCTATCTCCACATAGATCATTGTCCCGCGAGTGGTTCCACAGAAGACGAACGCGCGTTTGCAGAGACTTTTATTTGTATGGCTTACTTCGTCCTGTAGGCCCATTATGCAAATGCAAAAATCTGTATGAACGCTGAACCCTCAGCCTGCAAGGAGTTCCAGTGTAAAAATACCTTCACACATTTACGTGGGGGGGACGGGGGACCACCGTTTCTAGCCAAGGTAGGCCGCTTCAGGGCCCAGGATCTGGCCTACGGGCTTGCCAGATGGCCTCCCCTATTTCAAAGAGCCTAACTTTAGAATCCTGTGTTAAAAAGTTACAAGCAGATGCAGCCATGTGTAGTACTGAAAGCTAATGCCGGGTGAAAAATAATACCTCCATCAGGAGTTTGCTTGGTCCTACAGAAGCACTGCAAGTACTTGTAAATTCCAGATATAAGGAATTCTGCACCCTCAATTAACAAGCAGTGGTTGCTTTTTTAAAAAAAATTGTTGTTTACCTGAATGGTGCTCAATTATAAATCCCAGCTCACTGAAGAGTGCATTACTAATCAGGTGAGTCACATTTTATTCTTTATGGACACCTTCTCAGCATCACCCACACTCTCTTGCAGGCCTCTGGAAGATCTGTTTTCTATTAGATTTCCCCACTGTCAGTCTTCAGAGCAAATTCTGTCAACATTGTCATACTCAAATTTCTCCTTGCTCATCTAAACCTTTCCTCTCAAAGGGGGAGGTATTCTGGGGGAGCAGGTGACGGAGAAGCCTTTGGCAGGGTAGCTAGCTACTGAAAGGGACTGCCAAAAATCTGAAAATGAAGTGTTGGGAGAGTACTGAGCCTCCAGACAGCGAGCTCTTCCCTCTAGCGAAGTTTAGCAAAAAAAAACCCCAACCATACAAATCTTAGCACGGAAACTATGAGTCCCTTGTTCCACTGTGTATGAAACAGATTGAAGAACACGACACGCAAAAGGTTTCCCTCCACAAGTCCGCTTGTTTGAGTTAGCTAAATACATTTCTTATTTTGAACAGTGAAGCATCTTGCGGCATCTTAAAAGACTAACAGTCTTTCAGTGGCATTAGCTTTCATGGACTAAAGACCACCACCACCCCTCGGATGCTTAGTTTTGCTTAGTTAGCAGATAATATATTAAATAATGCATCTATGAGCTTACAGCGGTGAATTGTAAAGTCATGAAATGCAAAAGACGCAGTCTGACAAGTCTATGCAAGCATCTCAAATCTGCAAAGAAGTGTGACAGAAAGTCCGATATTTTCTCCTTTACAGACATGTGCATATACCGTATTTTTTTCGTGTATAACACGCCCCCATGTATAAGATGACCCCTATTTTGGGGGTCACCAAAGTTGTTGCCCAAACCCAAAGTTGTTGAGCTTTTTTGGGGAGGAGATTGCCCAGAGTTGCTGAGCTTTGTTGTTGTTGTTGTTGTTTTTTGGGGGGGGGAGATCGCCGTGACCACCAATCGTCTGCACACTCGCAGCCAAAAGACCACCTGCCCACTCAACGCAACCACAGCCAGTCATCAGCAGACCTTGCCACAGCAGCAAATCACACGCCCAATCGCTGCTGCAAATCTCCTGATGCCACCAATCACCCGCCACACCTCTGCTTTCCGTGTAGAAGATGACCCACAATTTCTGCCAATTATTATGTATCTGCCACTGAAGATCATACAGTTCAAAAGCAGGTTGTATTGTTAGGTGTCAGGTTTCATTCTTCTGATAAGATGAAGAAGATTTTATTACAGTGGTACCTCGGGTTAAGTACTTAATTCGTTTCGGAGGTCCGTACTTAACCTGAAACTGTTCTTAACCTGAAGCACTACTCTAGCTAATGGGGCCTCCCGCTGCCGCCGCGCCGCCAGAGCTGGATTTCTGTTCTTATCCTGAAGCAAAGTTCTTAACCTGAAGCACTATTTCTGGGTTAGAGGAGTGTGTAACCTGAAGCGTATGTAACCTGAAGCGTATGTAACCCGAGATACCACTGTAGTAGTAGTAGTATTATTATTATTATTATTATTATTGTTATCTCAGCCGGCACAGCATGAGACTCTTTTAATTTCAGGGTTGTGGGTTTGAGCCCGACACTGAGCAAAATATTCCCACACTGCAGGGGGTTTGGAATATATGAGCCTTGTGGCCCCTTTCCAACTCTATAATTCTACTACTTTTAGTGGAATTGCCCGAGAAAAAGAACAGTATGGCCCAAGCTGAAAGTCCAAATGGTGAATGTCTGAACCCAACCCATTTAGATGCTTTGCGCTCTAACCTAAGTGACCAAGGAAATACTGCCCTGGTCCATTTGTCTTTTTTAAAACATTTCCTGAATGTCCCAAAATAACTCTATAGCTGAAAACAGGCAAGAGATGTGTGCAGATTCACATTAGCCTATACATGGTGTGCATCTGTGGGAGGGAGAAACAATTTGGACTCCTTCAGAATAGGATCCAATAAAATCAGAGAGAACAGGAAAAATGCAGAGGGGCAGGATAGTTTGCCGCTTGCATTTTCCTGCACAAAGGGGGAAGAAGCACACGTGTCATGCATACTGATTGGTTTTTTTCAAATGGGCAGCCAGCACAGCAACTGTTTTGTTTTCTGGGGGAGCAATGGAGGACAGATCTTTGTGTCCAGCAGTGACACTGCAAGGCAAGCAAGCAGTAAAACGAAGGCGTCATTGAACGTTTCTGCAGCTCCCTCCGATTCTCCTGGACACCGATGGAAAGCGAGTCCGCTCCCTTTCGCAAAATTGTAAAACACACTCACAGGACTCTAATCTACACAGTCCCTGCCCGTAATGTCTGACTATGACCTATAAGACCTGAAGACAAGAATTTCAACAGGTACCGCATACTATATATGCGAGCAGCTGATACCACATTTCTGCTATAAATGATGTGCTGTCATCTGAAAAATGCAATGGATGAGAAACTAGATGACTCAAGGAATTGGTAACATGATACAAAACATTCCACCTTTAGGTCAGCACTTCAAATTCAACCTGTTTTTTGGGTGGGGGGAGTTGTTACATCGAATATTGAACAGCTGGGAGAGTAAGATGAGTTGGTCTCAGTCATTTCCTAGTAGACAGGTGTCCATCTCTCGCACATTTACTAACCAATCAATAAGTTCTTTTCTGGTTCTATTAAACATGCTCCCTTTCTCCTTTTTCACATGGGTATGCACAGGTCTTTTTTTCTTACGCAAAACATTTCCCTCCATTCATACTGCCTTGGAAGGGACCTTTGCAGAGCAAAGGGGAAGGGTAGTACCTCTGGTGGGGACCATGACATGTCACCCCATACACCTGGTACATGTCACCCCATACACCTGGTAGGACGTGGGTGGCGCTGTGGTCTAAACCACTAAGCCTCTTGGGCTTGCCGATTGGAAGGTTGGCGGTTTGAATCCCCACAACGGGGTGAGCTCCCGTTGGCTCTGTCCCAGCTCCTGCAACCTAGCAGTTCAAAAGCACGTGAAAGTGCAAGTACGGTGTTACCTCAGGTTACAGACGCTTCAGGTTACGGACTCTGCTAACCCAGAAATAGTACCTCAGGTTAAGAACTTTGCTTCAGGATGAGAACAGAAATCATGCAGCGGCAGCGCAGCAGCAGCGGGAGGCCCCATTAGCTAAAGTGGTGCTTCAGGTTAAGAACGGACCTCCAGAACGAATTAAGTTCTTAACCACTGTAGATAAATAGGTACCGCTCCGGCGGGAAGGTAAACGGCATTTCCGTGCGCTCTGGTTTCTGTCACGGTGTTCTGTTGCGCCAGAGGCGGTTTAGTCATGTTGGCCACATGACCTGGAAAGCTGTCTGCGGACAAATGCCAGCTCCCTCTGCCTGAAAGCGAGATGAGCGCCGCCACCCCACAGTCACCTTTGACTGGACTTAACTGTCTTGGGGTCCTTCACCTTTTACCTGGTAAACACAGGCAACAGGAGCTCAAACCTTCCAGCTACCGAGTGGTCTAATTTATTTCCCGAAGATGTTTTACTGCAAAATGTGAGCAGGTTGGCACAGGCGACAGCTCATTATCGCTCTCCAAGTTGCCTCTACAACTGTTAGCGCTTCCTAGGTAGCAACACAATCTCGTATTATTTTCAGTGCTATTTCTGAAGTGTTACAAATAGCTGGAATGGAATTATCAATTAGAGTTTATGCTATGTGTGCTATATATAGTATTTCCTTACACCAGATTAAAGAATTCTGCAGACAGAAGATTTGAGACGGACTGACGGAAGTTACTTCCATGCTGCCCTTCACTACAACGGTCACAACACAACAAAATAAATACCTAAAAAAATCATTAGAACTAAAATGCCTACATAGCTAATATAGTAGATGTGCATAAATTATTCCTAAGATTTTAAATAGCAAAGAATTTGAAGCTATCTTTACCAAAAAACCAATGAGAGAGCTCAGATTTCAAGGTGAAATTAGTCACTTCCAGGTATCTAGATATGGCAAGCTATTTTTTTTTAATATTCTTTAATTCTTGCCTTTTAAACACCCAATATTCTCAACTTTCTGTTCTTCACAAGAACATCAATTTTTTTTAAAAAAAACTAACTAACTAACAAATACTTCAGTAAATTATCTGCCTGTGGCTACCTCAATATTCAGTTGGCTTTCAAGGAACATGGTGACGAAAGAGGGAAAATACCTCTTTCTAACATAACCATACTGGCAGGAGTATCAACATTATCAGCATTCAAAGAATGTCTTGGCAGGATAAACCTTCATAAACACATGAGGCACAAGCTAATCCAAGTTGTCAAAATAGCAATAGTCCCGTCAAGGGTTGATCTGTTAAGCAAGCCATTATTTACTGCTAATGCAAACAAAACATTTCAAACAAAAACAAAACAAAAAATCATCCTAAGTTTGTAAAGGGCAGCAATCAGGAAACTTCCAAGTAGACCGCTAAGCCTATATATCCACTTTTGTCTGGAAATAAATAAATAAAATGTCAGCATGTGGCAACACCGATCGATTGTGCAAACATATAAAGTCTTCATTGAACACGTAAACAAAACAGACGGTTCTTTCAGTACGAGACAATAAAATGTCAAGAAATGAAAGAGGTAACTTGACTGATACTGTTTGGCAACACAGAAAATGAGCAGGGGGGGTTGAAAAGAACCAAGAGGTTTGTTAATTTTCTTTTTTTATATATAAGATATTTATTAAAGTTTCAGCATATTACAAAAATAAGAGAAAAGAGTAAGAGGGGAAAAAAACAGGGAAAAAAATACAAGGTAAAAACAGTTAAAAACAAGTCAGTCTTTCCATATCTTATCTTTCATTTGCTTGTTTCCCTGACCTCCTCACACCTCCCTTTTTTGTATTCCAGTTCAGTTAGTTAATTCAGCAATTCCTTTCCCTCTTTGATTTTATCTTACTCTTTTATCTTAATATATTATAGCTTTAAATTATCACCTGTTGGGCGATCTGGCTGCGACATCTGTCACCCCATTGATCGCCAGGGTTGATTCGGCTGATCTGGCTGGCTAGGCGGGCGTCCCCTTCCTCCCTCACCGCTCCATGTGCGTCCCTCCCGAAGCTGCACGCTCGGCGGAAGAGGACGACCATCCCAGATAGGAGTGTACCGTTCTTCGGTCAAGGGTATATGATAGCTGCGCTCCCCTGCTAGAACCTCCAAACAAGCTCGAGGTTTGTTAATTTTCTTGTCGTTATTTTCAGCGTGTTATAAAATACACCTACTCGGTGCTTTTTTTCTGGGAGGAATGCAGGGGTACGCATACCGCTAAACATTTTGTGAATCTAAGTTTGGCCTCATTGTAGGGCAGTATTTCAATAGGAGTAGGAAAAAAACCACTGAATCTACTTATTTGCATTGAGCTCAGATGCCACTGTATGATTAGACACCCAAAAAGAGACTTTCTTACCAGAATATCTTTGACCACAGGATGGGGGTGGGAAATCCTTTTAAAAGAGCTGTGATAAATTTTCACAGTAGCTATAGGTATGGGTCTAAAGGCGTGATGTTTGAGCAGAGCAGAAAGGCACTTTTGGTCACACAAAGCAACCCCCCCCCCCAAATTCTTCCAATTTCCCTCATGCCATTCCAGAGAGATCTCATTCTTCAAAACCCACAAGGTTTTCGTGGGGAGCCTCACTGTTTAAGGAAGGATTCCCTCACGCTTCTCTCAGTTCGACCCATAACGCTTCAACAAGTAAATTTCTTAATTTTCTTCACACAATCACTAAGTTTTGGGGCTAAAGCAGGGGTCGGCAAGGTTTACCGGCCATGGGCTGGATCACTCCCACGGAGATCGTCCGGGGGCTGGACTGGGGCAGCATGATGCCAAAAATTGCGTCTGCGCATGTCCGGATGCCAGAAATTGCTTCTGCACATGCCCAGATGCCAAAAATTGCACCTGCGCAGAAGCGATTTCCGGCGTCTGGACATGTGCAGATGCGAATTTCGGTATCTGTGCGTGCGCAGACGCGATTTCCGGCGCTGCTCAGCGAGTCCCCGCGCCGTGCTGGTTTAGCGCAGTGCACAGGGGATTTGCTGAGCGGGCAGCTTGGTTCGGGGGCGGCTTGTGGGCCAGTAAAACGGTCTTCATGGGCGGTATCTGGCTAATGGGCCGCACGTTGCCGACCCCTGGGCTAAAGGTTTCTACTATGCTATCACCTCAGTACCCATTACCTGAAAATACTTTATGCTACCTGTTTCACCTCATAATTTATCTCATAAGCCATTTCTTCCTGCTCTTTAGTTTTTAGAACCTGCCTCCCCGAGCTCACGGGACTCTTCTGTCGCAATCATGGACAAGACACAACACATAAAGCCAATCAATAATCAATACACAAAGGCTGCTCAACATAATCACTTGTTCTTGCCTGGAATTTGAGCTTACTGCTAGTGGCATTTTTCTGTATCCCTCACAGCTCCTGTGGCCCACAACGGAATTATTTACTGCACACAAAACTTCCTAACACTGTCGTACCTTGGTTCTCGAACGGAATCCGTTCTGGAAATCCGTTCGACTTCCGAAAACGTTCGGAAACCAAGGCGCGGCTTCTGATAGGCTGCAGGAGCGTCCTGCACTCAACTGGAAGCCGCAGAAGCCACGTCGGATGTTCAGCTTCCCCCAAAAGTTCGCAAACCGGAACACTTGCTTCCGGGCTTGCGGCATTTGGGAGCCCAAATGTTCGAGTCGCAGGGCGTTTGAGAACCAAAGTATATGAAAAATGAGGCTGGTTTTAATCATGAGAATCCAAAGATTGAGGTCTGTGCACCTGCTGATTCTCCCAATAGCACCCTCTCAACCTTTATAGATTCCTTGGCCTTCAGGATAGGCTTTTAGGCAGCACACCTGTCTCAATATATATATATGTACAATATATATATATATGTACTGGCTAATGAAGAGGCCAATGGATTCTAGTTTGTTTTTGCCTTGTTCCCACTCATGCTATAGCTAATGATTGCCCTCTAGTGCTGAAAAGTCTCAAGGGCAATGCTTTGAATACTAACAGCTGCCCTGTCAAAAGTTCCAATTTAACACTTAGAAATGCAATTCTCACTACAGAGAGCTGAATTCATATTATGTGGCTTTTTGCTTAGGCCCTGTTACAGAATCTCTTGACCTGTGAAAACATTTTGAGTCTTAGTACTTTGCTGCAAATCACTGTTTGAAAACATTCCTTCCTACTGGTTCTTGATTTATATAGGCTTTCCCTCGTTATAAATATATTTGGACAAGGATTGTTATAGATAGCTTGTTTTATTCTCAACATTTGAGAAGGATGCGATTCTGCAAGATTATCATGAAGGTTATGGCTGTATCCGATACTCCCCGGTTTAATTTTTTGAGCTGAAATGGTGAACATGGATATTTTTGTTAAGTCATTTCCCTAAAATGTCTCAATTGGGAAAATATTCACCTTATTCCAATAGAGTTCACTTCAATTGTTTCCCCCGGCTGGTGCAGACACATTCTCACCCTTTCAATACGGATAAATAGTTTCTCTTTGTCCACGATTAATTACCATTGTTCACACATCAGATGACATTACACAACTACTCAGGTGAGTCAAACAAATTCAATAAGAGCAAGCGCAAAGCGACCAAAGTAAATGAACAAGTGGTGATTTTCACAAGCTGTGACACGCCCCCCCCCCAAAGAAATCACTTGGGGTGAGTCAACACTACAGAAAAATCCCCAAACAATTATGAGTAGCTGTACTCTGTCTTAAAAGACCCCTTGGCTCTCAATAAACATGTACAATGTCTTACCCCCACAGACAGGATTTCTTATTATAAATAACTCTGATTTACTCGTACAGAAATCAAACAAGAGTGGGGAAAAATAAGAGTCTCTCGTCTTGAATTTAACTACTTACCTGGTCCCCATTGGCAACGAGGAATTCAATGCAGGCATCTACTTTTACACAACTGTAGCAGCTCGTTTAACTGCTTAAGAGATTTAAAAAAAATATTAAGCGGTTTATAAATGTTTTTTAAAAATAAAAATAAATAAAAAGAACATAGGTAAAGGGACCCCTGACCATTAGGTCCAGTCATGGCCGACTCTGGGGTTGCGGCGCTAATATCGCTTTATTGGCCGAGGGACCCGGCGTACAGCTTTCGGGTCATGTGGCCAGCATGACTAAGCCGCTTCTGGAGAACCAGAGCAGCGCACGGAAATGCCATTTACCTTCCCACCGGAGCGGTACCTATTTATCTACTTGCACTTTGAAGTGCTTTCAAACTGCTAGGTTGGCAGGAGCAGGGACCGAGCAACGGGAGCTCACCCTGTTGCGGGGATTCGAACCGCCGACCTTCTGATCGGCAAGCCTTAGGCTCTGTGGTTTAGCCCACAGCGCTACCCGCGTCCCTAAAAAGAAAATAGAAGAACATAAATCCAAACTGGCTGCAGAGAAAGTGAAGCCCCGTGGCCTCTATAGTCAGCACAGAAATGGCAAAGGAGTGATATAGCAATCTGTACTTTTGCTACCAGCTTGCTGTGCACCACTAGGCCCTGCTAGCCAATTAAAAAACAAAACCACACAACCCACCACCTGCTGCGACTGCCACCCATTGACACTGCTGTGCTTCGGGGAGAACTCATTTGTAAAGCATGAGGGCAGCCCGGCTGCTAGAGTTGGGCGATATCTGGTTTGCAACATCGTGATTTATCTGACATGAAATTCTACTCAATTTCGATCCAGAGCAGAACTCCAACATCTAGTTAGCAGAGTAAAAACTTAAAATACATTGTAGTATTCCCCCCAAAATAGACCGGAAGCAATTGTATTTCTTCCAGCATAGCTTTGCTGCTACTGAAGGCAAATGAGCAGAATGGTGACAAATCCACTACATTCAGGATTGGCAGAACTGTCCATAAGAAATCCAGTTGTGGCAGACTTAACTTAAGCTTACAATAACTTATAATAAGTCTAAACCTTAACACTAAGCAAACTATGTACAGAACCCCACACCAGAAGGAAAGAGAGACAGAAAAAGAAACCCTGGATCCTTCTGGCCCTACTTTTGGCATGCCCTTGACAGAAGAGATAATAGAACCAGTTTAAGCCAGCTGCACTCAGCTTCTCTGAAGGAATAACCCAAACAGCATCAAGTTGCTTTGACAAATTCAGCTTGACCGTTAGATGTCACTCTCGTCTTCGAAATAACAGTGCAGTTATTTCCAGGAAGGTTCTTTCCTCCAAACGCAAGATAGATCTAAGGATAGTTGCGGGCAACTTTTACCATTCTAGAATAAGATTATTTAAAACTTCACCAAAGCCCGGAAAGATGACGGTCATGGACTACAGGTAGGGCACCTCTACCTATTCAGAAATAACCCCTCCGAAAACACACCACAATCTCAATCCCCTTTTAAAAATGGTACCAAGTCTAAGAAATGCTTTGCACAGATTTGCAGAAAGTTAAGGACAGCAGCAGCGTATGAGCAGTGCATCATTTTCAGTTGCTTAGAGGTGTTTTGTTTTTTAACAAACAAAGCAGAATATAAATTTTGGATAATAAAAATATATTAAGGGAAGAGTAGCAGCGGCAACTCTTGGGCTCCATGATCACTGCAGATGGTGACAGCAGCCACGAAATTAAAAGACGCCTGCTCCTTGGGAGAAAGGCGATGGCAAACCTAGCCAGCATCTTAAAAATCAAAGACATCACCTTACCAACAAAGGTCCATATAGTTAAAGCCATGGTTTTCCCAGTAGTGATGTATGGAAGTGAGAGCTGGACCATAAAGAAGGCTGATCGCCAAAGAATTGATGCTTTTGAATTATGGTGCTGGAGGAGACTCTTGAGAGTCCCATGGACTGCAAGAAGATCAAACGTATCCATTCTTCAGGAAATCAGCCCTGAGTGCTCACTGGAAGGACAGATCCTGAAGCTGAGGCTCCAATACTTTGGCCACCTCGTGAGAAGACTCCCTGGAAAAGACCCGGATGTTGGGAAAGATTGAGGGCACAAGGAGAAGGGGACGGCAGAGGACGAGATGGTTGGACGGTGTTCTCGAAGCTACAAACATGAGTCTGACCAAACTGCGGGAGGCAGTGGAAGACAGGAGTGCCTGGCGTGCTCTGTTCCATGGGGTCACGAAGAGTCAGACACGACTAAACGACTAAACAACAACAACAACAAGTAGCGGCAAATTCCTGGCAATAGTATGCTAGCATGAAGAAACACAACAGGTTGGGAAAACTCTTGAGTTGGCAGCAGCCCAGCAACAACCCAGATTGCCAAAGCTTGACCAAACGGGTAGTGCTAGAGACCAAAGGCAGCTGCATCTCCAGAGAGCCAATGAAATAGCCTTTCTCCCCTTTATTCTGGCCAGGATTGCAAGCCACCATCTCAAAATGGGGGCGATAGGTGCCCAAATGGGAAACCTTGCTGTGCTCAAGCTCTGCTGAAATCATAAGGTGCCTAATTTAACTTTCTTTGGATTTGGGCCACGGAAATCTGACCGTATCTAAACTTTGGAGAACTCCAGGTTGGAAAAATACAACCGTAATAGTGCAGCCATCTTAGTCATTTCAAAGACAAGGCGTTTGTTACCTTGTTGTGTGTAAATGTGATCCTCAGTTCTGGTTTTATGATGCCGTAGGCCATCAGAAGTTTCTGGATTTTTTTAATTTCTTCCTTACGTTTTTTATCTGTTGAGTAAAACTGCTTTCTCACAGGCAGATTCTTGAACAGCTTCAGAACAGTTACAGTTGTACCTACCAGAAGGAGAAAGGGGGGGAAACCACAGAGTAAGATTAACTTGATATATGACGTAAGCCAAAGATGACCAAGTGCTCATGGCTCTACCAATGTATGCTATTTCCCTCCCACTGGTACCCATATTAGTACAGTGGTACCTTGGGTTAAGAGGTTAATTCGTTCTGGAGGTCCGTTCTTAACCTGAAACTGTTCTTAACCTGAGGTACCACTTTAGCTAACGGGGCTTCCCGTTGCCACTGCACGATTTCTGTTGTCATCCTGAAGCAAAGTTCTTAACCCAAGGTACTAATTCTGGGTTAGCGGAGTCTGTAACCTGAAGCATCTGTAACCTGAAGAGTCTGTAACCCGAGGTACCACTGTATTAGTATTAAAGGTAAAGGGACCCCTGACCATTAGGTCCAGTCATGGCCGACTCTGGGGTTGCGGCGCTCATCTCGCTTTATTGGCCGAGGGAGCCGGGGTACAGCTCCCAGGTCATGTGGCCAGCATGACTAAGCAGCTTCTGGCAAACCACAGCAGCGCACGGAAATGCCCTTTACCTTCCCGCCAGAGTGGTATCTATTTATCTACTAGCACTTTGATGTGCTTTCGAACTGCTAGGTTGGCAGGAGCAGGGACCGAGCAACGGGAGCTCACCCCGTCGCGGGGATTCAAACCGCCGAGTATTAGTATTAGGGCTAAGCAAACATCTTAGCAAAGGCAGCATGACTGTCAGGATGCTGTCAGCGGCTCCCGGCTGGTCGCCCAGGAAAGTATAAAGACAAGGAAAAGTTTCTTATAGTCCTTTATTTCAAACTTTACAGAGAGAGGCTATAGAACCCAGCGTCTTGCATAATGGCGTTGTCCCGAATGCATCGCCGCCACCCCCCGTCTCTCCCATTTCCTCATTCATCATTATCATCACCTCCTCTATGGGTGCCCTCTGTCTTTGAGCTCTTTGCTCTCCTACTTTTAAGGCTCGCCGGGTTCTGGAAGATGGTGGGTCTGGAATGCTTTCTAGTGATAACGTTTCAGCCAGCTGCTCTTCCCAACTTTCCTGCTCATCTACCTCTGAGCTGTGACCTGCCTCAAACCACTCTTGCAAATCTATACTGTCTTCCTCTTCCTCCTCCCTGGAAGGGTCAGGATGGGGAGGCAGTCTCCACCATTCCTCCTCTGCCCAGTCCCTAACAACTGCATTCTCTAAACCAGTGCCCACCTACATGGTGCCTGCTCATTGCTGATGGACAACAATTTCCTCCATCCTTGACCAGGTTTAACAGGAGTTATGGTACCTTCAGATATCGGACTACGTTGGCTTTCCCTGCTATAGACCAGGTCTCCTAGAGTCTAGACTATGTAGCTATGTGCTTATCTTCGAGGGGATTTAATTGATGAGTCCTGTCAGAGGAAGCCCTGCGAAGGACTTTTGCTTGTGCAAAAGGGCTTCCTCCCACCCCACCCCACCCTACCCCCCCAAATTAGCTGTAGGGGTTCGGGGAACCCCCAGAACAGCATGTGGGGGGGGGGTAAGGGCTAGAGGCAAGAGAGGGGATCATTCCTTCTGGCAGTTTCAACATCTTTCCTTGACAGAACAATGATTTTAGCATGATGTTGAATTCCTTTGCAGGTATTCAACTGGGTTTTACTCAAGAGTTGATCCATTGGAATTAATGAACATAATTCAAGTTAAATAAATTGTTGTTGTTGTTGTTGTTGTTGTTGTTGTTGTTGTTTATTTATACCCCACCCATCTGGCTGGGCTTCCCCAGTCAATCTGGGTGGCTTCCAACCAAATATTAAAATACAGTAATACATCAAACATTAAAAGCTTCCCTAAACAGGGCTGCCTCCTGGTGTCTTCTAAAAGTTTGGTAGTTGTTTTTCTCTCTGACATCTGGTGGGAGGGTGTTCCACAGGGCGGGCGCCACTACCGAGAAGGCCCTCTGCCTGGTTCCCTGTAACTTGGCTTCTTGCAGGGAGGGAACTGCCAGAAGGCCCTCCTAGCTGGACCTCACTATCTGGGATGAATGATGGGGGTGGAGATGCTCCTTCAGATATACTGGACCAAGGCCATTTGGGCTTTAAAGGTCAGCACCAACACTTTGAATTGTGCTCGGAAGCGTACTGGGAGCCTATGGCGTAAATGGACCTATGCTGAGTAAAATTTAGTTGAATACCATCCTTTGTCTCCAGGTATGTTCAAATGACTTGACGCCACAAAGAGCTGTAGCATTTTGGACTGCAATTCTATATACACCTGGGAATAAGCCCCATTGAACCGTGTAGACACATATAGGGTTACACTGTCTCATATAATTAAATCTCATTATTTTTCATGTTAACGGCAAGCAACAATAATATGGAAAACTCCGTGACACGACTAAACTTTTCAGAATGTAAAACAGATCTTATTAAAGAGATTATATGCTCATTTGAGATAAACGTTGCTCAAATTTGCTGAACCAAAAGGAAATACAATTAATATAGTAACTGATCTTGACTTGAATTTACATGTGCCCTTGTGCATGTCAAACATCTCATGCAAAATCCCCCCCCCATTCAATTTCTGTACAAGTTTCACTTACACATCTTAGGACCCAAAGCCTTATATATTTTACAAACCCCTATAAAAGTCAAATATAGATGAAAGTTGGCATCCCAATACCATGTCATAACCAAATGTTAAGTGCAAAATCTAGCAACAGAGTGGCATAAAATCTACAAAGTCCGTGATTAAATGCAATAATGTGCAATTATTTTAAAGTTTGGAAGATTTAACCCCCCCCTTTTATATATAAAAAAGGATATAAAAATGTCCTAATTTTCCAAAGCAGCAAACAACTTGCCGATCTTTAAAACTGCTGTATCAGGTGAAAATCTTTCAGGGAGGGGGGATAACATTTGCAATGCTAGCACAACACCCCAAAACATGATGCTATATAAGTGACTTTACAGTTGAGGTGCAAGCAGATATGACTGCACAAGTGTTTTATGATCAGAGTAATAACATATTTACAAGCAAAATGGAAGAGACACTATCATATTTAACAAGAAGATTCTTAAGATTTAACTGCTCTGATTTCTGTTTAGGCGACTCTCCGCGCACCATGATTAAATTCCAGCATGGTACTCTATTTTACGAAGTACACGCCGTACCAGCTTAAAAGTCCTACCCTTTATAGATGCAACGTATAAAGTTACATTTAGGATTGCACCATGGTGAGGTTTTCATTTGTTAAAAAGGTGACTCTACCAGCAATCAGCAATAAAATCAAAGTGGTGCGCCATCAAAACACATCTATTTAGATGCAGATTATGTAGTAGAAACACGATGACAAACGTTACATCTTTAGAGTATAATCTTGCCAGGTATTATTATTATTATTATTATTATTATTAAACAATCATAGGAAATTAAATGATTGATGACTGATTGCTATTATCAGAATACATCTTATTAACTGAGATGCGCCTAGCTTACCCTGGGTAAAGGTAAAGGGACCTCTGACCGTTAGGTCCAGTCACGGACGACTCTGGGGTTGCGGCGCTCATCTCACTTTACTGGCCGAGGGAGCCGGCGTACAGCTTCCGGGTCATGTGGCCAGCATGACTAACCAGAACCAGAGCAGCGCACGGAAACACCATTTACCTTCCCGCCGGAGCAGTACCTATTTATCTACTTGCACTGGCATGCTTTTGAACTGCTAGGTTGGCAGGAGCAGGGACCGATCAACAGGAGCTCACCCCGTCACGGGGATTCGAACCGCCGACCTTCTGATCAGCAAGCCCTAGGCTCTGTGGTTTAACCCACAGCACCACCTGCGTCCCTAAAAGCTAGTTGAGGGGGCACCCGGATTTTAAAATACGGTTTCACTCCTGTGCTTAAGCTGCACCGACTGAGGGGCTATGGGATATGGCAGAAGGCCCTCACGCCAGTGCCCTCTCTGCCAATGAAATCATAAGATACAATGCTACCACTACATGAGATATACAAGCACAAACTTATGGCAGCTAAACTGGCACAGCTCCACCAGCATGACAGCCATGCCAGATTGGAGACATCTTTATGATTATGATTATGATTATTAAAATTTGCAAACTGCCTTAGACCTGCAGGTCTCAGGGTAGTTCACAAGATAGAATCGCAATGCAGTGGTACCTCAGGTTACAGACGCTTCAGGTTACAGACTCCACTAACCCAGAAATAGTACCTCAGGTTAAGAACTTTGCTTCAGGATGAGAATAGAAATCATGCTCTGGTGGCACGGTGGCAGTGGGAGGCCCCTATAGCTAGGAGAGCCAGTGTGGTGTAGTGGTCAAGAGCGGTGGACTCATAATCTGGTGAACCGGGTTCAATTCCCCACTCCTCCACATGCAGCTGCTGGGTGACCTTGGGCCAGTCACACTTCTCTGAAGTCTCTCAGCCTCACTCACCTCACAGAGTGTTTGTTGTGGGGGAGAAAGGGAAAGGAGAATGTTAGCCGCTTTGAGACTCCTTAGGGTAGTGATAAAGCAGGATATCAAATCCAAACTCTTCTTCTTCTCCTCTTCTAAAGTGGTACCTCGGGTTAAGAACAGTTTCAGGTTAAGAACGGTCCTCCAGAACAAATTAAGTTCTTAACCCGAGGTACCACTGTATAAAAACACAAAAGACATAATGAAAATAATAAAAAAAGAAGAACCTAATATCCCCTCCTCCCCATCACATTTTAAAAGGGCATTGGATGTCAATCAGCCAAAGGCCTGGTGAAAGAGGAACGTTTCTGCCTGGTGCCTAACAGTGTATAATGAAAGTGCCAGGCGGACTTCCCTGGAGAGAGCATTTCACAGAAGGGGAGCCACTGCAGAAAAGGCCCGTTCTTGTGTTGCCACCCTCCAGACCTCACGTGAAGAAGGGTCTCAGAAGATGATGTCAGAGTTCGGATAGGTTCAGTCAGATGGGCGGCATACAAATGTTGTTGTTGTTGTTGCAGATGGGCGGCATACAAATGTTGTTGTTACTACTACTACTGATACTACTATTATTACCATTATTATATGGGGAGAGAACCCTTCAAATACCGTATTGGTCCGAATATAAGCCACACCCGTAAATAAGCCCGCACCTTTAAAATTCAAGTGGTGAGGGAGAAAAAAAGTCAATACAGTGGTGCCCCGCAAGATGAATGCCTCGCAAGACGGAAAACCCGCTAGACGAAAGGGTTTTCCGTTTTTGAGTTGCTTCGCAGGACGAATTTCCCTATGGGCTTGCTTCGCAAGACAGAAATGTCTTGCGAGCCTTGAGATTTTTTTTTCGCTTTCCCCCCCCTTTATCTAAACCGCTAAGCCTTTAATAGCCTTTTAGCAGCTAATCCGCTAAGCCTTTAATAGCCGCTAAACCGCTAATAGCGCTAATCCGTTAAGCCGCTAATAGGGTTGCTTCGCAAGACGAAAAAACCGCTAGACGAAGACACTCGCGGAACGGATTAATTTCGTCTTGCGAGGCACCACTGTACCCGGATATAAGCCGCTCCTTATATCAGGCACTCACACCCGTAAATGGCATATGTAGAAGAAAATCCTATGGGTCCTATAGAGGACCCGCAATTGAAAGCGATGAATGACATTAGAATGAACTGCACAACAGCATCAAGCTCGCAAATCGGCAACAAAACATTATTTTGTTCCGTTTTACCGTATGTATGTTTCAGCAGCGATGTAAAAGCCAATTTTGGTAAGGTCGCGAATTTAAGCCACACTTTTCACAGTTGGAATTTGGGGGTAAAAAGTACGGCTTATATTCAAAGCCAATACGGTATTGAAAATGGCCTGGGTTCAATTAACCCAGTGCAAGTGGAAGCCAGCCCAAGGGTTCCCACTAGGGCAACATAGTTCCCCCCCCCCAATCTTCTCCCCCCAAAACCCCCGCCCAGCCCGTGATGGGAGGAGAGCAAAGGCACTGTTTTCTCTGGCCAGCCGAAACGCTCCTGCAGATGGAATGGTCCAAAGAGAGCGATACTGAATTCCTCCCCATAAATCCTGTTAACAGCCCTACCTTGTCCGAGGTGAGACGGCTTTTGAGAAGTCACGTGACCGCTTCTATCCAACAGGTACTGGGTGCTGAAATCGTCAGAAGCGGTCTTGGTTGTAATCAGGACCTAGAAGCGGAAGGTGCTGGCGTCAAACGGAAGCTTCCAAAATCATTTGGTAGAGGCTGCTCTCCTGCTCGCCAACCGCTGCTGCCATCTTCCCACATATTAATCGCCTGGAGCTTCCCCTTGGCTACCCCATACGACAACTCAGCTCACTTGTCCCCTGCCACTCCCAAAGCGATTTCTCTCTTCCATTTTGCAGCCCCACTGTGCACCTGTTTTCACCTTCACGCCAATACCCATGTGCTCTTTCTGTGCAACCCTCCTTGCACCCAAACCACTTTTATGGGTAGCTTCCTGTATCCTCCACTTCCTTCTCCCCCCACACATTGCAGCTGCTACACACCCTTCTCACCTTCTACGTAGCTGTGAGGTCGCCCCCTACCTCCTCTTCTGCAGACCCTTTTATCTTCGAACCCAATCCCATGCCTCCTACTCCCTCTCCACCCCTCTCCATTTTCACCTTTACTCCTTTTTCCACTACCCTCCTCCTCAGTTTTCCTCAACTCTCCCTTACACGTTGATCACCCCCTATTTCTGTGTCTTACCTACGGCTGGGCGAGACCTGGTTTTCAACCTCGCAATATGTCGCCAACCAAACGTCGCAATATACCGATATATCACCATGTCTGAGGTAAGGACAGAACATTGGCTGGGCTTGTGGTTTTTCCCACATCGTGATTTTTGCTGGCGCCTGCTCTTGTGATTCGCTGCCTCTTGCGTGAGGCAGGAGGGAAGAGCTGAGCCGATACGAGTTAATGGGGGAATCAAGAGAAGCCTTTTCTCACATTGTGTGTGTGTGTGTTATGCAAAAATCACGATTCACGATATATTGCCAGGTCAAAAATTACAAAACTGGCATCACAATATGGACTTCAAACCAGTTTTGGACAATACACTGATATATCACCCCAGTCCCAGTCATATTCTCTCTGCTTTTGTGCAGCGCACATTTACATGCACACATTATCCTCTTTGCCCCTTTTCTGTCCTCCTCGCTCTCCCTTCCACACAAAACACCATACTCATTTCCTTGCCGCCGCCTCCTCTCCTTAATTAGCATCCTTTATGCACACACCATGTACTAATCTGTGCTACTTTATCAATAATAATAATAATAATAATAATTACTTATACCCGATCCATCTGGCTGGGCCTCCCCAGCCACTCTGGGCAGCTCCCAAAAGAATATTAAAAACATGATAAAACATCAAACATTAAAAACTTCCCTAAACAGGGTTGCCTTCAGATGTCTTCTAAAAGTCAGATAGTTGTTTATTTCCTTGACATCTGGTGGGAGGGCGTTCCACAGGGCGGGCGCCATTACTGAGAAGGCCCTCTGCCTGGTTCCCTGTAACCTCACTTATTGCAGTGGAGGGAACCACCAGAAGGCCCTCGGAGCTGGACCTCAGTGTCCAGGATGAATGATGGGGGTGGAGACGCTCCTTCAGGTACACTGGGCCGAGGTCGTTTAAGACAAAGAGAATCTTAAGAGCAAGTCTGTCGTCTTGTTTTGCGCAAGGAGGTTAAGTTCCGTTGACGGATGTTGTATGTATATGGATGTGACCTTGTTAGCATCTTCTAAATTACTACACTGAATCCAGAAGTTTAGGTTTGAAGGCAACACATGGTACCCGGAGTGGAAAGTAGAAATGTGATAAGGTACTATGGAATAGTTGAACCTAACAGAGCCTGAGATACCTGCACTCAGGCCAATCCAGAATAATTTACAAACAAATAAGCACCTGAAACTATGTTAGGCTTTTACCTCAGACATGCTACAAATTGAACCCAAAGCTTCACCACGGAAACCGTATGTTGCCAAGTTTTCAAGGTCCTCAGATGAGCTTATTTTTGAAGTGTAGTGTTTCACAGCCGCAACAGGAACATCCGCTGCCTTGATCCCATCACCGTTATCTCGGATTTCAATCTTATCAAAACCATAGTTTTCCTAGTTAAAAGAACACACACAAACACATCAGGTGTGTAACCAGACACTGTTTAACTCTTCTCAATACATATCATATCCATAATTGTCATAGAGCTCCAAAAATATATGTATTTTTATAGGCTACAGGGCCTGTAATCATGCACACAATTTATGGTGTGCCACAAATTTTACGGAAATTAATTCTGATGAAATGTTAGCCCATATCCATAAGGATAAAGGTAAAGGGACCCCTGACCATTAGGTCCAGTCGTGACCGACTCTGGGGTTGCGGCGCTCATCTCGCTTTATTGGCTGAGGGAGCCAGCGTACAGCTTCCAGGTCATGTGGCCAGCATGACTAAGCCGCTTCTGGCGAACCAGAGCAGCGCACGGAAATGCCGTTTACCTTCCTGCCAGAGCGGTACCTATTTATCTACTTGCACTTTGACGTACTTTCGAACCTCTAGGTTGGCAGGAGCAGGGACCGAGCAATGGGAGCTCACCCTGTCACGGGGATTTGAACCGCCGACCTTCTAATCAGCAAGTCCTAGGCTCTGTGGTTTAACCCACAGCGCCACCTGTGTCCCATATCCATAAGGATATTTTTTTTAAAAAAAAAAACACCCTTCTATTGGAACCAAAATAACAGAGTTTTCCAAACCCAAATACAACTGCAGAGGGACAATTTGCGGGGGGGGGGGGGGAGGAGGATCACAATTAACCCTTTCCTCCCCAGATGTGACCCCCCCAAAAAAATCAGCACTCTCCTGCTACAATTAGGCTTGGAAAAAGTCCTATACCGTTGTACCTCGGAAGTCGAACGGAATCCGTTCTGGAAGTCCGTTGGACTTCCAAAATGCTTGCAAACCAAGGCGCGGCTTCCTGCAGCCAATCGGAAGTCGCGGAGGACGTTCGAGTTTCAAAGAACATTCACAAACCAGAGAACTCACTTCCGGGTTTGCGGCATTCGGGAGCCAAAACGTTAGAGTCGCAAGGCGTTCATCAACCAAGGTAAGACTGTATTGGTTCCAGTAGAAGGTCCCGTCCCCCCCCCAAAGTCTAACTGTTGCAGTGTGTGTGTGCTCATAGTTCAGCTGCCTCATCACCCGTACTCTTCAGGAAGATCAACCGCTTCCTCTCATTAAACTGGGGGGGGGGGGGGAGAGCAAAAACAGTTTTTCCAAGCCTTATGGCTTAGGTGAGTGCGCATATTGTAGTGTGTTTGTGTGTACATGGCTGCAACATGTAGGCAGCAGACACAACGGCTTTTTCAGTTTGCAAATAGGCCCATGGGCCCAATAATCATACACAAACTATTAGTGCTTCTTAGAATGCTTTGCATCCCACTTCAGGGGTTTGGTTTTTTTGTTTTGTTTTTTGCAGAAGTGCGATCTATTAAATGTTTCAACAAAGCAAAAGACTGCAAGCAAAGTTCAGAAAATTATCAGCCGGCACTGTATCTGGAAAGACTTCTGCGTTCTCAAACAATCCCCTTTGGTTTCGATTGCTAGTCCTGAAGGCAAGTTAAACCAGATTATCCACATTGTCAAAAGGAGCAGCAACATACAAGAGAAATCTTGGAAAACCTGCTTTTCGTAGAGGTTCACGTGTATATACCTTAGGGTCCAAAATCTGTAATTCCTCAGGGCTGTTTTCCATGTTATATTTGTTGACACTGGTATTCCCTTACTAATCAATCCCACATGAAAGCCTACTGCCTACTTATGAAACACACACAGATATGAAGAATCTGGTGGCACACGGTTACCGCAATGTGCCTTGTAGATTTGCGCCTGGACTCTACGCTACCCTTTTCTGGGGACATGGATCCTAAACCCTGTTCGGTTCAAGGGCCATAATTTCAACACACAGCTATCCAAGATCTTCTTAAAGACCTTCAGCAATGAAGAGCCCATCACCCCACCCACACAACTGGTTCATTTCCAAATTGCCATCAAGATGTTCCTCCCAGCTTGCAACTAAAATCCACCGTCCTGTAATGTAAGCCCATTGGATCTAGTCCAGACCTATGGCGTAGCAGACAGCAACTCGTTGCCTTGTTCTATATGACCCCCCTTTCCAGTATTTGAGGAGTGCAAACAACCTGAAAATAGTGTTTTGGAAGACAAAAGAAGCAATAAGAGATAAATCTATGCTTTATTATTATTATTAGTTCCACCAGGCCTTTGGTCAGGGCCCAGCCTGACTCCCTCCTCTGGCAACCTGCACAGAATTTTGCTTAACGGTTGCCATTAATTTGATTTTAATTAATTTTTATAATGAAATGTATTTAGAATGTTGGATTATTTGATTGTTGGATTATTTGATTGTTGTTAGCTGTCCTGAGCCCGGCTTCGGCTGGGGAGGGCGGGATATAAATAAAAATTATTATTATTATTATTATTATTATTATTATTATTATTATTATAGTTGAATATTCAACAAATCTACCGCCTCTGCATAGAGACTCCTCATATGTCCTTCAGAAAATAGAGCATTTGATCTTACTGGGTGCAGTATTTTAAGAGGAATTCTGTTGCTGCTGCTGCAAGGATTTTTTTTTTTTAAATGAAAATAAAATATGTTTTAGGCAAAGCAGAGACCTCTATGTTTCAGAAAACATTTATTGTCAACCCCTTCCTAAAACCATTCACTCCCTCCGTTTTTAAATAGGCTACCAAAAGCTTTCTTCAAGTAAACAGCGTTCAAGTGAGCAAAGTCTGTAAAATGTAAATTGTGATCCTCAAACAAACAAATGATTAACCCCACAGAAGTCATAGAACCAGTCCACAAACTTGTTTCAATGATTTGATATTATCTGGAACTTTGGATTAAAAAATAATAATTGCAAATCATATTCTAACGCACTCAGTGGAACAATTATTATTTTTGGGTATGTACTAAATGTTAATAATTATCCCACATGAATAGTCATATGCAAAAATATGATTTCCCTTCAAAATGAAATCTTGAGTTCAATAGGGAGCTCCAAAATTATACACACACATTTTCAATCAAGAACTTACCAGCCAAAACCCAACATCTCCAGATCATAGACACAAACAAAGGAATCTGCATTTCAGCAAAGTTCAATTTCCTTACGCTTGGCAGGTTTAAGGAACTTCAGAATGATTTATATGGTGCCTGCGTGAATTCAAGCTATACATCCATATAAACCGCCAAAGATTATCAGATGTTGACAGAAATGTGTTTGTGAAATTTTAAAGCACAACTATATAAAAGAATGCACTATTCAAACCTTCATGCAATAAAAAATGAGTATTATTGTATTCCCATCCGTTTTCCAGTTTTAGCTTAATATGACTTACCAATTTAACATCAACATTTGTTGCGTTAGCATCCAAAGAATTCTCTAATAGTTCTTTAACCACACTGACAACAGACGTTATCACCTGCGAACTCGAAACCAGCCGGATAGTTTCTGCTGCCAATTGCTTCATTTCCAGGCTTTCAGGATCAAATCTGAGTGGGGAAATATAAATAGCACAATTTTATGAACGTAGTTTTTTAAAAAAAAAATATTGCTCATTTCCAACACAGAAGTGACTGGAGTAAAATATAAAATAAGACAGAAGCATGAAACGATGTTAAATTGCAGGTGTCGTTCAACTGAACTCAGTACCTGTTGCATACTGCATGTATAATCAGAGCCTACTTCAGTAAATATCAATTTGTTAGTGGAAAAAATGTAGGCCATCCCTTTCAAATATAGACAGCTGTGTTCTTGTAATGCTTGGTGTATCTTCAGGGACCAATTTCAGGTTTTGATGGAAGTGGGCCGATGGGGAGGGAAAGGTTAACAACCCAAAGACCCACTGCTGAATATTTTCAATATTGCATTGCAAAAAAAAAAAAAAAAAAGACGTCTCTTTTGTCATCGATAGACTAGTTCAGACATAGCTCAGCATTGTAAGAATGTGACTGTGACCCAGATTGCATGACATGCTAAGCCAACCATGGGTTAACATGAATGTGTGAGACCCCAGAGACAACTGTGTTCAGTTGTAACTGGAGACACTGAGATTATGTACGGGTGTTTTTTAATGTGTAGATATATTTTCAAGAGCAGAATCACAATATAAATTTATTATTTATAGACGGTGATCTACAAAACACTGATTTCGGTATATTCAAACACAGAACCCCCCACAAAACATCCCACTGACGTCCAAGGCAGTCAATCCAAAGTAGCTAACAAAGCTCATCCGTTGAGGTGAGTGATTTAGACTGAACATAGAAGGAATGTCCCTGAAAGAATACACACTATATTCTCGTTTTGTATGAGTAGTGTGATCTTGGTTGGGTTGCTAAAAAAGAAACATGTTCCATTTCTTTTCACAGTGAGGCTATCAAGCCTTCCTGCTATACAGAAGTGGTCCAATGTTGGGCAAAGTTGGAGGGGGCTGTCTGCTGGGAGCCATTATTTGGACACTATGGAAGGACAGTATTAGAAGCAACACATTTCTGAAGAACATCTCCTGGGAACCATCAGTGGGGAGAGCAAGGCACTGTTGCTCTCAGCTCCTGCTTGCATTGGAATCTGGTTGGCTACTGGACTCGATGGGCCTCTGGCCTGATCCAGCGGTGCTCTTACAATGTGTGGCCCTTGTGTCTGACTGGGTGATGTGTGCCCAATGTCCTGTGGGGTACCTTACAGCACACCCTTGTATAGGTAAAGGTAAAGGGACCCCTGACCATTAGGTCCAGTCGTGACCGACTCTGGGGTTGCGGCGCTAATCTCGCTTTATTGGCCGAGGGACCCGGCGTACAGCTTCCGGGTCATGTGGCCAGCATGACTAAGCCACTTCTGGCGAACCAGAGCAGCGCACGGAAACGCCGTTTACCTTCCCACCGGAGCGGTGCCTATTTATCTACTTGCACTTTGATGTGCTATCGAACTGCTAGGTTGGCAGGAGAAGGGACTGAGCAATGGGAGCTCACCCTGTCGCGGGGATTTGAACCGCCGACCTTTCGTTCGGCAAGTCCTAGGTTCTGTGGTTTAACCCACAGCGCCACCCGCGTCCCACACACCCTTTGTATAGCAGGTCCCTAAACCTGGCTCTATGAAGAGGACAGCGACTACTCCATCGCTTCCATGCACTTTATTATACGCCATGCCCTCACTGTGTGTTTGTTACATGCAAAAACTGGACCAGCCAATGACTGAATGCAACCACACTGATTCAAAGGCGTTGCCCACGCTCCTGGTACTGGCCTGGAACAGTACAGTGGTACCTCAGGTTACCTACGCTTCAGGTTACAGACTCCGCTAACCCAGAAATAGTGCTTCAGGTTAAGAACTTTGCCTCAGAATGAGAACAGAAATCGTGCTCTGGCGGCGCGGTGGCAGCGGGAAGCCCCATTAGCTAAAGTGGTGCTTCAGGTTAAGAACAGTTTCAGGTTAAGTACGGACCTCCGGAACGAATTAAGTACTTAACCTGAGGTACCACTGTACTGGCTAACCTTTGCCTCCCTCCCCAGAGGCTGCTTTTCTGGCTTTCTTTACCCAATTAGCTTAGTTGGCAGAGCAGTGGTTTCCAACCAGTGCGCCGTGGCACCCTGCGGTGCCTTGAACCCTGGACAAGTGTGCCACAAGCAGCACCAGCCTCTATCCCTCCCTCCTTCCTTCCCTTCCTCCTCTGCCCTCTCATGTCTCTGCCTCCAGAGGCACACACAGCAGTTTGTTGGCAAATTGTGCTTCTGCGGCTGGCCAGGGGGTGCCGGTGGCCAGGAGTTAAGGTGGCCTTGGAGTAAGCAGGCGAGGGTTCCCAAGGGGAGAGGAGACAGGGCTGAGGGAACCCTCCACAAGGGAGGGTGTCCAAAAAAAGGGGTGAAGAGATGACGGCTTGGCAGGCGTGGGGTGACGTAACTGAGCTCCTGAGATTTGGAGCACCTTTTTTCAAAGGGGAGCCACAGAAAGAATCGCCATTCGAAACTCCCATTGTTCTAGGTGCGTTTTGCGACAGGGAATTTTATTAGCGCGAGCAGTTTCTGAGCTCTGGGCGCAGTACTGCGCCTAAGGTTTCAGATTAAAATCGTAGAGTGGAAGGAAAAGAGGACCTTTTTCTGCCTCCCCACTTCCAGCCACTCTCTGAAGAATATACCTTATTTTTCGCTCTATAAGGTGCACTTTTTCCCTCTTAAAAAGTAAGGGGAAATGTGTGCGTCTTATGGAGCGAATGCAGGCTGCGCAGCTATCCCAGAAGCCAGAACAGCAAGAGGGATCGCTGCTTTCGCTGCGCAGCGATCCCTCTTGCTGTTCTGGCTTCTGGGATTCAGAATATTTTTTTCTTGTTTTCCTCCTCCAAAAGCTAGGTGCGTCTTATGGTCTGGTGCGTCTTATAGAGCGAAAAATACAGTAGAAGAGACCCTCTTAAGAATATTAGGGGGGGCAGGCAGGGGAAGCATGGTTTTGTTTTGTTTTTCAGTCTCCAGATGAGGACTTAGACCATGTGAAAAATGAACCTAAGATTTTAGCTGCAGTTCATTCATTTTCAGCTTTGCATTCTTGTTATTAAAAAAAAAGCCACGCCTAGACATTCCGTTGTTGCGCACATAACCTAGGTATAAGGCGCCATTTAGCTTCTAGCTTTCATATCTCAGTTTCTAACGCTGGAAAGAAAGTAGTTGGTCAAGAGAGCTGTGGGCTCCAAAAGGTTGAAAACCTCTACGGTAGAGAACGAGCCTCTTAATCTTAGGGCTGTGGGTTCCAGCCCCACGTTGGGCAAGATTCCTGCATTGCAGGGGGTTGAACTAGATGACCCTTGTGGTCCCCTCCTACTCTACGATCTGCAGATGATATGCATAAGAACACAAGAAGAGCCCACTGGATCAGGCAAACAGCCCATCTAGTCCAGCATTCTGTTCTCACAGTCGTCAACCAGGTGCCTACGGGAAGTCCCAACCTGAGCACAATTTAACACTCCCAAGAAATCCTGTTGACAGCAAGACCCACACCATGCGATGGGCACCCCTTTCTTCCTACTTGCGCATGCTTTGTGACTGGGCTATTACTCTGGGAAGGAAAGAAGCCAAAACATCCCATAATAATAATAATAATTTATTATTTATATCCCACCCATCTGGCTGGGCCTCCCCAGCCACTCTGGGCGGCTTCCAACAAAATATTAAAATACAATAGTTCATCAAACATTAAAAGCTTCCCTAAAGAGGGCTGCCTTCAGATGTCTTCTAAAAGTCTGGCAGTTGATTTTCTCTTTGACATCTGGTGGGAGGGTGTTCCGCAGGGCGGGTGCCACTACCGAGAAGGCCCTCTCCCTTGTTCCCTGTAACTTGGCTTCCCGTAGCGAGGGAACCACCAGAAGGCCCTCAGCGCTGGACCTCAGTGTCTGGGCTGAATGATGGAGGTGGAGACGCTCCTTCAGGTATACTGGACCAAGGCCATTTAGGGCTTTAAAGGTCAGCATCCCACAGCGCTCTGGATGTGGATGGTGTTCACTACACAATAAATTTTCCCTTTTTTGCTCTCTTTTACCTAGAAGCACATTTTAAAAAAAATGTGGAAAGGGCATTCTACCTCCCGCCCTTCAACAGAGAAATTAAAAAGGTGAAGGTGGTCGTCGCGGCGCAGTGAGTCAGTGCGCCTGTCTGTTAACCAGAAGCCAAGGTGCCAACTTGAATAAAATATGGGGGGGGGGCCCTCAGGTAAACCCTGCCCTGCATAATTGACCACAAGACACGGTGCATGCATACCATTTGAATGGCAATGCCCATCAAATTGGAATGGGGTGGCCCCCTCAAATATTTTATTGGGGGGGGCATGGGCATATTCAGGATTATGTTGCGGGATGGGCGGAACCGAGTTATCTCCAATGGTTAAGTATTTTTATTTATTTATTATTAGTTAAGCATTTTTATTTACGGACTTGCCCCTCCTGGCTACATCCATGTTAGGGGTGTGTGTGCTGAAGAGGACCTCGGCTCCTAGGAGTTGACTCCTACAACCAGAAAATGGATGGCTCAAGCGACAACTGTGGGCAGGATAGGTGCGTTGCAGGGTTGGTCTAGATGACCCTGGTGGATCCCTCCCGGATCCCTCCCAACTTTACAATTCTGTGATTCCATGTGCAATACTGTATTTGCATGCTGGTCAGTTTTTAGATGCCACTGGACTGGGGGTGTATGTGGCAAAAGTAACAGAACCTGAAGTTTCTTAGCCCCAGAAACCCACCCTCCAAATAATCTCTCCGCCAAGGCGCAACTTCTTCCTTCGCTTGCATCCGGTGCCACAATCCAGGCCTAGAGCAAAGCGCAGGAAGGTCCTCGGAGCAGGGGTGCCAACTGGAATAAAATATTGGGGGGGGGGCAGGTAAGTCCCACCCCACATAACCGATCGCATGACGCGGTGCATGCACGCGGACTGAATTGCAACGCCTCCGATATTGCAATATTTTATATGGGGGCGTTGGGGCGAAGGGAACTGTCTCCTATGCAGCGCCGCGAGGCCAGAGGAAGGCGAGGGAAAACAAACAAACAAAAAGCCCCCGCCCTCCCTGCACCCCAAAAAAGCAGCTCGTCAGGCCGGCCCTCCGCTACCTGTTCCGGGGCGGCCACGCAAGCCGGCCGAAGAAACTCCCCCCTTCTCTCCGCCTCCGGGAACGAGGCGCGCTCCGAGCCGCTCCCCACACCGCTCGCGCCCACGCGCGCGCACACCTCGGCCGGAGCAGCGGCGGGGGCGGGGCCGAGACGCCCCGGCCAATCAGCTGCTCCGCCTGCTCCCAGGGCAACGTTCCACGGCGGTGGCCAGAAGGGTCGGGCGGCGTTTGCAAGCGAGCCGGAGCTGCCGAGGAGGGTCCGTCGCCGAGTGCATCTCCCCTCCCGGTAAGGGCGAAGAAGGCGCGCTGTGCCGCGGGGCAGGTAGGTGCATGGATGGTTTTATGTGTGTGCGCGCGCCCTCGGCGCCAAGGCCGTCGTTATGCAACTGGTGGCGGTGCGCGGGGCCGTGCGCTCCGTGCAAGCGCGGCTCCTCTGCGCAACAAAAGGCGGCTGCACCCTTCGGGGAACAATGCATAGAGCTCTGCTGCTGCGTCTGCGTCCTCTAGGCATTGCGCGGAGGCCTCTTCTTGCTGCTGCCGCTGCCTCTGGTATTTAAATGCAGCAATTGCTTTAGAGGTGTGTGCCCCTTCTTTTTCGCAAAGGCGCACCTCTCCGCTTCGAGACAAAGGATCCTCGGTATGCTGCCGTCATGGCTCGGGCCGAGCCCGTTGCATCTGCCATGATCAGGGTGTCGGGGCTGGCGTGCTGCTGGCAAGGAGAGAGAGAAATGGATGCAGACGTTGCCGAAACCAATGCACGGTGGTGGTGGTGGTGGTTGCTAGTGCGTGGTTGCTGAACGCAAAAAAGTGGCTTGAGCTGTGCGGAGCTTGGGGTGGTAGTGGTGAAATAGACGTGCAGTTTTGCTTGGCCCACACTGGGGTGTGAGCCGGAGGAGGAGGAAACGATGTTTACCTTTCCCCCATATATACTGCACCCCATAGAGACGTACAGTAGTTGTGTATCCTGTTGCAAAGCAGGAATGCACCCCGAGGCGTGCACATTTTAAGAACGTGGTGAAACAATGGCCTCTCGCCCTGGGAGCAAACTGTTGGGAAAGAGTTCTTCTCCGCTTTCTTTTATAGTCAGATGTTGTTTGCAAGCGACATGCCCGTATACTTGCCACTAAAGCCGTTTTAGAGCTTTGGGTTTAGTGGAGCTAGCGCCCCAAACGCCTCCAGTCCTAAAAAGTTCAACTCTCGAGAAAGGATGCAGTTTTATTGCGAGATGAGCCTCGGTTGATTTACTGGGACAGTGATTAATTTCCAAGTATGCACATTTTTTTTAACGCCCTAAGTCTATGTGCTGATTGATGTGGCTTCGGTCTTGTACTCATTTTTCTTGAGGATCTTGCTCCCACAGCTTCCTCAACCTCAGCCCTCCAGATGTTTGTGGCCTACAACTCCCATGATCCCTAGCTAGCAGAACCAGTGGTCAGGGATGCTGGGAAATGTAGTCTCAAAAACATCTGGAGGGCTGAGGAAGCCTGGTCTTGAGAATAATTGTTACTGTGTGTGTGTGTGTGTGTGTGTGTGTGTGTGTACAGTCAATTTACATTAAACTATATTCTCATTTGGGGACTCAGGTGGGTGAGTATGCACATATAGGAGGGACCAGAGCATAACTGAACATTGTTTTCAAGGAGGCATCCTTCACCAGTCAGGTATTACGCGTCTCCTAGTACAATAAGGAAAATGCAAAAGGGAAAATGGAGTGAACGTTCTGTTTAAAATTGACAACGCACTTGCTAGTGTCTCCTTGGCAATAAGACTCGGACCTGACACAGGCTTTCCACAAAGTCTCTATTCCCAACATAATGCAAATTATTCTCATCCTTGGTGTCAGTCATTTCTTGAATGACAAAACTGGATCCCATTATTAAGAAGATGCAATGGAACTCCCTTTTTAAAAAAAGAAGGCTGAGTTTTAGGAAATTGACGATCTTACACCCTCTCATTTTCTTTCATCCAAAATATAAACAAAGCTTGGGGTCCTTTACCTATTTACCTGTTCTTAAATTGACCTTTTTGCGTGTACAGAATTCTGTGACTGATTTTACATTGCGTAAAGTGCATTGAAATAAGCATTCAGTGTGTGTTTTTAAGCCTGATGTTTAGGTAATGTTAACTACTGTTGACATTTTATGCTTAAATTCTGAGTATTTCTGAGTAGGGAATTGACTACACTTTCTATCAAACTTATTTCCCTCCCTAATTTGGGGGGGGGGGCTGGCTTATTTCTTCTATGGAATGTCATAAAATTGATCTGTGATTGACTAACTGCATAAAATTGCAGCAACCTCTAAAACTGACAGCTTATAAACATTCAAAAAGCTTATTTAACGTCCATCAGCCTTAACTCTTTGTTTGCAGGGGAGGTGTGTGTGTGTGTGTGTGAGAGAGAGAGAGAGAGAGATGTGGAATTTTTGTTGCTTTGAAGGCAAATGAAACTAAAGTCTGTTGAAACTAAAGTGCCTCTGAACACGAGCACTTCTTATACACTAAGCCACAAACATTGCTGCCAGGTAGGGATAGGTCTACTTGTAAAAATGGAGATACTGTGCGTGTAATTTTGCAGCGCAGTTAAAAAGCAAGCCAGGAGTTGGTGATACACTGTTTTGAAATACCAGATATCGTTTTAACCTATGAGAAAGATGCTAAAGGTGTTTTGTGCAGCAATTACTTGTTATGGTCACGTCTGTAGTCTTCCAGTGGTATGTAGAATGTAACAGGTATCCCTGACAAAGCGTAATTTCTTTCAACCTTTCTGCAATATTACTTTTCAGAATAAGAAAAGAAGATGAACGTCGGGGTTGCCCACAGTGAAGTAAACCCCAACACAAGAGTAATGAACAGCAGAGGAATGTGGCTCACGTACGCTCTTGGGGTTGGCTTGCTCCATATTGTCTTGCTGAGCATCCCGTTCTTCAGTGTTCCGGTTGCATGGACCTTAACCAATGTTATTCACAATTTGGTAAGTACCCTACAAAGCAACGGAGAAAGAAAGGTGATACTAAGATACCTGTTACGAGGTAGAGGCCCGGGAAGGCTCCTTTCCCAGAAAACAATTGAGACTGTTGAATAGTGTCTTGAAATTTGTCAAAACAGAAATGTCATTGGAGTCAATCCATTCCGTTCCCGAGACGATAGATAACATGTTTAATCTCATCGTCTGGATACAGAATGATCTGGGGGGGGGGGCTCTTAACGCACCCAAGGACATAAAACAGGAACAAAAATAAACATTAGGAATATTCAAATAAGATGGCCATTGAAAGCACTCTTGCTCATCTGAAAACTAGTGAGGAATTTAAATGACTTCATTGGACCTCTAGAGCAACAATTGCGTTCAATCCAGGGCGCTGCATTCTCCCCAGCTAAGCTGCTTGAGGGTTGTGGGTCCCCTCCTGATGGTGGTGTTACTTGCGTGTTGAGGCCCCCCCAGGACAACCCCAAATAAAGACACAGTTCACACAACATCTTTGTTTTGGTTTTTGGCATAATTTTGGCCACGACATTATTGAATTACAGTATGTGAGTGGTTGCTTAGGCATTGGTTAGTGACTATCTGTTCCCATATAGAGGTAGGAACAGAACTGACAACCGCAAGCCTGCGGAAGTCAGTAAGGGTAGACATTTTTGGGGAGAGAATAGAGCTGGGTGCCAGGCTCTCAGCTCTCCCCAAATGCTCCCAGGGGCTCTTGCGTGGCCCTAGCCCCTTGCCAGGGGTTCGGACAAGAGCAGGGCGGGCCCCTGGATTCCTTTACCGGAATACCCTTGCAGCAGCAGCATTGGAGGGGCAGGCACAGCCAACCACATCCCCTCCACCAACCAAAATTAACCAATGCCTAACTGCAACCTTAACTGCAACCTTACAAGTTGTGACGATTTGCTACGTAGTAGGCAAAAAACCAAATGGCAGCAGCCAATCAGCCAAATGGTAAAAATTCCTACCAGGCCCCTGCTCCAAAGCAGACGACCCCATGACAGGCATAGCAAGGTCAGCACGAACAAACCCTAAATATAGGGAGGGTGGACGGGTAATCCGATGTGCGCAGCGAAAAGAGGAAGCTCAACACTGCGCACAGGGAATAAATAGCACCCCCATCAATCAAACAATTTTGCAACATTAAATCCCCCCCAGCAACAATTGGAGGTGTAGGTGTCCTATCAAATTCATGGCCATTCATACTAACCTGCCCAGCAACAGGGGATGTCATGGTTGCCCCCACCGCAACACGTGCTCTCTCAAGAACCTATGGGCCACTTCCCTACTGGCCTGCGTGTGCTTCTCCCTTTGAAAATGGCCAGAGGGGCTTCTGGGGTCCTCTTGCATTTCTTAAAGGAGTAGGCACTTAACCACTGCAAGAAAAGAAGCCTGCTCTCCAACTAGCTCCTCCATAGAGGAATGGGAGAGTTCTGCAGAGGTCTCTGTGAAGACAATGGGGCTCTGGGTTAATAATTTCCCATTCTTTGTGGAAAGGACACCAGTTAGACAGGGAAAGCAAACAGAGACCAATAACACCGGTCTTGAAAGACCTACACTGACTCCCAGTACGTTTCCGAGCACAATTCAAAGTGTTGGTGCTGACCTTTAAAGCCCTAAATGGCCTTGGTCCAGTATACGTGAAGGAGCATCTCCACCCCCATCGTTCTGCCCAGACACTGTGGTCCAGCTCTGAGGGCCTTCTGACGGTTCCCTCGCTACGAGAACCCAAGTTACAGGGAACCAGGCAGAGGGCCTTCTCGGTAGTGGCACCCACCCTGCGGAACACCCTCCCACCGGATGTCAAAGAGAAAAACAACTACCAGACTTTTAGAAGACATCTGAAGGCAGCCCTGTTTAGGGAAGCTTTTAATGTTTGACGGACTATTGTATTTTAATATTTTGTTGGAAGCCACCCAGAGTGGCTGGGGAAACCCCGCCAGATGGGCGGGGTATAAATAATAAATTGTTGTTGTTGTTGCATGCTCCTTCTCGACTGTCCAGCGCTAACTTCACAGAGATGGGGTTAGGTTGCAAGCCATACCTTACTGAAGCAACCACCTTCATATAGATGAGCTTTGATCCTTGTGTGCAACTGCAGGTTTTAATTTTGCAAACGCTTTGCAATTGTTTGGCACAACAGGTTAAGCATGCAGTAAAATCTTAATGAGAAATGCTATGACTGCCATATTCCCCTGGATAAACAAAGTGCCACCTCAGGGCCTAGGCCTCTGGGGTCATTAGAAAGGCCCGAGAGACTTAGCTGATGCAGGCAAATCTTTGAATAATGTTATGCAGGGAGGCATTTGGTTGATTAAAGCAAGCCAAAGTGGCTTCTTATTTTGTTTACCTTAAATGTCACATTTAAAGAGTCAAATTTATAACTTCTGACACAAGAGGCATCTTGGGGAATATTACTAAGTGCCGCACCTATAAAAACATCTCAGCTGTGATGAATTACTCCTGGCCAGTATTAATGCTGCCTGTAGAATTAAGTGTCGATTGTGACAAGCAGATAACTTGCTCGATTTCAGGCACTATGAATGGAGAACTGTGAGATGTTAGACTTAAAATAATTTGCACATTATCTGCTATTAATTAACCTGTAGGTTGTAGGGAAGTGAGCTGCTTTTACTGTACTGGAGTAACACACAAAGCTCCAGAAACACACTGGCCATTATTTTTAAAACTATTGCTTTCTAGTACCAGCTTATAGACTACCTTTTCTTTTGCTCTTCTCTGAGGAAAAAATCTCTAGTGCTGCTCCTAAAAGCACCTGGAGCATTAAAATAGTCTTCCTGTACTTTTTGATGTTGAAAAGGGAACAAATGATATATGAAGAAAGGGAGTTCATGTGGGGAGGCCACAACAGCAAAGTCATATTTCGGGCCCTGCCTTCAATTTGCACCTTCAGTTTGTGGTTGAGGGGAAAAAGGTGATTTAGAGTGAAGATTCAGGAGCCGCCTTGTCCTGCCGTGCCCTTTAGGTATCACAGACTTGATAATTTTATTTATTGAAAACATTTACATGCTGCTTAACGTTTCAGAAACTTCCCAACTGGGTGCAGCCTGGGAATTGACCCTGTTTTGCACAAAACCAATGCAAAAATCAAAGGGAGAACCTTACAAAACCATTTTGACTTTGAAACCCCTGGAAGATGGGCGGTTGGAATGCTATGTTCTCCTTCAATTGAAGGGAGTGCAATGTTGAGGACACTCAACACCCTTGACACCTAAAGAGACATACTTGAGAAATAAACGACTTGTTACTTGAGAGCTCCTATTGTGAAACTCACCGGTGCATCACTGTCCCTACCTCAAATTGCCTTTAAATCAGCTTATTTGGGTCGCACCCCCAGTTGCGAATTTCTCCAACATTGGTGTGACTTTCAGCTCAATACTGGGCAGTTCTATTCAGAAACAAAGCCTGGGATTTACCGTATTTTTCGCTCTGTAAGACGCACCAGACCACAAGACGCACCTAGTTTTTGGAGGAGGAAAACAAGAAAAAAATATTCTGAATCTCAGAAGCCAGAACAGCAAGAGGGATCGCTGCGCAGTGAAAGCAGCAATCCCTCTTGCTGTTCTGGCTTCTGGGATAGCTGCGCAGCCTGCATTTGCTCCATAAGACGCACGCACATTTCCCCTTACTTTTTAGGAGGGAAAAAATGAGTCTTATACAGCAAAAAATACGGTACTTAACATTGCTGCCTTCCAACGTTAGTGTTGGTGCCCCCCTCTGTGCAGATCAGCTGAAGAGAAGGGATCATCACATGTTCAGTCTGATGGGCAGGGAAGTAGCAATCTGGATCCCCATTAAAGCCCTAAATAGAGTAGAGAACTTTAAACCTCTCCCCTTCGCCTCATTCAGTGTTATGTGTACTTTAATCCCCACCCCCTTTTTGTTGTTGTTCAAAATCAGAGGGGTCTTGCAGGGCCAAAAATTTTGCTTTGGCTGAAGTTAGCCACCCCCATTCATAGGGTTTTGAGAAAGACCACACAGTCCGTTTCTTTATCAACTATTCAACTTTTCCAAAATAATAAGCTAAGGAGGGTGTGACATGGAGGCTAGCCACTGAGGACAATCACCATTTGTCTTGCCATTTCTGCGTAGTCATTTGTCAAGCATGGGCACATATGCAAACACAGAACAAATTCCTCTTTTCATTCAATAGCAGTTCTTAATGTGGCATGATTATTTCTCACAGAGATTCTGTGTGGTTTTCTAATAATGCCATAGCTTGCCTTCTTTTATTTTATTTTTTCTCCGCAGGGAATGTATGTATTTTTGCATGCTGTAAAGGGGACACCATTTGAAACACCTGACCAAGGTAAAGCAAGACTGCTGACGCACTGGGAGCAGCTGGACTACGGCGTGCAGTTTACATCCTCCCGGAAATTCTTCACAATCTCTCCAATTATTTTGTAGGTTTCTTTGTTTATTTCAAGTTCAACTACGGCAGTGTTTGTAGTCTGGAAATTGTGAAACAGTAATATTTGATGTGAAAAATCAGTTACTGCATAGGGTAACAATGTGTGAAATCTGCAAAAAATAATATTGGGGTCACATGTTTTACACAATCCTTTACTTGTCTACTCAGAAGTAAGTCCCACTGAGTTCAGTAATTCCTCAAACAAAAGAACTCATTTTTTTCTGTTTAGCTGCTTAGAAACATAATCTTATTGCTGTTCCTGCCCTCAGGAAACACACACCTACTGTAGTGAAGACTCTTTTGATTGTTTTTTCCTATTCTTGGATCTTTCGTTTCCACCAACTAATGCAGTATCCATGGTATTCTAAACCAGAGTCAAACTTTGAGCAACCTTATTACAACGATTGGTAATGCTCACAAGTATTAAGAATGCTCCGTGGGCACTCTATTGAACATTTGTTTTCTGAAACAAGCAAGGTAGCAACCTAGATTGTGAAACATGAACTATACAGAGGAATGCATTTGTCCATTGGCAGCTCAGTAGGTATTGCAAATAACGTTATGCAACAACCTGAAATATCTCAAGTAGACTGCTGGCATTCAGCTACAGTATATAAACCGTTTATACCGTAGTATAAACATGGCAATTTGTTGTAGGTAAGTCACTGTCTTGTCTGAATCCTTTAGCTTCCTACTCGTTGTAATGATTTATGAGATATTGTATATGATGGTTTGAGTGCTTGGGGAAAGTGCTTTTGTGAATGGATGCTAATTGTCTTGCAAGCCACATACCAGAAAGTCTAACCCAGCGGTCAGCAACCCTTTTCAGCCGTGGGCCGGTCCACTGTCCCTCAGACCATGTGGTGGACTGGACTATATTTTGGAAAAAAATTAAAATGAACAAATTCCTATGCCACACAAATAACCCAGAGATGCATTTTAAATAAAAGGACACATTCTACTCATGTAAAAAGACGCTGATTCCCATACTGTCCGCGGGCCAGATTTAGAAGGCGATTGGACCACATCCGGCCCCCGGGCCTTAGGTTGCCTAGAGGTAAAGGTAAAGGGGCCCCTGACCATTAGGTCCAGTTGTGACCGACTCTGGGGTTGTGGCGCTCATCTCGCTTTATTGGCTGAGGGAGACGCCATTTGTCCGCAGACAGCTTCCGGGTCATGTGGCCAGCATGACTAAGCCGCTTCTGGCAAACCAGAGCAGTGCACGGAAACCCCGTTTACCTTCCCGCCGGAGTGGTACCTATTTGTGTACTTGCACTTTGACGTGCTTTTGAACTACGTGGGCAGGAGCAGGGACCGAGCAATGGGAGCTCACCCCGTTGCGGGGATTCGAACCGCCGACCTTCTGATCAGCAAGTCCTAGGCTCTGCGGTTTAACCCACAGCGCCACCCGCGTCCCAGGTTGCCTACACCTGGTCTAATCTCTTTAAAGTTCCTGTGACTTCTGCAGTTGGAAATATTTTGTAATAAATGCATATTCTTTGCTGAGATTTTCCCCTTGAACCAATTGTCAGTTCTGAAGTGGTAATTTTATGCATGCCCTTCATTAAAAAGAAATTTCTTTCCTTCTGCCCTGTATTCACTCCCCCTTTGTTTTTCTGCAGGTATTTCCTGGCAAGCTTCTACACAAAATATGATCCGGCACATTTCATCCTAAACACAGCTTCTCTCTTAAGCGTACTTATTCCGAAGTTGCCACAGCTGCACGGAGTCAGAATCTTTGGGATCAACAAGTATTAAGCAGGAGAAACGAAACTAAGAGCAATCTGACCAAAACGTGGCATTGGCTGCTTGTTTCCCTTGGCGGAAGGAACAGTTTGCAGTGCCACTTCTCTAACAATCTACAACAAGACTTTCTACTCCCAAGATGTGTGCTATTCTTTCAAAGCTATACGGGAGAGGAGTAAGACTTTCTCAAGACGTATCAAACTTAAGTGGTATATCTTTGGAGGAAAGGCTTTGCATAAGGAGCTGGGCAGGCCTAGTTCTATTATGTTAGGTGCACTGGCAGGATATATGCCAGGCTAGCATAAATGAGTCTCAAAAGGAGAATGAGTAATTTGATTGAAGCATAGGCATAATGTTTCACAAGCCTAAGACAGCTGTGGTAACGCAAAGTGCATTAGGAAAAGAAGGGGAATTGCCCAAGTTCTCCACTGTAAGAGATGAGTATGGTTTAAATGCTGTAAAGTAGCCAGTTAATGCTTTTTGGGTGTTTTTTAATGTTATTATTTTACATCCAGGATTTTATCTCCAGCTGCAGGAGTTGCCAGGTTAAGGCAAGTGCTGTGACTCCATTGTAATGGATTTCATGCCTTATCGGTTCAGGGGGCTGAGGTCAAATTTAAAGTCTTTGTTTCATACCAATTTCAACCAATCAATAATGTTTTCCAGACAAAGCTGATCGTTCTAAAACGTTCAGAGTATCTAAACTTACAAAATGATCTGTAGAACTGGGTTCTTTTCCGCTTTGGCTGACCTTAGTGGTTGGGTTCATTAAGACCGAGATATTTCGCCTTCAGTGTAAACCGCTAAATAATTTTTCACTTCCAGAGATGGCTCGCAAAAATGAGAGCCCTGTTTCAGCTAATAGAAACACTGTCTCCAGAGGAATATCTGGCCTTGTACAGGCAACAACCATTTTGCATGGGGGTCGTGGGCCTGACCCCAGTGTTCGTTGGCTGAGTTCGCATAAGCCCGCTCTGCTCTGTTGCGCCCATGCCCCCTTTTCCAGATACTTCCTCGTCGCACGTGTGCAGTCACACACATATTGGACACGTGCAAAACATTCATTGCCTGTACTCGGCTGGAAATTGCCACGCAATGGGAAACACACAACACCATATTGTGCTCCACCCCCTTGTGCTTTACGCAAGTTGTGAAAATTAAGGGTGGACTGCAGGCTTGATTAGAACTGTAAACTGGGGGATTTTTTTTCCTTAAGAGCTTAAGGTCTTTGTTTCAGTGTTTGGTACTACCACGCCCTGTATCAGCATATGCACAAACAACCTGATGTGGCAAATACCTCTTGGATAAATCATTTTGTGTGACCCAAGGAAGAGGCTTGTGTTTCCCCCTGTTGAATGGGGAATGGCTGTGACTTGGTAGCAAAGAAAAGCACCTTGCTTCAATTAAGACTCTGCCTCATTGACTTCAAGCTAGTAGTGATTATGCACTAATGGGCTACTTTCAATAAACTATACTTTCCTTGGACTCTGGAAATGTCTGTTAAAATATCAATGTTTTATATTAATAAAATGAATGACTTTGAGACTGATCATATCAGTACAGTGCATTGTTAAGTACAGTTCGCTGTACCAAAATAAGAAGCAAGCATAACGAATTGTAAATAGAATTATAGTTGTAATGTAGGGCTAGTGTTTGAAACACTACATACTAAAAATGTATGAAGAATTGAGTAAGAAGCATTTTCAACAATTATCTAAGACATTGATGTGGTAAGGGTTTTCTGTCTGCCTTTTGACATTTCCCCTCAAATCTGATTTCTGTGATTTATTCAGATTAAAGAATAAATGCCCTAAGAAGTCTTTCATTTGTTTTAAAAATGAATTAATCAACGTACCATTTTGCTTCCCTTCCGTAAGGTAACATGGCAGGTTAAGGCTTGCTTACACAAAGTGAGATGCCGGATCTTGTGTGAAAATTGTCACGTTAGATGGCCTATGATGTGGCAAGAAAGATACGGGTCACTATTAGCATCCATCTGTCTCAGAAGACAATGGAGGACTGCGCCTTTGGGGTTGAAGTCAAACTGTTGGAAGGTTACGGCGCCTACTGTGGCAGTAGAGACTGATAGGGGAGAGATAGGTTTGGTTGCAGCTAGGGCAGATGAAGGCGTCTGGTTGTGCTGCTACAGATATACCACGGTGACCCTTCTATCTGCATTCCTCCTAGCAGTCATTCCCCCTCTGGTTACTGCTATTCATGCACAACCTTTCTTACAGTCTTCACGCACTACAGTTCCTATGCTCCCATTTATTTCTGCCAGGCTTATTTACATAGTAAATTTTCCTGAGAAGGAGACAGATGACTTAACTCAGAAGTCCTTTTTTTAGGGTTGCCTAAGCCATCATTTTGGCGCTGTGTGTTAAACCACAGAGCCTAGGACTTGCCGATCAGAAGGTCGGCGGTTCAAATCCCTGCAACGGGGTGAGCTCCCGTTGCTCGGTCCCTACTCCTGCCAACCTAGCGGTACGAAAGCACAGCAGTGCAAGTAGATAAATAGGTACCGCTCTGGCGGGAAGGTAAACGGCATTTCCGTGCGCTGCTCTGGTTCGCCAGAAGCGGCTTAGTCATGCTGGTCACATGACCCGGAGGCTGTACGCCGGCTCCCTCGGCCAATAAAGCGAGATGAGCGCCACAACCCCAGAGTCGGCCACGACTGGACCTAATGATCAGATGTCCCTTTACTTTTTTAAGTCATCATTTAGGCCTGCCTCTTCCATGTTTCACTTGTATTTTGCTTTTGATTCCACTGTGACTAATGAAAGCTGAAGTGCAGAGTAACTATTACCCCATTGAAATTACTCATGCATCAAGTGAGTCTTAACCAGACAGCTAACCTGGGTCACTGGGTTTGGTTTGCATAGTCATATTCCATTTAAAGAATAAAAGCTGAAAAGCTTAAGGCAAAGTAGGGCAGGTCATGCACAACATACTGAACTTATTCCAAAGTACATAGTATAAGACGTGATGGGCAGTAACCATGCAGAGTTGGAGAGGGAAATATGAAGTAAGAAGTTGCCTGCAATTTGTCTTGATCTCTAGGCCTCTATCAGGGGTCAGCAACCTTTTTCATCTGTGGGCTGGTCCCTCAGACCATGTGGGGGGCCGGACTATATTTTGGAAAAAAATACGAATTTCTATGCCCCACAAGTAACCCAGAGATGCATTTTAAATAAAAGCACACATTCTACTCATGTAAAAACACCAGGCAGGCCCCACAAATAACCCAGAGATGCATTGTAAATAAAAGGACACATCCTACTCATAAAAACACGCTGATTCCCAGACCGTTCGCAGGCTGGATTTAGAAGGCGATCGGGCGGCATCCGGCCCCCGGGCCTTAGTTTGCCTACCCATGGCCTATATCCTATCTCTACCAACTATGTTGCTAACAGAAATAGGGAGCAGATGGGAATGTCCTCCTGCCCATTCGTTGGATGTGCACTTTACCAGTTTGTTTAAAATTAGCAGTTAAGAACTAAAAGATCCTAAATGCAAACATTGTTTCATTATCAGCCACTGCAATATTTAAATCTGATACAATAACACTTTTCTAGCATTAAATGAAGTAATTTTTTTAAAAAAAATGATATTTATTGGAAAAAAATTTTTTTAAATTGCACACAAAAAAAAGACAAGACAGAAAAATAAAAAATAAAAATAAAACCATCATTCTCAAATTCTCCACTTTCAATACCTTCTTTCTTTGACCTCCTCCTCCCTTTTCTTGTATCCTGATTAATAATAATCACAGCAAATCCTTTCCATAATTCATAGTATTCTGTCATTACATTACCTTAATCTATTTTCATCTTATAGAAAACCTTAAAGTTTAAAACTTAAATCTTATTTTTACCAACTTCTCCTAGCCATAACATTCTTACCAAATTCTTTAGACATTTTTACAAGAGCCAAGTAATTTCATTTCAACATTTTTCTAGCATTCACCAATTTTATAGAACAATCCTAATGATAAAAAAAAAGAAATAAACAATCCAATCTTCATCCAGCGTCCCTTCCTCCTGGTCCCGGGTTTTGTCAGTCCTTTTTATCTTATTCATCTAGCACATTAACTTGGTAATCTTATATCTGAAGCCCTCAAGTCTCTTCCATGTCCCTTCCGCAGCTCTTCTTCATATTTTCCTTTCATTCGTGGGAACTCCAGCTTGGTAATGTTTTTGACCCTTTTCAACAAATCAGCCCCTTTTCCATACTCCAGACTAGACTCCATGTGGTATTTAAAAACATGTTTCAGATTCCCTCCAAAATTGAGAGCCCCCACAGCTCCAAACATCTGACGGCCCATTGCCAGACTCGAAAAGTCCAAATCTCCCTGTATAGGGGGGTCTGTCCAACCCCCCATTTCCAAACCATAAATGAAGTAAATTTTTGCATAATATTCCAAATGACAAATTTTTCAATTTTTCTGACTATAGTTCGACTAGGGTTGCCTAGAGAACTTACATAGCCCATTGGGGATGGGGGGAGAGCCAAACCTGATGAAATTCTGCCTTCCGTGTAATTTCTAAAGAACTGTTTAGGGAAGTTTTTAATGTCTGATATTTTATCGCTTTTATATTATCATTAATTCTGTTGGGAGCCGCCCAGAGTGGCTGGGGAAATCCAGCCAGATGGGTGGGGTAGTATTATTATTATTATTATTATTATTATTATTATTGTTGTTGTTGTTGTTATTATAATAAAATAATTTCTAAAGACATAATATAAATCACTAAATATAACCATTCAGTGGCTATACCTCCTAACCCTAACAACTGATTTTAAAATTGAATTCCCACTTTTAAGTTGCTGCAAATTTCAAAGGAAGTTTTATAGTAGTTATATTAAAAGATTTTTAAAGAAAAAAGCAGACAAAACATTGCAGTCACAAGCTCAGTATTAGACAATAGTGGATCAAATACTGTTTTAACTGTAAATATGACTACTGGTTTGAATGCAGGGTGATTATTTACTTACAGAATAATTAAAGGTAAAGGTAAAGGTACCCCTGCCCGTACGGGCCAGTCTTGACAGACTCTAGGGTTGTGCGCTCATCTCACTCTAGAGGCCAGGAGCTGGCACTGTCCAAAGACACTTCCGGGTCACGTGGCCAGCGTGACGAAGCTGCTCTGGCGAACCGGCACCAGAGCAGCACACGGAAACGCCGTTTACCTTCCCGCCAGTAAGCGGTCCCTATTTATCTACTTGCACCCGGGGGTGCTTTCGAACTGCTAGGTTGGCAGGCGCTGGGACTGAGCGACGGGAGCGCACCCTGCCGCGGGGATTCGAACCACGACCTTTCGATCGGCAAGTCCTAGGCGCTGAGGCTTTTACCCACAGCGCCACCCGCGTCCCTACAGCGCCACCCGCGTCCCTACAGCGCCACCTGCGTCCCTACAGCGCCACCCGCGTCTTGCTAATTACATAGCAAGAATTGTGTAACTAAAAATTATTAGAGGAACAACTGATTGCCCTTTCATGTGGCATGCTGCATGCTCCTGTATTTTTGGGGGCAAGTTGTTCCAAGCCCTTTTAAGGACTAAATAATTGTTTCAGCTGGACAAAATAAATGGGAGTAGCTGGTTTTAGAATTAGAGGCTAAGTCACCCAGATGCGTACACATAGCTAAGGAATGTTTACCTTCAGCTTGATCAATAAAGAGGATTTAATGGAAGAAATGTACTCGAGTGCTAAATGTCAGCAACGCTTAAAAAAATGAGTGACAGAAGCTTTGTACAGCCACGTTGTTGTTTTTTAAATCAGTTGCTGTTTGTTAAGGCTTTTGACTCTACAATCACTGAGATAACACAAGGAAAGCGACAACATTCAGAACTGGCCTGGACTTTGGATATAAAGTGACTCATTTTGTCCAAGACATCTTATTTCCAAATATCCAGAAATAGAATATTATGCAGCTTCATGTTTGAGCCAGTGTGGTGTAGTGGTTAAGAGCGGTAGTCTTGTAATCTGGTGAACCGGGTTCGTGTCTCCGCTCCTCCACATGCAGCTGCTGGGTGACCTTGGGCCAGTCATACTTCTTTGAAGTCTCTCAGCCCCACTTACCTCACAGAGTGTTTGTTGTGGGGGAGGAAGGGAAAGGAGATTGTTAGCCGCTTTGAGACTCCTTAAAGGGAGTGAAAGGCGGGATATCAAATCCAAACTCCTCTTCTTCTTCTTCATGTTTGGGAGATCATGTGACAGCTTACCTGACTTAAGAGAGTTTGAACGCTTGCATCCATAAGCTCTTGAAGTTTCTTACACTGCTGTGGCTTAATTCCTTTCAATCTGCTTTTGCTCTGATACTGTATCGGTGTGTGTTTTTTGAATATGCATATTGTTTTTCTGTAATGGAAAAAGTAGGTACTAAAAAACTGACATTTGGGTTGTTATAAGAAAACACTGCTCCTTTTCCCTTATGGGGTATCCAAGAGCCTGTATGGAGTCCTTAAGGAGGTCGCCTATCAGAAAGAGAAAATAACAGAAGCCAACCAGAGAATATTGAGAAGCAAGGCAGCTAGTAAGCCTGATCTTTATTAACTGTTGCAACAGGGTGCTCACTACCAGGTAAAAAGGTAAAGGACCCCTGGACGGTTTAAGTCCAGTCAAAGGCGACTATGGGGTTGCGGCACCCATCTCACTTTCAGGCTGAGGGAGCCGGTGTTTGTCTGCAGACAGCTTTCCGGGTCATGTGGCCAGCATGACTAAACTGCTTCTGGCGCAACGGGACACTGTGACGGAAACCAGAGCGCACAGAAGCGCCGTTTACCTTCCTGCCGCAGTGGTACCTATTTATCTACTTGCACTGGCATGCTTTCGAACTGCTAGGTTGGCAGGAGCTGGGACAGTGACGGGAACTGACTTGGTCGCGGGGATTCGAACTGCCAACCTTCTGATCGGCAAGTCCAAGAGGCTCAGTGGTTTAGACCACAGCGCCACCTGCATCCCTACACTCACTACCAGTCGTAGGAGGCAGGAGGGACCCAGAACAATGGTGCACAAGCCCTTATGTAGACACTTGAAATCGCCCACCCTGTAGCTCAAGACCGCCACCCCAAAACATCATACATACAGTGGTACCTCGAGTTACGTACGCTTCAGGTTACAGACGCTTCAGGGTACAGACTCCGCTAACCCAGAAATATTACCTCAGGTTAAGAACTTTGCGTCAGGATGAGAACAGAAATCGTGCGGCGGCAGTGCAGCAGCAGCGGGAGGCCCCATTAGCTAAAGTGGTGTTTCAGGTTAAGAACAGTTTCAGGTTAAGAACAGACCTCCAGAACGAATTAAGTTCTTAACCCGAGGTACCACTGTACATCACAGAAGGAGGCGGTCTCCAACAAAATTCTTGTTTTGTCAGGATACCTGATAATAGCCATTGATTCCTCTACCTGGGTAGCCTGGCCATTCCTTTTTAAATGCTAAATGCTTAGTTCCTGAATCCAGGTCACAGGTTCACCCTATTCATACACAAATACATCCTCAATACAGTAAGCAAAAGACAATGGAGAGGCTTTCCCATTCCCTTCCTCCTCACCAAGAAATATTTGAGGTCAGTTTGGGAGAGTCAACATGGTTTCAGGATTGCTCTCCTGTACTATTTCAGACACGTGGTTTATATACTTATGTATGTGTTTGCCTTGTACATTTATGAACATATGATTTATATATATATATGAGACCTTAGAATTCCTATAACAGGGTGTACATGCAATATGGGGGGGGGGGGAGAAAAATCATGTAACAGCCTCATTTAGCTTCTTTTCCCCTCTTAAATAATATTCCTAAGGAAAAGATAACAGCTCTGCAAATCCAGACTAACTGCAAAGCCACCATACATTGCAAGCGCATCACTTACCTCCAACCATCCTGGTAACTGGTTCATTAAGGATGTTGGACATTTCACAGGCTTCTATGTGGGTGTGGGTGTGCTCATAACAATTTAATAAGTATGTTAATAATTATCATTTATACCCTGCCCATCTGACGGGGTTTCCCCAGCCAATCTGGGCGGCTTCCAGCACATATAAAAGCATAATGAAACTTGAAATATGCTTGAAGTGTATGGCGTGTATGCAGCCTAAAGGGGAAAAAAGTTTTTAATAAGGACAGATAGAATCATCAAATCATAGGGTTGAGCAATCAATCCCCTGCAATGCATGTGAATGTAATATAAGAATCTGCTGGTTCAAGGCTCATCTAATCCAATGTTTACTGTTGGGCGAAGATTTGGTGAGTGAAAGGGACAGGACAAGGCTTGCACTGAGACCAGGAATAACTCTGAATTATTTTAGAAAGCAGCATATACCACTCCACACTACAGACTCGGCACATCATGATTAAGAACAGAAGCATTCTGATTCATGGGCTCCTGACTGCTGCTTGATGGACTCTTTTGTTCCAAAAGATGCTCGGTCACCTCATAGGCTTTTGTTTTTTTTTAATGTCATGGCTGTGGGAGTGGGGTGAAGCAGAGGGCAGAGGAAGGCGTAGTTCCTATTTTGTAGAAAAGGGAAGTTTTCTTTCGGGTCCGGCGGGTGCCCCAACCTATTAAAATGTCACATAAGGGTGCAGGATGCAAGCTTTCCAGTTCCCCAGAATTCTTCAACCCGATAGTCCCGCCCCCCACTCCATGATTTTGTTTGCCATAGTCTGATTAAGAGCCCTCAAGAAGTCAAAGGTTTGCACATTATGGTGTGCATTTTTGGCTGCCCCAAAACTGTACCCCATTTTTGGATTAAAAAATAAAATAAAATTAGACCCAATGTTATTATGCAGTTAGGACCTACTATAAAATTTGCATGGTTGTTTGGAAAAGCCCTCATTATAGAAAGCAAGCGTGGGGAAAATGTTTTCCCCCTTTTTAATTCCCTGTTTGATTCCCTACCAAAAGAAAAAAGGAAAACACGCCATGCATGCAAAATACAGTACAGAAAACAAAGAATAACCCTAACTCTTGCAGACCCCATGCCCTCCAAAATGGAGGGTTCAAAAAGCGACCCGGAAATCGAGAGGAGCTCGCTGCTCTACCCTTTCGCTCGTCTGCAGCGACGTGGTTGTTGCAGGCGCCCGCCTCTCCCGCCAATTCGATTGGTTTACCCTCGCTCACGTGGTCCCGCCGACTGCGCGAAGGGGGGCGGGGACGGCCGTCCCAAGCGTCATTGCGCCAGTTTAACCCTTTCGGGGGCTTTCAACCTACCCCTTTGCACGCCCTTGAATGGGGCAGAGGCTGTTTGTTGCCCGTTCGTAGACATATACAGTACCCGGTTGGCGGGTAGCCAGTGGCAGGTAACTCTCGTCCTGGGGAAAAGAGGAGGTTATTTTAGATTAAGGGAAGGGGTGGGGGACCTTCTCTGCAGGGTCCTTGTTTAATTTGGGTGGTTACCTGTCATGGATGCTTCAGCTGAGTTTCCTGCATTGCAAGAGGGTTGGACTAGATGACCCGCTGGGATCCCACCCAGCTCTGCAGTTCTATGATTTTTGTGGACGGAGCCCCCAAAGCCAAATGCAGAAAGAAAGGGGCGAGGTAATGGCCACGATGTAGTGCCTAAATCAAAATTATTTAAAGTTGCTTCTCTGTGCGTGCATACTTGGGAGCAACGATTCTAAGATGTGCATAGAAAGACAAAAAAGAAAACGCATATTGTCCTACAACACTAACAACCCCAATGTGGTTTGCAATGTACCTTGTACGAATGCTGATGTTATTTGCTTAGGGTTCGCCAACCACAAAACAGAAAGTCACAAAATGTGAAGTATCTAAAAGGAGATAGGAGAAACTGGTTTCCGAATTTGCCTCTCTGTGCCAGGTGCTAGCACTAGGCCTTGTCCCTTGTCCAGTTCCCTAGCATCTCTGATTTAACAGACAGATATCAATCAGGTGAAGACGCTAGGAAGAGCATGCAGTGCTGTGCAATGGTTTGGCATAAGCCAGTTTTCTTCGTGACTTTGTGTATATCAGGGGTCAGCAAACTTTTTCAGCAGGGGGCTGGTCCACTATCCCTCAGACCTTGTGGGGGGCTGGACTATATTTTGAAAAAAAGAATTAATTCCTATGCCCCACAAATAATCCAGAGATGCATTTTAAATAAAAGGACACATTCTACTCATGTAAAAACACGCTGATTCCTGGACTGTCCGCGGGCCAGATTTAGAAGGCAATTGGGCCGGATCTGGCCCCCGGGCCTTAGTTTGCCTACCCATGGTGTATATCATTAAGTCACGGGTACAATTTGCGACCTCAGGGATATCGTTTGCGATTTGATTTGAGTGCTGGTAAACTGGATGCTTTCTCCAGCAGAAGCAGTGTTAGAAAACTAGGAGCTAAATGGCACCTTAAACCTGGATTGTGGGCGCCACAACGGAATGTCCAGGCACGCTTTTTTAATAAAAAGGATACAAAGCTGAAAAGGAATGAACTGCAGCTAAAATATTACGTTCATTTTTCCCATGGTCTAGTCGTTCCCCTGCCCACCCCCCTAATATTCTTTAAAGGGTCTCTTCTCCAGACTTCAGAGAGTAGCTGGAAGTGGGGAGGCAGAAAAAGGTCCTCCTTTCCTTCCACTCTACGGTTTTAATCTGAAACCTTATGCGCAATACTGCGCCCAGAGCTCAGAAACTGCTTGCACTAATGAAATTCCCCATCGCAAAATGTGCCTAGAACAATGGGAGTTTCAAACATTGAGCAGAAGCCTTGCAGCTCAGTGGTGGGTAAACAGTTTCTACAGGAAAACATCCTCAGGATTGTTTAATAATAATAAATAAAAATGTTTATGGCAAATATTTTTAAACCGCTCTTCATCTACACACCCGGGCAGAAGACAAAAGGCATGGAATAAAAGAGTCATGCTGAAAAAAGTCATCAGGAACAAACAGAGGCATATAAAAACAAACAGAAGAAACTAAATAATAAACAGGTTTTGAACTTTCAAATGCTTGGTCAAATAAGCTTTTAACCCAGCATTGGGATGATGGTAATGTTGGCACCAGTCGTTCTCCATTCCACAAATGGAACACCATGACATTGTTGCTGCATGATGAATTTCCCCTGACATCAGGACAAAGAAAAGATCCTCTCCTTAAGACATGGGCAGGTGGTTTAGGAAGAGCCACTCCATTAGGTATTTGGGTTCTAAGACTGTTATGGCTTTAAAGATCAGCACCAGCCCCTTGAATTAGGGTGGGAAGCAAAAGATATTTCAGAATTGGCGTAATATGATTCCATCTAGCAGTAGGCAGTTAAACATTCTGGTATTCTGCCTCTGATGAAACTTCTAAGCATTCTTCAAGGGCAGCCCAAATTTTAATAGCAATTTCTAGGGAATAGTACTAAATGTATGCTGATATTTTTTATTTGGCTTATTTATGACAGATTACAAATATGTAACCTGAGTTTCATATAACTCTGCATCAAACCTTCCAGGGATGCTACCTACAAACTTCCAGAGTCTTTTAAGTCACAACACCATTTTGTCAAACCTACAGCCAAATTTACATTCGAAGTTATAAACAAGATTATGCATTAAAACAGACTTATAGCATGATCCTATGCATGTTGATCAGGAAGTAAGCTAGAATTGCAGGAGGGAGAACTACTTCTTATTTTCAAATCCTCAAACAGATAATCATCAATCTTGTGAACTACCTTGAGATCTTTGGATGAAAGGCGGTATATAAATCTAACAAATAAATGAATAATCAATTTGCAGAATATGACTTAGAACAATGACTGATTATGGTTACTCTAGTCTACCTTTCTTTTTCTATTGACATCTCATCTGTATTTCAAAATAACTTATTGTGAGCCATACTGTTTACTTTGCATGAGCTATGTTTGGCAACATATTCAACAAGGAGAATAAACCTTGTTCCGCAAGATTTTAATCTCTTATCTTGACTAACCAGAAGAGATAATATTACATTCCTTTTGTTGCTCCGTAACGCTGAACAATAAAAGACGCAGCACAGAAGGAAATGAATGTAAAAAAATTAACAAACGGTATCAGAGTACTTCTAAGTATTTTCCCCTTGTTTGGCCTTTATGTTCTGCTGCCACTGCAATCCAAATGATGGCTGTGTACAGTGGTGCCCCGCAAGACGAACGCCTCGCAAGACGGAAAACCCGCTAGACGAAAGGGTTTTCCGTTTTGGAGGCGCTTCGCAAAACGAATTTCCCTATGGGCTTGCTTCGCAAGACGAAGCCCATAGGGAAATCTCCGAGGACCTCTTTTAAATGCTAGCGGTGGGGAGCAAAGCCTTCCCCCCTCCGGCCTTCAGAAGAGGTCCAGGAAGGCTGGCGGGGGCCGAAGGCTTTGCTCCCCACCGCCAGCATTTTAAAAGCAGTCCGGGATAGCAGGAAGCGCTTCCCGCTATCCCGGACGGCTTTTGAAGGCAGGAGAGGGCCGCGAAGCCTGGGCGCGCTGATCTCAGCGCGCGCAGGCTTCGGCATGCCGGCAACTCTCCGCAAGCAGCGGCAGCGCTGCCGCTGCTCGCGGAGAGGTCCGCGAAGCCTGGGCGCGCTGATCTCAGCGCGCGCAGGCTCCGGCATGCCGGCAACTCTCCGCAAGCAGCGGCAGCGCTGCCGCTGCTCGCGGAGAGGTCCGCGAAGCCTGGGCGCGCTGATCTCAGCGCGCGCAGGCTTCGGCATGCCGGCAGCTCTCCGCAAGCAGCGGCAGCGCTGCCGCTGCTCGCGGAGAGGTCCGCGAAGCCTGGGCGCGCTGATCTCAGCGCGCGCAGGCTTCGGCATGCCGGCAAAACTCCGCAAGCAGCCGCAGCGCGGCCGCTGCTCGCGGAGAGGTCCGCGAAGCCTGGGCGCGCTGATCTCAGCGCGCGCAGGCTCGGCATGCCGGCAGCTCTCCGCAAGCAGCGGCAGCGCTGCCGCTGCTCGCGGAGAGGTCCGCGAAGCCTGGGCGCGCTGATCTCAGCGCGCGCAGGCTCGGCATGCCGGCAACTGGCCGCACGCAGCGGCAGCGCTGCCGCTTCTCGCGGAGAGGTCCGCGAAGCCTGGGCGCGCTGATCTCAGCGCGCGCAGGCTTCGGCATGCCGGCAACTCTCCGCAAGCAGCGGCAGCGCTGCCGCTGCTCGCGGAGAGGTCCGCGAAGCCTGGGCGCGCTGATCTCAGCGCGCGCAGGCCTCGGCATGCCGGCAACTCTCCGCAAGCAGCGGCAGTGCTGCCGCTGCTTGCGGAGAGGTCCGCGAAGCCTTGGCTGGACAGCTTTTGAAGGCAGGTGGGGGGGACAAAGACTTTCGCCCCCGCCAGCCTTCAGAAGAGGTCCAGGACCTCTTCTGAAGGCTGGCGGGGGCAAAAGTCTTTGTCCCCCTGCCTGCCTTCCCAGGGGCTTTAAATTGCCCCGGACAGCGGAGAAGTCCTCCGCTGTCCCGGGGCAATTTTAAATGCCGCCCGCCAGCATTTTAAGATCGCCCGGACAGCGGAGAAGCCCTCCGCTGTCCGGGGTTTTTTAAAATGCTGGGGTGGGTGGGAAGAAAAGCCCTTGTCCCCCCCCCAGCCTTCAGAAGAGGTCGGGGGACAGACTGTCCCCGGACCTGGTCTGAAGTCGGTTTCCCTAGGAACGCATTAATTGATTTTCAATGCATTCCTATGGGAAACCGTGCATCGCAAGACGAAAAACTCGCAAGAAGAAAAAACTTGCGGAACGAATTAATTTCGTCTTGCGAGGCACCACTGTATTTGCTTTTGCATTGTTAAACCTTACACCTGCCCTGTGGGTGTTAGATTAGGCCCTTCTAGGAGTGGGATAGGCAGACCAGTCTTGTGATATCTAAAGCTTTTGAGGTCCTCCAGTTGCTTCAGAAATACAGTCATAACCTTGCAAGTCGAACGCCTTGTGAGTCGAACGTTTTGGCTCCCTAACGTCACAAACCCGGAAGTTCGGATTCCAAAGAATCCGAACGTCCGACATGGGTTCCGCGGCTTCCTATTGGCTGCAGGAGCTTCCTGCCAATCGGAAGCTGCACCTTGGTTTCCAGACATTTTGGAAGTCGAACTGATTTCCAGACAGATTCCGTTCGACTTCCGAGGTACGACTGTAGTGCTTTAGCCAGGTGGCTCTAAGGATCATGCTCAAACCCCATGAACTTGTGATCTGGACCAGGACCAGGACCAGGACCAGGACCAGGACCAGGACCAAGGGCAACATCCAACAGAGTAGTTCTGTTAGCACAAGGACTTCTGCCTATGAAGTGGAACTTCCTCTCCCTGTGCATTCTGTATATATGTTCTGTGGGTCTTGGACCCAGTTAAAGGGGCACATGAGAAAAGGAGAGGAGAAGGAGGGAGAAGAGGAAGTTCTATTGTGCAAATGGAATCCCTTGCAATATCAGAACTACTTCATTGGATACCTCTCCAAGTTCAGAAGGCCTTTCACATGAAAAATCCATTCCTGGCTTTCCTTCAGGATTCCTGTTTGAACAATCTAATTTGGCGGGGAGTGGAAGAGGAGGGAGCTGTTTAGCTGCAGCTGTTGTTAAGACAACTGAGAGCCAAAAGCTCTTGCCAATCGCCTGCAAATCACTCAGAGACCTACCAGAAGTCTCTGCAGAAATTGCCTCTGGTAGCTCTGAGCTCTCCTGCATAAGCCTTTCTTAAATGAATGGGAGCTCTGCCAGAGCACAGTGCTATTTGTTGAGATGCTCTATAGCAGAGGTTTGGCTCTGGGGACCCTCTCTTTGAGTGCCTTTCCGACTTTTCAAATCAGCCAAGAATAAGGTTCATGATGCACTGCTGAAGGTTTAGAAGCTTTTCATTATTTATTGAGAAGCGATGAAGGAAAATCCCTATAATAAAGGATTAACGCAGATGCTCACGTTTCATTCACCTGTGTTCCCTTCTGTAACCTGCCAACAGTGTTTTGTCCAATTATTTAATCCTTCTGTTGTTGTCCGCAACAGATTTCTCAGTGTTTGAAAGCTTTCAAAAGCACATCTCTCTTTCTTAGTTTTGGCATACAAAGCCATCCATAATGCTTAGCTTTCTCAAATCTTGAGGATTCTTTGGAAACAACAAACAGGGCTTGATTAGTATTAGTATTGGCATAGTCTTTATTCATAAAATGAAGGTGGCTGAAGACTCAAATATCCAGTTTCACTATTCTCCCACTTTTGGGGCAATTGATACTGACTTCCAGCTACACCTGAATACCCTGGTCACATGAATCCTGAAGAAATGCACAGAATTCACCACTGTCCAGCTTTTGCCACACACTTCTTGTTTGCAGCATTCCAAGAATCAAACTGTTTTCAGTTCTCTGTGTATCATCCACACTCACACAGCTACTTTATGTTGCATAAACAGCAGTTACCCGTAACTGATGCCTGCCATGGGCAGAGAAGGTTGTTGTGAAAATGAGCCTTATGCTTAAAAATGGTAAAGATAAAGGACCTCTGACAGTTAAGTCCAGTCGCAGACGACTCTGGGGTTGCGGCGCTCATCTCACTTTATAGGCCAAGGGAGCTGGCGTTTGCCCGCAGACAGTTTTTCTGGGTTATGTGGCCAGCATGACTAAGCTGCTTCTGGCGCAACGGAACACTGAAACCAGAGCAGCGAATGGAAACGCCATTTACCTTCCCGCCGGAGTGGTAGCTATTTATCTACGTGCACTTTTTTTGGCGTGCTTTCGAACTGCTAGGTTGGCAGGAACTGGGACCAAGCAACAGGAGCTCACCCCATCGTGGGGATTCAAACCACTGACCTTCTGATCGGCAAGCCCAAAAGGCTCAGTGGTTTAGACCACAGCGCCACCCACGTCCCACACTCACACAGCTACTTTATGTTGCATAAACACCTGTTACCCGTAACGGACACCTGCCGTGGGCAGAGAAGGTTGTTGTGAAAATGAGCCCTATGCTTAACTACAGTAAAAGACCCAGCAGAAAAACACCCCCAGCAGAAACCTCCCCTTCTGTCTGTTAGCCCCTAGCCCCTAGCATTGTACTACACAATAGCACAAGGAATTCAGGGCCTCGTGCCTGTTCACGTGCCTGTTCATTTTCCCTTTGCACAAGCCAACAAACAAACCCAGAATCTTGGCTTGCTGAAACATTGGTCAGTGGCTTTGGAACAAGCTGTCAGGGAACTGCCATCGGAAGGAAGGGAGGTGAAAGGGCTCACACAGGTTGGGAGAGACTCAGCAGCTGAAGAGGGAACCAGTAGGGGAGAGGAGCTGAGCTGAGGGAAAGTGAGCTGGAGGGATGGCTCAGAGACACTTCCAGCGAAAACAGTGGGGAGGTTTCAGGACCTCCTGTAGGAACACCCACTCCTCGCCGGAAACTGTCACGCAGAGAGTCCAGAAGACGTGTTTCCGTTAAGGAGCTTTTATGTTGGAAGCGATTCCGAAAGCAACCACTGTCGGAATCTGCTAGTGACTAGAGGAGCCATGTCTGAGGGCTCCGTCACAGACAGAGGTTTGTGGACTTGAACAAACTCTGAGGGGATACTATTTTACGCACAAGCAGCTCCTCATCCCATCACAGCATTCCGACAGTCTTTGAAAGCAGCTTGTGCAGGAGAAGGCATCATGAGCAACCCAGCCGGAACCGGAGAAGCAGGAGCTGGAGCGGGTCCAAGCCTGGAAGAAAGGTACCGGGTGTTGGAGGTCCAGCTAGCGCTGCAGACGGCGAGGCTTGAGGAGAGGAGGGCTCAGGATGCAGACAAAAAGGGAAAGCCACCCAGCTCGCCAGAAAGGTACCAGGATTGGTGCAGAAGTTTGGGGGGGAGCCCAAAGACTATCATGGCTTTCGGACAGAGATGCAATATGCCCTCAATCTGCAGTTTGATGAATTCCCTGACGAGGAATCACGAGTGGCTTTCGTGATTGGGCATCTTGAAAAGGGGCGAGAGACTGGGTTAGACCCCTGATGGCAGCGAATAGTGACGTCCTAAAGGACACGATGAAGTTCTTTCGCGCCATGGATCTGATGTTTTCCAGCGATATTGAACAGGGAGTGGTGCGCAGACAGTTAATGGCTTGCAAACAGGGGAGCCGATCTGTCCGTGAGTACTGGACTGAGTTCACCATGCTGGTTCACAGATTGGGGTGGGACTTATCGGCGGAACCCATTCAAATGCTCTTTGAAGAAGGGCTTTCTTCGGCTGTGAAAGACGAACTTTCCCGGGCGCCCAGGGCGGAGTCTATGGACCAGCTGACCAAATCAGCGCTGACCATAGGAGCGCGCCAGGAGGCGAGAGCATTGGAGAGGCGGGAAGGGAAGGGGGAACGTTGGAAGGAGTTCCGCATTCCAGACATTCCAGAGCCAACTTTCCCGCCGGCAGAGCCGATGGAAATCGGAACAGCGCGCGCGCGCGCAGTTTCAAAGCCCAGTGAGGGGGGAAGAAGGAGGGAAAACGCGCCCGGAAATGCTATCTCTGCCAACAGCCAGGTCACTTTGCCAGAGTCTGCCCCCAGAGGAAGGAATGGCAAGGGATGGTAGGAGCTGTGGAGGGAAGAGAGGAAGAAATACCGGAGCAAGTAAAGCCAACGCCTGGCTGCCACCGTCGGGGCACAGCAGCCAGGCCAAAGAGCAGTGAGAGTGCCCACGCCAGAACCTCCTAAACCCGCCCTAGTGATAGAAGTGGCGCTAGAGCTGCCAAACGGACACCCTCTAAAGATAAAGGCGCTGTTGGACTCAGGCAGCTCCTGCAATTTCATGAGCAAAGAGTTTGCAGCTGAACACCAGATACAGACGATCCGGTAAGCAACCCCCTGCAGGTGACCACGATCGATGGCAGGGAGCTGTTGGGAGGAGAAGTCAGCTTGCAGACCGTCCCAATGATAATGAAGGTGGCAAGGCACACCGAACTGATAGCGTTTAATGTGGCCACCTTGGGAGGAGCTCCCATTATATTGGGGATGAGCTGGCTAGCGTTACATGATCCGCTGGTGGGCTGGCATCAGAGAGTGGTTTCTTTTGGTTCAGCACATTGCTTAGAACACTGCAAAGAGGGAAAGGGTTTGGCAGGGGCCCAAGCCACCCTAGCAGGGACTGAAGTAACGGAGAACGTGAAGGTACCACGACAATACGCAGATCTCCGCGACGTCTTCAGCGAAAGGGAAGCTGACCAACTACCCCGCATAGACCCTTTGACTGTCAAATCAATTTACTCCCTGGGGCACAGCTCCCTGTAGGCAAGCTGTACGCCATGTCAGACAGAGAGATGCAGGAGCTAAGAGAGTTCATTGACAAGAACCTGAAGAGAGGGTTCATCAGAGAGTCCAGGGCGGTGGGGGCAGCCCAGTGTTTTTGTGGATAAGAAAAACACGAACAAGCCGAGGCTGGTGTGTGACTTCAGGGCCTTAAATGCAGTGTCAGAACCAGTGGCCTTCCCTATGCCCAGGATTGACGACATTTTGACAAGGGTGCGGAAGGGAAAGATTTTCACAAAGCTGGACCTAAGGGGGGCGTACAACCTGATACGAATAAGGAAAGGGGATGAATGGAAAACCACCATGTTCACCCCTTTAGGGGCATTTGAATATTTGGTTATGCCCTTCGGCCTACAAGCAGGCTCCGCAACCTTTCAATCGTTTATGAACCACGTCCTGGGGCCTTTGCTTTACAAGAATTGTGTGGCCTTCTTAGACGACGTGTTGGTGTATTCTGAGAATGAGGAGCAGCATGTGAAAGACGTCAGAGAAGTGTTGAGCAGGCTGCAAGCCAACCAGCTGTGGGTGAAACTGGAGAAGTGTCAGTTTCATACCAAGGAGGTGGAATTCCTGGGGTATCGCCTGTCAGACAAGGGATTGGCCATGGATCCCGGCAAGGTCCAGGCGGTGCTGGAATGGAAAACACCCAAAACAAGGAAGGATGTGCAGAGGTTCCTAGGATTTGGGAACTTCTATCGTAAGTTCATCCGAAACTTTGCCCACCTGACGGCGCCCATTACGGACTGTCTCAGCAGTAAGAAGAAGTTCGTTTGGACTGAGGAGGCGGAGCGAGCATTTGAGGAACTAAAAAGGGCCTTCGCCTCGGAACAACAAATCCTGCATGTGGATTTACAAAAACCGATGAGAGTGGAAACTGACGCATCAGACAGAGCGATTGGGGCGGTGCTTCTGCAGCCAGGGAAGGAGGAGTCAGAGTGGAGACCGTGTGCTTTTTTTCGCGAAAGCTGAACAAATCCGAGAGGAACTACACGGTGTATGACCGAGAACTACTAGCCATTCATGAGGCGTTCCGGAGATGGAGGCACCTGCTAATTGGCGCACAACATAAGGTGCAAGTGTGCACTGACCACAAGAACCTAGAGTATTGGAGGACGGCACGAGTGCTCAACCAACGGCAAGTGAGATGGGCCCAGGAGTTCTCCAAATTTAACTTTGAGATTGGTTACGTGCCAGGCCCAGAGAACATTAGGGCGGACGCTCTCTCACGCAAACCTGAATATTTGGAGGGGAGGGAGCACCCGAAGAGAGACATGTCATTCCAGAGGACCGCTGGGTGTGTGGGGCGGCATTGGTGGGACAAAGAGAACTGGTAGAGGAAACAGAGAATGATGAATACGCCCAGAATAAGCTCAGAGGTCTTAGGGGTGAGGGAGAGGAACCAGGGGGTTTCGAGGAAAGAACTGGAGCTTTGTATTACAAAGGGGCACTGTATATCCCTGAAGGAGACTTAAGGGGGGAGGGTACTCAAGCAGTTGCACGACAGCCCTACGGCGGGGCATTTTGGACAACACAAAACCATGTGGTTGGTCACCAGGGAATTTTGGTGGCCTAAGGTGAGGGAAGATGTACGTGAGTATGTAAGAGGGTGCGAGCAATGCCAGCGAGCCAAAGGGGAAAGGCGGGCGCCGGCGGGGCTATTAGAACCCTTACCAACCCCAGAACGACCTTGGGAGGCAGTGTCGATAGATGTTATGACTGATCTGCCGAAGTCCAAAGGGACAACAGCCATCATGGTGGTGGTAGACCTACTAACAAAGATGTGCCACTTTGTAGCTTGCTCGCATGCAGTCACGGCGGAAGAGACAGCGAAGTTATTTGTAGAACACATTTTTAGGTTGCACGGGGTGCCATTGAGGGTGGTCTCAGACCGAGGAAAACAATTTACTTCCAGGTTCTGGAGGAAGCTCATGAGCTTACTGCAGGTGGAGGTCAATTTTTCGACTGCCCGGCACCCTGAAACCAACGGGCAGGCGGAAAGAGCAAACGGTGTCCTCCAGCAATACCTGAGGTGTTATGTCAATGACAGAGAGAATGACTGGGTAGAAAAGTTGGCGCTGGCGGAATTTGCCTACAACAATGCCGAGAATGTGTCCACAGGGATGAGCCCTTCTTGGCTAATTATGGGTGTCATCCCAGGGCTTTCCCAGGGGAGATGGGGAGAGATGGAGCGTCCCGGCAGCCGAGCATTTTGTGGAAGAAATGGAAGCAATCCATCGTCAGCTCCAACTCAACTTAGAAAGGGCGAAGGAAGAATACAAGAGGCAGGCAGACAAGAACCGAAGGGAAGGTGAAACCATAAGGGTGGGAGATAGGGTGTGGCTGTCAACCCAAGGGTTGCTGTTCAAAGGAGGTTGTAAGAAATTAAGACCCAGGAGGTTGGGTCCCTTTGAGGTCATTCAACAGGTCAACCCAGTGGCTTTCAGGCTCCGGTTACCCAACCACATGAAACTGCACCCAGTATTTCACAGGTCGTTACTGTCACCGTACGAAGGGGACGAGAAGGGATGGCCACTCGGGGACCGGTCATAGAAGAAAGAGAATGCAGCAGCCATGTGGCAGAAATCCTCGACGCCAGGTGGAAGGGGGATCAGGTGGAGTATTTGGTAGCGTGGGAAGGAGAACCGGAGTCAGAAAACACTTGGGTAATGGCCGAAGATATCAATGACAAGGTATTGATAGAAACGTTCCATCAAAGGTTCCCAAGGAAACCTCAGCCTGTGGAGAGGTTCCGGAGGGAATACTTTGGGACCACTGATGAGGAGGAGGAGTTGGAAGGATTCCCGGACTCGGAAGGGGAAGGGAGATGGACTCTGAGGAGGAGGAGTACTTCGAGACCAGGAACCGCAACAGGTGGAGAGAAGTGTTCGAGACATCGGAAGATGTTGCCTCCTCACCGCCCGTAGAGGAGGGGGCGAGAGGGGGTGAAAGGGGCCCTGGAGGGGAGGTGGATGTCAGGGAACTGCCATCGGAAGGAAGGGAGGTGAAAGGGCTCACACAGGTTGGGAGAGACTCAGCAGCTGAAGAGGGAACCAGTAGGGGAGAGGAGCTGAGCTGAGGGAAAGTGAGCTGGAGGGATGGCTCAGAGACACTTCCAGCGAAAACAGTGGGGAGGTTTCAGGACCTCCTGTAGGAACACCCACTCCTCGCCGGAAACTGTCACGCAGAGAGTCCAGAAGACGTGTTTCCGTTAAGGAGCTTTTATGTTGGAAGCGATTCCGAAAGCAACCACTGTCGGAATCTGCTAGCGACTAGAGGAGCCATGTCTGAGGGGCTCCGTCACAGACAGAGGTTTGTGGACTTGAACAAACTCTGAGGGGATACGATTTTACGCACAAGCAGCTCCTCATCCCATCACACAAGCCATGGTATTAAGACAGCTTCAAACCATTGTTTGAGATCTTGACTTGTTTCTGAAATAATTAGCCACAGTTTCCCGGTTCAGACGAAACAGGGAACTATAGTTAATTGAAGACTTCATTGTTTGCTGGCAGATATTTGCTGGCTTGCGGAAAGAGAGAAGGAGCAAAGAGCTGCAGCCAATCCCAAAACATGTAGCATTACCCAAAGGCCTCCTTTTTATCTTGGCTTATTATTATTATTATTATTATTATTATTATTAAACCAAAACATGATTTCTATTTATTACAGATTTATTCAAACCGTGTGTCTTTGGAAACTGTGAAATGTGACGCCTGAATTGATAAAGAAAGAACACTCTTTCAACACAATGTTTTTGACACAGGTAAAATCATCCCCCTATCTATCTATCTATCTATCTATCTATCTTATTGATCACTTTCTTTGCTTCCAGATGTCTAGCCCATTACATTACCTCAGAATATGTTTTGTTTTCTTCTGTCAGTGTTTGACCTTCAGCATGACTGTCATTCTAGACAGTATTGGTGTTTTCCAAATAGTTTGATGACATTTATTCATAGTTCACTAGCCTCAGGCTGCCCTTAATCCAGCATACATCAACAAGTTATACAGATAGCCAAGACATTAAAAAAACCTGTTGAAATTATGCAGCTATAAAGTTTGCAAAACCGCAAGAGAATGGATATGTTTGCTTTGTGCTGCTTATGAAAGGCCTGCGACAGATTCCTCAAAATCAATTAATGTGCTAGGACAGGGGTGCCCAAACTTTTTTCAAAGAGGGCCAGATTTGATGAAGTGAACATGCGTGAGGGCTGACCAAAGCTTGTTAGAGCTTTTACTCAGGTTCCTAGGATTTAGGATTTAACCCCAAAGTTGTTGAGCTTTTGAGCTTTTTTAAGGCTTTTACCCCAGGACATATACTGCCATGGGGGCCAGATTAAATCGACCGGCGGGCCAGATTAGGCCCCTGAAATGGACTTTGGACATGCCTGTGCTAGGAGAAAGGAGGATTGCTTTTGCCCCGGTAGAAAAATAATGCACTGCTGAGTGCAAGGAAACTGATATTCCAGAAACATTAAGGAAAGACGCCTGAATCTTTCCCAACAAATGAGTAATTGGGTGAATCCACTGGGTTTTTGAAATACCCCAAGATGTATTGAAGTTTAAATTTGTTTTAAATAATCATCTAGCTCTTATTTGGAACCCCAGCTTTGATAAAGAGAATTATAAGGCTTACCAATTTCTTTCCCCCCACCCCAAAGGTTTTCAAATCCATATTGGGGGAGGGAAATATTAGGTCAACATCTTTATTAACGTGAATTTTTGATTCTTTTCGTCAACATGGCTGCCTTTGTTTTTGAAGAAATAGATAAACCTTGACAAAAGTATTGTCATGTTGCTTCATGCTTGCAGAACAGAATTTGTTCAAGCCTATATGCATTAAATAACATGTGTGGGTGTATATCACATACACATATACAAACAAGAGTGGGGGGGGGGCGGCAGTATTGTTAAATTGCATTAAGCAAATTTAAACTATGTTTTAATGTGAACATGCAGCATGCTCAAAAATTCCCAGGGTATATGTCCCCTGCTCCAGCTGTTGCCACGCCATGCAGTGTTTTTCACCCCTGGGGTTTCCTCAAAGGTATGCAGTACCATTTTTTCCTAGAAGAAAAGCACTGACAACGTGTATGAAACAACCCTGAGCTTGGCTTATCATAACATCTTCAAAGGGCTCACGGTTGCTTTCCCCAAACAAACAACAAGCAGTAATCTAAGAAGAAACCTTGATTTCCGCTCATGGTTGGTTTGGGGAAAACAGTCCACAGCAGCCCAGGTTTGAACAACACAACAGGCCGGATCCTGGCTTGTTTCATCAGTGGTATGGGAACAGCAGCAACAGCAGAGGAGCACCATGGGAATTTTTGAACAGTGTGTTCCAGGATGTTGAGTGTTCACATTGAACCATAGCTTGTAGTCCATAGGGAACAGAATGTAGGATCTCAGTTCTGGTGATTTGGGGGTTAAATGTCAGCTTAGCCAAGACGTCCCACTGAGAACGGGGAAAAAACCAATTAGTTTTACTTGGAAAATCATCTAAAAAGCCAACTGAGGCACTCCCTTTCCTCATAAGTTTTTTTTTAATAATAATTTTTATTAAGTTTTCCATTTTAACAATCCAATCAGATCACATTACATATTCCAAATTATACAAATACATCTCATATAGTCCAAATATTCTGCCAAATTATAAATTTTTGTTGGGGCTTCCCATGCTTCAAGTTCAGTGGGGTTCCAATCATTTTATGTTTCTACTGCCTTGAGTTTCCAATAGTTCCTTCTTTAAATCCTCCTGTTGTTATCCTTCCTTCCTTCATGTCCTCTGAGTTGTTTCCACAGGCGAGTTGAAGTGAGCAGTAATATGCTTCTGTGTGAAGTTTGTATGACTCTCCTTTCCCCCTCCCTTCCCTCATAAGTAATGCCAGAACTAATCACCTGTAGGGTGGGAATAGAGAACCTGGGCAGGGTAGTGACTACATGATGTTAAATTCTAAATTCTAAATTTTGTTATTGTACAGTTTCTTTGTAGGTATGCCTGTCTACAGAAATCTTTCGCAGTGAGCGGTTTTGGAGGAGCAATTTCAAAACCTCCTGAACCTTGCTGGATCGATTGTTTAAGAAGAGTCTCTGTTTGCCATGGCAAATGCTTTTCTACCAAAATAGTTCTGGGTATCGAAACTAGCTGCGATGATACAGCCGCAGCTGTGGTGGATGAAGCTGGCAACATTTTAGGAGAAGCCATGCATTCTCAAAGTGCGGTTCATTTGAAGTAAGTAATTCTTACCGTTGGTGAAAACATAGTTTTAGGTACTTTGTTGTTTAGTTGTTTAGTCATGTCCGACTCTTCGTGACCTCATGGACCAGAACACGCCAGGCACGCCTGTCTTCCACTGCCTCCCGCAGTTTGGTCAGACTCATGCTGGTGGCTTCGAGAACACTGTCCAACCATCTCATCCTCTGTCGTCCCCTTCTCCTTGTGCCCTCCATCTTTCCCAACATCAGGGTCTTTTCCAGGAGTCTTCTCTTCTCATGAGGTGGCCAAAGTATTGGAGCCTCAGTTTCACGATCTGTCCTTCCAGTGAGCACTCAGGGCTGATTTCCTTCAGAATGGATAGGTTTGATCTTCTTGCAGTTCATGGGACTCTCAAGAGTCTCCTCCAGCACCATAATTCAAAAGCATCCATTCTTCGGCGATCAGCCTTCTTTATGGTCCAGCTCTCACTTCCATACACTACGTACGTTGAATATCATGTTGTTATTTTGTCATCACGTGTTATGCCACAGTATCTGTAAGTGCATCTAGATCACTGCCACAGTATCAACAATCCAAGATTAGTGGTGTCAAAAAGCTCCTAAAAGTCTGGGAAAAACAACACACACACACACACACACAAAATTGATCTCTAGTGTTGCTACTACAGCTGTGTTGGAAGCCAGACCTGCAGGTTGCCAAAAAAAGAAGGAAGTGCTGACTATCCAGAACATCAACTTCTGCGTTTGAGTTTTTGAGCTAGGCCAAACAGATTTAACGTAAGCATCATGTACTTTTTAAAAAAAATAAATAAATTTTATTAGTATTTTCCACACAACAACAACATGAAAAATATCGAAAAATAACAATACACAACACAAAAACCAACATTTGAAAACTAAAGAAAGCAAGAACAAAAAACAACAACAACAAAATCCATATCTCACAAGTTAATACTATAAACACTAAAACAACAACTACAAGACATTGACTAGCACCAATCCCAAAGCACCTCCTTTATCTCTCATTGTGTCTTCCTGTTTTCCTTATCATCTCTATCCTAACATCTAGATATAAATCCCTCTTTCTTATCCTTTCACGTAAGCATCACGTACATGTTTGTTTCTCATCAGAACAGGTGGAATTATTCCTTCGGTGGCACAACAGCTTCACCAAGAAAACATTGCAAGGGTAGTGCAAGAAGCACTTGCCGTGAGCAGAGTTAGCACAGATGGACTCTCAGCCATTGCAACAACCGTGAAGCCAGGACTCGCTTTGAGCCTCGGAGTTGGCTTGGCCTATAGTCTGGAACTGGTGGAGAAATGCAAGAAGCCTTTCATTCCCATCCATCATATGGAGGCGCACGCTCTTACCGTTAGGTTGACCAATCGTGTGGACTTCCCGTTCCTGGTACTTTTGCTCTCGGGGGGTCACTGTATACTAGCGGTAGCGCAAGGAGTTTCAGATTTCCTTCTCCTTGGACAGACATTGGACATTGCACCTGGGGACATGTTGGATAAGGTAATCCTTTTAATTAGTGTTTATTTATTAAAAGATTTGTATGCTGCTATATCATAAATATATCAAATATATCAAAGCAGTTTACAGCAATAAAGACACAAAGCAATACAATACAATAAAGCTATAAAGTTAAAAACAGACATCAATTAACCATTGTGGAAGGATGTATAGTGGTACCTTTGTACTCCAACGGCTTGGCTCCCAAACAAAGCGGCTTCTGAACGCTGTAAACCCAGAAATGTTCCAATTTGTGAATGTTTTTTGGAAGCCAAACATCCGACGCGGCTTCCACGGCTTCTGCTTGAGTGCAGGAAGCTCCTGCAGTCAATCGGAAGCCACGCCTTGGAGCCAGTGTGGTGTAGTGGTTAAGAGTGGTAGTCTCGTAATCTGGGGAACTGGGTTCGTGTCCCTGCTCCTCCACATGCAGCTGCTGGGTGACCTTGGGCTAGTCACACTTCTCTGAAGTCTCTCAGCCCCACTCACCTCACAGAGTGTTTGTTGTGGGGGAGGAAGGGAAAGGAGAATGTTAGCCGCTTTGAGACTCCTTCGGGTAGTGATGAAGCGGGATATCTAATCCAAACTCTTCTTCTTCTTCAAACAGTTTCAGGAGTTGAATGGACTACAGGAACAGATTGAGTTTGATTGAGTATTCTTAATCGCCTGCATAGGCCTGGTGGAATAGATAAGTTTCCAGCAGGCGTTTAAAAGTTGGCACAGAAGGCCCCTGCTGAATCTCCGTTGGCAGAATAGCCCACGGGACAGGGCCAATGAGGAAAGCCCTGTGCAATTGTCCCACTTACTTGGTGATCATTTAGCTAATTGGGATAAAACCATAACAATGTGGCTGCCATGCGGCTGGCTCAGTGTCAAGCCTCAGCACATAACAACAAGGATTTGAGGTGTGACTTGGGTCCTTCAGAATCATAAAGCTACTCCTTGTGCTCATTTGCCTTTTCCAGTGACTTTTAAAATATATGTGTACATTTCTTTAATTTCTGCTTCCATTTGGATTGTTTAGGTAGCCAGAAGGCTTTCTTTACGGAAGCACCCAGAGTGCTCTAGCCTGAGCGGTGGAAAAGCGATAGAACGTTTGGCTCAGCAGGGAAATAGACGGCGTTATGAATTCAAAGTCCCCATGGAGCAACATCACAACTGCAACTTTTCCTTTGCTGGACTTCAGTCCCAGGTCACTAGAGCGATCGCAGAAAAAGAAAAGGAGGAAGGTATTTACCAAAATACGACGGATACAAATTGCGCCTGAGAGCTTCACATAGGCTTGGGAAACCTATTTGATTGTAATTTCTGCAGGGCGTCAGGAAGGACAACTCCTGTCCTGCATACCAGACCTTGCTGCAGCAGTCCAGCATACGGTAACTGCTCATATTGTCGCTCGAACACACCGAGCCATTCATTTCTGTAGAAGGAAGGGTATCTTGCCACAGAGGAAGGCAACTTTGGTAAGTGTCAAAACAAAATTTAAAAATTCCTTCCAGTAGCACCTTAGAGACCAACTAAGTTTGTTATTGGAATGAGCTTTTGTGCGCATGCACACTTCTTCAGTGTGTGTGTGTGTGTGTGTTGTCAGGAAAACAAACCAGGGAACTGCGTCTTTCCCTCCGAAGCACCCCTTGGGATGATTCATCACTCTTCTGTCCTGAGTTGCTACTGCGACATATATCCGAAGATATCTGCACACACAAATGCAGAGTTCAAAGCAGAAGCTGGACTTGAGGTGTAGAATACTCAGCTAATTTATTATGTACAAGATCAAGTGTTGCAGAACAAAGAAATCAAGGCTTCTCTCTCCTTCTCGTCCGAGAGAGAACAGAAAATGCGGAAGCATAACATAACGGAACAGTGTAACCGAACTTCCGTTCTCATGACTCCAACAGTGTGGAATGTCAACACAGACATGTGATGAAAACAATCACACATCAGCAGTGGGGAGGAATGAAATCCCAATGTGTGTGTTGCACAGTTAACTTATCCTAAGCTCCAACAATGTGGCCAGCAGCTTAGTTGTATTAATCGCTTGCACCTTTAGGTCCAGGAAGTGGTGACCTGATCAACAGAGAGACACAAATTACTAACAAATATTATTAACTAACACGAAGGAAATAAAATAAAAACTGAATCCAAGAGCACAAGACTTTGCATGTACTTGGGGAAAGTCAACATGTCATGGGGGCCTATGGCTTTGCCACACCCATTGTATGTAATACCTAATGGTGCCTACTCAAATATGTTTATATGAATTTCAAAATGGCAGAGGGGAGAGGGCATGTTTCTGCCCTGTGCAGGGATTACTGCCAGCAAGGTGAGCCAGGTTGCTATAAGCATAATCCTGCCGCCCTACTTCCTCAGACTTCCCATAAACATGACTTTCGAACACTGGTTTCAGGTGGCTTCGGGAGGTGTTGCAAGTAACCAGTATATCCGGAAAGCTCTGCAGGTTTTAACTGATGCCACCGATTTCGCCCTGGTATGTCCGCCTCCCAGACTGTGCACTGACAACGGTGTTATGATTGCATGGTAAGCAAATATGTGTTTTTTTCTTCTGTTTGGAATTCTGTTCTGAATTATAATGCAACATAGTTAATTGGAAAACACTTCGTTGGTATATCTAAACACAGTTTCTGTGTAGTTGTATATAGCCCCATGGGAGTTAGTTGCCAATAAATGTATACGTTTTGTATATGTGATGGCGTTGTATATTTGGGGTACATACCTTTCTTACAGGACGCGGGTGGCGCTGTGGGTTAAACCACAGAGCCTAGGGCTTGCTGATCAGAAGGTCGGCAGTTCAAATCCCAGCGACGGGGTGAGCTCTCGCTGCTCTGTCCCAGCTCCTGTCAACCTAGCAGTTTGAAAACACGTCAAAGTGCAAGTAGATAAGTAGGTACCGCTCCAGTGGGAAGGTAAACGGCGTTTCTGTGCGCTTCTCTGGTTCGCCAGAAGCGGCTCAGTCATGCTGGCCACATGACCCGGAAGCTGTCTGCGGACAAATGCCGGCTCCCTCAGCCAGTAAAGCGAGATGAGCGCGCAAACCCAGAGTTGTCCACAACTGGACCTAACGGTCAGGGGTCTCTTTACCTTTACCTTTCTTACATGCAAGTTCACTAAGTGCGAACCACCCTGGTAGCATTGTCCTTCAGAGAGAAAACTGCCTGTTATTGTTGGGTGAAGAAGAAGAAGGAGGAGGAGGAGGAGGAGGAGGAGAAGAAGAAGAAGAAGAAGAAGAAGAAGAAGAAGAAGAAAAAGCATGGCCAAACCACGTTTTCTCCAGTCAAGGGCCCTTCTTAGGCTAGCAGAAATTATCTCTGTCTGAAATCTCTTTGCTGAGCTTACATCAACAATACTGCATTTAGTTCACTGTAATGGGGGGATGAACTAGTTTATGGAAAACACTTTACACAAATATTCTCTCTTTAGGAATGGCATTGAAAGGCTTTGTGCAGGACTGGGTGTTTTATATAGCACAGAAGGCATAAGATACGAACCAAAGTAAGTAGTATTTATTATATTTATTATATTTCCCCCTCAGTACTGTGTTCTGTTATCTCTGTAGCACTCCAGAAAAACAGAGACAATATCTGTTGAGTGCTTTAAAATCTTACGAGACCTAGAGAGAGTGGAGCAGCAGAAGTCCCATGCCATAGTTTTCTGTTCCTCTCCTTTCTCCCTTATATCCAGGATTATACCTCTGTATTCTTCCTTGCTGTATAGCAGCCCAAATCAGTTCAGCAGTATTTAAATTCTGTCCCTAAATCCTTGCAAAATATAATGTATTGGGTGGTGGTGGGAAATGCACAATAGGAAAAGGTTGCACAATCGTTGGGAATAAAGTTGGACATATTGACAGAGAAAACACTAATCTCTTACCATTTCAGATTTTTAATGTTACCCAGGTGTTCTTCTCAAAATTTGGGAATATGATTTCCTGTCCGTTGGAAACCACTGTGGTGAACAAAAGTCGATGGCAAATTCCAGCTGGCCCACACTGACTGACATGCTGGAGGTTGAATGGATACATAGAGCTTTTTGAATTCTGTTATTCGTCCTTGGATAAGGCGTTATAGGACCTCAGAATCCACCAGGGGTTTCATAGAGACAGAAATAATGTTTTTAGATTTTAATTACAGTGCTCAGATATTTCAACAGGTTTATTCACCACTGTGCTTTTTTATGGACGATTTCCATATCAGTGTTGACCCTGTTCATATTATAGACAGCACATAATTCCTCTCACTGAATTTGGGGGTACACACTACTGCTGATATTATATAGTGGGCGGTCCTTAAATTGTTTAAATTAATATATAAAAAAGACAGAATAAGTGGCATTTCGTTCAGCAATACTAGTCGCGTGTTGTTGTTTTCTTTTGCTGTAGCTTGGCATCTTTTTTTTCTATAGGCTCAGCTGCAATCCCAAATCTAAACATAGACTGAGTTACACTTTCCTAAGGACCAAATTCATCTTGGCTTTTCATCAGAATTTGAGCTATGTGCTGTTGTCAATGCCCTCTTCCGGGCTCTCAGCCATGTATCTGATTTTTCACTCACAAACGGCTGTGTCCGGTTCCCTGCGACTTTGTCTACAGCTTTTGGCTTGGACAACAAGTTCTTGCTCTTCCAACTGTACTTTCAGAGCCTCTATATTTCTGGGGAGGACAGTTCTTCCCAAAAACCAACAGAAGTAGCCACGCTTCTCATTGAATTACTTCCGAGATAGAAATTTGGGGGAGTGGGGAAAATAAAAGACATGTAAATACGTTCCTTTAGCTATAGTGTCAACTTACCATTTCTCACGTGGCTGAAGGAAATAAACAAAGTGCTCTGCTTATGGATGTTCTCTGTCCTATTTATATGGTCTTTCAGGACTTAGTAAATCTCTCTGGTGTAGCTCCTCCTCTCCTTGGGGTTGAGGAGAGCAAGAGGAGAGAATGATCTACTGATATTTGTCTTGGGAACAAAAGAAGGGTGAGGGCAAATAATAATTTTATCCTTGTGGAAAATGTAAAATTCTTTTTCTGAAGAAAGTATACTGAACTCAAAAATCCTATGAAGAGAGGTCACTGTTATGAGAGGAATTGTCCAAAGACTTATGAGGAAACTTAAAATTTATTAACAGATGTTTAAATTCTAGATGAGATACGAAAGGTCAAATCTGTTTATACGGATCAAGAAAACCAAAATACTTCTGTTTGGTGTTAGTCTGCACAATGTAGTAATACTAAACTATAGCTGCATTGTTTTCCATAGTACAACAGTATTCATTATGGGAGTTAAGATTAAGAATGATATAAAGGAGATACTGAGTATAGAATTCATTATTACCTACAGGAGCCAAATATGTATGCGGTTTATAATGCTGGCTAATTATTTTGTATGATACTGAATTTATAATGGGATGCCTATGCTTGTGTCTTAAATGTATTTTTAAATTTTTATTTATTTATTAGAGCTCTGCTTGGGACGGATATCTCAGAAGAAGTCCAAAAGCTTCCATCAAAATGCCAGCACCAAATCAGATGTGAAAAGTGAAATCTGCCACCATCCATTTCAATGGGAGTTCCATACCATTTGCCCCAGCCTCTGTATGACAATGTGCCATTGCTGAGATTTTTCATTACTAAGCTGGGGATATCAAAACGAAAAATAAACCAAGAACAGCATAGGCATTCTTATAAGCCGTAAATGAAGAATATATTTCTAAGCTTTCTACCCTGTTCTGTAAATTTCAACATCGACCCTTGTCAACAGTTAAACAAGGCTTTTGGTTTCCAAAAGGACCAGTGGAAAGAAGAAGTAAAAGCAGAAGGGTTTCTGCATGACAGATAATGCCATTTCCTTTCCCAAGTGGTTGCATACTTGAATACAGTTGCTCTTCTTGATTGTGAGGCTACCTACACCAAAGTGAATTGGAATAAATCCCCTTCTGAAGTTGTTTATAATTTTACTCTGTTTGTTAATACAATGGTACCTCGGGTTACATACACTTCAGGTTACAGACTCTACTAACACAGAAATATTACCTCAGGTTAAGAACTTTGCTTCAGGATGAGAACAGAAATTGTGCAGTGGCGGCGCAGCAGCAGCAGGAGGCCCCATTAGCTAAAGTGGTGCTTCAGGTGAAGAACAGTTTCAGGTTAAGAACAGACCTCCAGAACAAATTAAGTTCTTAACCTGAGGTACTACTGTATAGTTTATCTTTATCATGCTGTCACCATCCTTTGCTTAAGATCATGGCCCAGCGAAGTAAGCCCTTTGGTTTAGTCCCTTTGTAACTCAGTAACCACACTAAGCACCTGGGGGATAAGAATCAAATTTGGTACGTTTGTTTAGTACCTTCCAAATGGGAATACCAGTTCAAAGCCTGCACCTGTTTGCAAGTGGGGGAGAAATGTTACACCTGCCTTGAAGGTTATTGATATTAAAGTTGATATATTGCATCCAGGAATAAAGCCCCAGCAGCCCCTTTCAAATGGACCAAGAAAGATGGGGGATCACTGTAACAGGATACATCCCTATGAAACCGAGCTACCTCACTGTAGTTTAATAATCACATTTACAGCGTAATTCTCTATTTTAAGTTAAAACATCTGCTTAAACCAGTTTTCAAGGTGAAGGGAAGGATGTAAAACATACCGCCGTTTACCTCCGTCACTGTGTTCCGTTGGGCCAGAAGTGGTTTAGTCCTGCTGGCCACATGACCCGGAAAGCTGTCTGCGGACGAACGCCGGCTCCCTCGGCCTGAAATCGGAGATGAGCGCCGGACCCCATAGTCGATTTCGACTGGACTTAACCGTCCAGGGGTCCTTTACCTTTTTACCTTACCTTAAAACATACCATGGACAGATACTTTCTATGAAGAAGCCTTGAATTATTAGAGTAGATGTCCCAGCAGCCCTTCTACTACTCCCGTATAGAAAAGACATAAAATTAATTTTAACGTGATCGCTTGAATTGTGAGAGTTAACACAGAGGCAAGATTGGAAGCATCATACGAAAGACACAGTTCGTGTTTGTCACCTGTACCTTTGGTGTACATACAAGTATGAGCTATACTTCTGTTGAGCTATACTTGGGAAAACCAAGATTCTTCAAGCACCGTCAAGACATTCATTCCAATTCCAAGCAGATTATCGAAGCCCAAGATGGCTTTGTGGGCTTCGACAATCTGCTTGGAATTGGAATGAATGTCTTGGCGGTGCTTTGAAGAATCTTGGTTTTCCCAGAACATTCTGGGGTAAACCAGAATCGCACAGCATAGAATCTTGCATTGTCTGCAAAGATCTAATTTTGCATTCTGCAACCGAGTTTCTTGGGGTGAAAATGGGTTTGATTTGCGATGAATGATCCCCGCTTTCTTAGCCATGCCTGGAAGGCTTCAGACAGCCCAGCTCCCAAAATTGGGATTTTTCTAACATGAAATGCAACCTCTTGAACACGTGCTATACTAGTTAAATTGGGCAAAGGCTGGAATTATCATGTGGTGTGCAATCCAGCCATCATTTAGCTCTTTTAAGTCTAATGGTTAAGGATGTGCTGATGGTCTCCCATTGAAGTCAATTATGCTTTAGAAAGTGCTTGGCTGCGGCTGAATGGTGCTACACACTTACACTATTTCTGTTGCCTTCCAGCTTAAAGAAGGTGCGTATATAAGCAGGGGGCTGTCTTTATCTCGGGGCTGGGGAGTGGGCTCCCACACCTCTTGGAACCCTAGAAAAACAACTGGAAGGAAATGGGGCTGATCCAGTATGCTTAGCGCAGCTGCCTATCTTAACATGCCAACTTCCCCATATTCCAAACACTTGAAGAGTGTGTGTTGGCACCAACAGTAAGTCCACCAGGTCTTTCTTCCAAGGTCTTTCTCCCTAGCAAGTGTGCTTAGGATTTCAGGCTTAAAACATGGACTACTGCAATGCGCTCTACGTGGGGCTACCTTTGAAGGTGACCCGGAAACTACAACTAATCCAGAATGCGGCAGCTAGACTGGTGACTGGGGGCGGCCGCCGAGACCACATAACACAGGTCTTGAAAGACCTACATTGGCTCCCAGTACGTTTCCGAGCACAATTCAAAGTGTTGGTGTTGACCTTTAAAGCCCTAAATGGCCTCGGCCCAGTATACCTGAAGGAGTGTCTCCACCCCCATCGTTCAGCCCGGACGCTGAGGTCCAGCGCCGAGGGCCTTCTGGCAGTTCCCTCATTGCGAGAAGCAAAGCTACAGGGAACCAGGCAGAGGGCCTTCTCGGTAGTGGCACCCACCCTGTGGAACGCCCTCCCATCAGATGTCAAAACGATAAACAACTACCTGACATTCAGAAGACATCTTAAGGCAGCCCTGTTCAGGGAAGTTTTTAATGTGTGACATTTTAGTGTATTTTTGGTCTCCGTGGAAGCTGCCCAGAGTGGCTGGGGAAACGCAGCCAGATGGGTGGGGTACAAATAATAAATTATTATTATTAAATTATTATAAAAGATACCAACATTGAGAGATATTGTGAATGTTCTCTTAGGTTTCTCTAGGCAACACTGGAGGCTATGAAAAAACACTTCTGCTTCAACACTGCACCTAAGTTTCTTTTCAGACACGAATGCTTACAGTCAATTGCCAGCCTTTTTATTCTCTACCACAGCAGCAATTATTTTTTTATTTTTTTGCATTATTAATAGACAAACTTTCATTCTGCAAATCTGTTACGGACAGAGCAGTAATATTTACCCTAATTATCTGAAAGGTATTAGCAGAGACACTACTGTTCCGTTGCTGCCCCGGTGCAGGCACTAAAGTCAAGATTTCTTTCCCGACAAGTTGCTGAGGAGCGCGGAGACGTTGACAATTCTCGGTCTCGAAACTTGAATGAGGTCCGATGTTGTGGCGTGTGGAAACGGAATGTGGCCGGATACTGGGACGCGGGGCTTTTCCGGTGTTTTGAACCTTCCCATCAGGTGAGTCGCCGTGGGCACCAAGAAGAGGGAATCCTTTGGACGACACTTTGTTTTGTATATCTTGACGCCACTAGTCTGGGATTTGTCTGCAAAATGAAAACATTGCTTTCTTATGCGCCGGAGGAGCTGACTCCTAGAATATTTGAGGGGGTCACACTTTTCCCCCTCCCAGTGTTAGGGTTTTTATCCATTTGTGCTGCTCCAGCAGTAGCACTATGTGTGTGTGTGTGTGTGTGTGTGTGTGTGTGTATACCAGTACTATAAACATAATTTTCTTAGCAAACAATATAACATATATTGGTCTTAACACTAAAGACCCGACCTCCCATCTATTCCATATTTCGATTTCATAATACTTATTGCCAATACACACTTTTATCATAATTAAACTTATTCTTAATATATCTAATTTTGTATATCTACCTTGCAACTATTACTGAAGTTCCTCGAATGCTGCAGCAGAATTTAAACTACAGTGGTACCCCGCAAGACGAACGCCTCGCAAGACGGAAAACCCGCTAGACGAAAGGGTTTTCCGTTTTGGAGGCGCTTCGCAAAACGAATTTCCCTATGGGCTTGCTTCGCAAGACGACAGCCCATAGGGAAATCTCAGGGACAGCGGGGAAGCGCAGCGCGTCTTCCCCACTGTCCTCGGACCTCCTCCGAAGCCTGGCGGCGGGGCGGGGACACCTCCTCCCGCCGCCGCCGGGCTTCGGAAGGCTCCTCCGGCCGGGCGGGGGGAGGGAACACCTAGCCGCCGCCGCCCGGCTTCGGAACGGTGCCCGGCCGGGCGGGGGGAGGGAACACCTGCCGCTGCCGCCCGGCTCGGAACGGTGCCCGGCCGGGCGGGGGGAGGGAAGACCTCCGCCCTGCCCGGCTTCGGAACGGTGCCCGGCCGGGCGGTGGGAGGGAAGACCTCCGCCGCCGCCCGGCTTCGGAACGGTGCCCGGCCGGGCGGGGAGGGAAGACCTCCGCCGCCGCCCGGCTTCGGAACGGTGCTCCGGCCGGGCGGGGGGAGGGAAGACCTTCTGAAGGCGGGCGGGGGCGAAAGTCTTTGCTCCCCTGCCTGCCTGTCCCGGAGGGCTTTTGAAGGCGGGGGAGCAAGACTCTCGCCCGCCCGCCTTCAGAAGAGGTCCAGGACCTCTTCTGAAGGCTGGCGGGGGCAAAAGTCTTTGTCCCCCTGCCTGCCTTCCCAGGGGCTTTGAATTGCCCCGGACAGCGGAGAAGTCCTCCGCTGTCCCGGGGTGATTTTAAATGCCGCCCGCCAGCATTTTAAGATCGCCCGGACAGCGGAGAAGTCCTCCGCTGTCCCGGGTTTTTAAAATGCTGGGGGTGGGAAGAAAGCCCTTGCTCCCCCCAGCCTTCAGAAGAGGTCCGGGGACAGTCTGTCCCCGGACCTGGTCTGAAGGCGGCTTCCTAGGAACGCATTAATTGATTTTCAATGCATTCCTATGGGAAACCGTGCATCGCAAGACGAAAAACTCGCAAGACGAAGAGACTTGCGGAACGAATTAATTTCGTCTTGCGAGGCACCACTGTAGTATATTTATTTTTCAGATATTCTTTGAAAACCTCCCATTTTGAAACTAATTCCTGTTTTGATTTATTCTTTATTTTTTCTGATAGAGCATCTAATTCGGCATATTCAGTTAGCTTTTGGATCCAATCTTGTATAGAGGGGATTTCATTACTCTTCCATTTTGCAGCAATCAGAACTCTTGCTGCTGCCGTTGCATATAAAAAGATACCCTTCCTCTTTTGCGGAATATCAAAATCAGTTATTCCCAGGAGGTAGGCCTCTGGTTTTTTATTGAAAGAGTTCTTCAGCATTTTTTGCAGTTCTGCATGGATACTCTCCCAGAATACCTGTATTTTCCTACATATCCACCACATATGGTAGAAAGTTCCTGAGTTTTGTGTATATCATGTGAGTGTCTGAGAGAGAGCGAGACAGGAAGTCTCAGTACTGTTGGAGTTAGTTTCATTTCTGTTTGTGATGCTGTTCTGTACTGGTGCTGAGAGAGCACAGACATGCTGATGAAGTCTCTGTATATAGACTGTAAAATAAAGTAGTTTAGAGCTACTGATTGACTCTTTCTTCTGCTATGACATGCCAGAAGATGAGTGTGCTCCTCTCAGGAGGGAGGGGTCGCTTATCACCGGTCTCTCTGGACTGAGGGAAATTTTATTGACACGAATGCTTACAGTCAATTGCCAGCCTTTTTATTCTCTACCACAGCAGCAATTATTTTATTTTTTTGCATTATTAATAGACAAACTTTCATTGTGCAAATCTGTTACGGACAGAGCAGTACTATTTACCCTAATTATCTGAAAGGTATTAGCAGAGACATTACTGTTTTCGTTGCTGCCCCAGTGCAGGCACTAAAGTCAAGCTTTCTTTCCCGACAAGTTGCTGAGGAGCGCGGAGACATTGACAATTCTCGGTCTCGAAACTTGAATGAGGTCCGAAGTTGTGGCGTGTGGAAACGGAATGTGGCCAGTTGCTGGGACGCGGGGCTCTGGACTGAGGGAAATTTATAGCCAGGGAGGACCACCAGAGAGACGCCCCGGAGTCTTGGGAAGTTGGGGGCCTTCCCGGGCGTTTTCCCAACACCTGGTTGATGGTTGATGGCCGTTGCCACTCAAATGGTATGTGTGCCCCCGTCTTGTGGTCAATTTTGTGGGGCACAGGGCTTACCTGGGACCCTCCAATATTTTATTCGTTGGCACCCTTGTTATGCACTGGCAAGTATAATAAATAATAATAATAATAATAATAATAATAATAATAATAATACCTTTATTGTCAATGTACAACCTGTGTACCTTCCCCCCGCCCAACACTCAATCTCATTGCACTCTGTGTGCTTGTCGCGAAACACACCAACCCCGAAAGTCAGTTGCACTATGTTATTTTCCGTTCAGCAGCCTAACAGCCCACGGAACAGAGGGATTCTTAAGCTTACATAAGTAAAGCGTTTGTTTGTCTTTCCCCCTCTGAGCAGTTGGCACCCTTGCCATACAAAAACTGCCCCTCACTTGCAAAAAAATAACTGCTTTGCTTTAGACCAAACTTGGGTCTCCAGCTGTTTTCGGACTACAATTCCCATCATCCCTGACTGCTGGTCTTGCTAGCTAGGGATGATGGGAGTTGTAGTCCCCCCCAATACAGCTGGAAACCCAGGTTTGGGAAACACTACTTTAGACACACTGTTTGGATTGAGATACAGCCCAGGCATACTGCACCCAGTTCTTTAATGGCTTTTTGCATCTGCCTCGGTTTGGTAGAACTTGTGTTTCTAAAGAAAAAACAAAGAAAATCTGACACACCTGAAGTCTGGTCTACACGCAGGTAATGTGTCTGTCCCCTTCACGTAATGTCTAAAGATTCCCTCAGAACAACAGCTTGTGAAGTGTGAGGGATTGCCACTGGATGGCAGAATGGGCCCCTCAATTCTCTGGATTCTGTCCCGATATAATCAAACTTTTATTTTATGTATTTGATGAGCTAATAGATATCAGCAGCCCCCCGCCACACATACAGTGAGATTTAACATGCTCGGCTTCTCATGCACTTTGCTCTTTATGGGTAATTCAGAACTTCCTTCATTTGTCATAATACTGTATATTACCGTAAAAAGTAAGGGGAAATGTGTGTGCAGCTTATGGAGCGAATGCAGGGGGGAGGCAGGCAGGAAAAGCCCCCAAGAGCCACACACAAGCTCCGTGTGGCTCTTACGGGCTTTTCCCCAGGAGGGAGAAGGGACTGACACGGCCAGTCAGTCCCTTCTCCCTCCTCGTAGAAAAGCCCGCAGGAGCCATGTGCTCCTGAAAGGGTGCGCAGCTCCTGTGGGCTTTTGCGGGAGGTGGGGGAATTGCCATAGCCGCACGCAGCCTCTCCCGGCCGGAGAAGCTGCGCACAGCTAAAGAAGCCAAAACAGCGAGCGGGATCCATCCCGCTGGCTGTCTTTGCTTCCTCTTTAATATTTTTAAAATTGATTTCCCCCTCTAAAAACTAGGTGCGTCTTGTGGTCCGGTGCGTCCTATAGAGCGAAAAATACGGTATATAGCTGAGCTAAAAGGGCAGAGCTGTCTAGCCAACAAGAGTTATTTCTGAATAAATTACCTCGTATGTGTACAGGAACTGCAGGTGGCCCTCCGTTTATCTCCAAACTGAAAATTAAAAAGGCAGAATGTTAGTAGTAGTCTTGACATATAACGACAAGAAGCGAGGACAACAAAGGATCTGTGTTCCAATTAAGCAATAGGCATTTAAACAATTAAATGCGGAAGGTTGTTTTGAACCTCAACTCTCATTTCCAAAGAGCTGGGACGGCAGAAACTTTGCTTACTGAAATGAGTTTCTTGCTGGGGAATGTATTAAGGATCTAGACCAGGGTTTCCCAAACTTGAAGCTCCAGCTGTTTTTGGACTACAATTCCCATCATCCCTGACCACTGGTCCTGCTAGCTAGGGATGATGGGAGTTGTAGTCCAACAACATCTGGAGGGCCACAGGTTCCTCACCCCTAAGCTAGGCACCGGTCCTTAACCTCAGGAGAAAAAGAAGAAATCTTATGCACGGCTTGTTATATAACAGCCATTTCCTATTTATATCATGATATGTAATTGTGGCGCTAGACTGTAATCGCCTTCCACACAAACTAGAAACACGCTGTTGTGTTTATGATTTTTTCTGTGGTAGTACTGGGAAATTAAAAAATGCTTTCGTTTTACGGGACAAAGCTCCCCCCCCCCTATTTCTGGGGGGGGGGGATGTTGTTCTTCAACAGATTTTCACAAAACTTCACCATCGAGGGTGTCCAGTGAGATAGAAATAAAGCTAAAACATCCAAATATTGGTGATCTATACCTCTCAGTTAGAGAACTTTGTGAAGGAAATAACCCTTCACACAAAAAAATTGCTTTGGGAACAAGTCTCTATACAACTGAATATAAAACTCCCTGAAGGTTTTGGAGATTACTCAAAAAAATTATTTATGAATTTATAAGCTGCACTGTCATTAAAAAACAATAACAGTAAGGTGGAATATAAAAACAAACTCAGCAAGTGTCCATAAAAACATAATTAAGAGCATCAATAGAAACTGAATGGATTTAAAAGAGAATTGCAACAACTCATGAGAAATCAAGGAGCAGGTTGCATTCTGCCTGTCCTGCTCTGCAAAGAGACCATGGGGACCAAGGCTACTTAGTCCTGTGTCCATGCCTGAACCCAGATTGAAATTGATCCCAATAATCTGTGTCATTCAATAATGCTTGCAGCTGCTCCACCAAAACCCTCTCCACCACTGTCCCCCAAAAGGGGGTATTTGCAGAATCAATGTTACCCTGAAGTCAACTGATATTTTGATCGATATTTGCATGGGGTACTCAATAGAAATCAGTAAGATTTTCAGTACGTGAAAAGTGAGGGACTCAAAACCTTAAAAAACAAACAAACAAACAAACAAACAAACAAACAAACCATAAGATAATTGAAAGGTTGCTAATTGTTACCTGAGAGCTGGAAGCCCAACTCTTTTTTGCCTCTTAAATTCTCTCACAAAGTCTGAATTTATTCTTGCATCCTTGCTAAGGTTCAGTATTAGCCTCTTGAACAACTTGGGCTTATTCCTACATTGTACTAGCAAATGGCGATATGCAGTTCGGTTGAATGTTAAATATCCCAGAGCACATGCCATAGATGTACGAACCTGAAAAAAGAACCTCACTTTCAGGTGTCTTTTCCCTGAAGGATTTTATTAAAGCATATATATATATATATATATTCAATAAAAGAAACTCATCTAAATAAAAACACAGAGAAAGAAAGAGAAATTAAAATGGAGAGTTCTCTCTCAAAAGTAGAACTTGTCACATCACAGAAAGTTTATAATTCGGCAGAAAATTTGAACTATTTGATATGTAGATGTATAATTTGGAATATTTAACGAGATTTGATTGGATTATTAAATTAGAAAATCTAATAATTTTTTTGACTAATGTAGCTGAGTCCCTTGTAGGTTTCTAGCTACCCTTGGTAAATTATTATATTCAGTCAATTAAAGTGATGGGAATTCAGACCTTCCAGATCCCTGTTTACTGCATCAAAAGACTTGCACGCCACACCCTGGAATGTGTGATCCATGTGGGATCTGGTCTGTTCTTGTATTGTCTACCATGGTGTCTGGGAGGTCCACCTTCCATAGTACCTGTTTTCTACTTAAAGTGATGGTGAGAGGTGATATAGGTTAAAAAGAGCTGGGGCTAAAATGCAGCCTTGCTTAACCGCCTTGGTGGCTGGTACAGGGCCTATGAGTTGACCATTTGTGGAGGATCTTACATACAACACAGTATCTTTATATAGGCCATTAATCAAAAATAATAATCTTTTATCTATACTGGATGTATTCAATTTGGCCCAGAGTCTTACTCATGAAATTGAATCAAAGGCAGCCTTCAAATCAATGAAGGCTGCATATAAGACCCCACAGGTTTTCTTGGCGTATTTGTCAATAAGGTGTGCTAAGACAAAACAGTGATCTATGCTAGTGATCTACCTTGCCTAAATCCAGCTTGCTCCTCCGCAAGGGTCCATCCAACTGAGGGAGGTGATATATTTTAAATGAACAATTAATCATTGAACAGTTCCTGCTGCAGTGATATTTTATAAATTGATAAATTTATAAATTGCAGTGATAAATTGATGTTTTAATTACAATTTATGGTTGTTGTATTTACACCAGCGTTTTCACCAATTTTCCAGGAAAAGACGGCAATACAACCAGCCTGTCAAGTCCATGATCTCCCCTGGATCTCTGTTTTCTTAAAAAAACATGTTACAAAAAAGTTGGTCTTTAATTGAGCAATCTGAATTTGCTACTATGTGACTGAATATCAATCCAAAATAGCAACAGTCTGGAAGCACCCTGAGAGCATATATACAAAAAAAACCTCCACCCTTTCCCATTAATTATTTCTTGTTTTTATGAAATTAACGCAGAGTGGCTAAATAATGGCTTTAAAAGTTGGGTTTCCGCCACCATCACTGCCACCCGTCTAATGTACGCATATTGGCAAAATATGGCTTCCAATGTGCATTATTGAAAAACCAATACTGTATATGGCATTCATTTTGGATTAATAATCTCAGGGTAAAAGGAGGTGATGATATTTTGATACTATTAAAGGGTCCACATTGCTTATTTTCATGCTGTTTTATATTTCACCAGTTTAGCTGCATTAGAAAGTTAGACTGAATGGATCAAATGTGGGGGGGGGGGGACTGCAAAAATAAAATAGCTGTACCTCTTCTTCCTTTGCGTATAAATGATAACAAAGACGCTGGACAGTTCCTAAGCATGTAATTGCTTCTGGAATACCTGCTCTTGTGTGAGCCAAACTAGCCAATAGCTTCCCTATAGAGAAATAAATAACTGAGATTAAATGTTACTAGTAAATTGAGCTAAAATTATACAAAAAAGTGTTTTGGTGCAATTAACTTCAGCAGGCAGGTGTCCATTTCTGAAACATTTCAAGAACCCCAGTACAATTTCTATAGCCACACTTTTCAGTATTCTTTTTACTGCACTCTTGGAACATATTGACACTTATGGCTTTAGGTAAAATGTGTGCTCCAATGTGCAATTACTGTATTTTTCGCTCCATAAGACACACTTTTTTCCTCCTAAAAAGTAATGGGAAATGTCTGTGCATCTTATGGAGTGAATGTGTGGTCCCTGGAGCCGAATTGCCCAGGGGAGAAAAGCAGATTGTGCTTTTTTTTTAATAGAAAGAGGAAAGGGGGTGTTGAAATGAAGCCACTGAGCAGCTGATTGGCAAACGATTGGAGGGAGATAAGGGACTCTAGCGATAAAGGAGGCTGCCTGGGAGGGGGGAGGTAAAAGCACATGGATCCTCAGGATTTTTGCATTGGGCCACCCCAAACTCACTGTCAAATCACATATCATGTCTGTGGCCACAGCATGAACCACAAAAGTCATACATCCACTGTTTTGTTCAGAATATTTTTTTTCTTGTTTTCCTCCTCTAAAAACTAGGTGCGTCTTATGGTCAGGTGCATCTTATGGAGCGAAAAATACAGTAATTTAAATGAAGCAAGAACCTTTGCTGTATTGTCGGCTGGGGCAACCCAGTCAGATAGGTGGCATAGCAATAATAATAATAATAATAATAATAATAATAGTCTTGACAGAATAAACACCTGCCTCTAGAGAATAATAGAAACCAAGACAAGGCATATCAACAATCACATCCTACTATTTTAAGATTTTGCACTATTTCAGTGTTGTATAAGCATGCTGCCTTGAAAAACAGTGCTTTTCTTTGCATCATTACTTGCCTATTAACACAAGAGTCGCTGTCTTTTCCGAACATAGCAGGTCAACCAAAATAGAAACTCCTTTTGCAGACAGACTGACTTTATCCTTATCAACTATAATTCTGGCTAGTATAACTATCTGAAACAAAAGAAACATTTTTACACAATGCATTAATATATTAATCAGGCCTCACACTTCCCCCCCTCATTTCTCTGCATTTCCTGCTTCTAGCAAAAATTGTTATTATTATTTTTTGTCCTAGTACAAAGCAAGCATATTTTAAGGAGAATGTAGTTTATGGCTACACAATCAAAGGAATGGAAGAGAAAATGTTTGTGTTACCTGCGGATGGAGACAAAGCACAAAATCTCAGCCCTTACACTTCTGAGTTTGCAGAAGCATTTATTAGTCTATGATGCAAACATATGCAGACATACATGGGATAATTTACACAAGAAATTAAGACATGCGTACACATTTTGCAAGTAAAAACACGATACCTTTTTCCATATTTCAACCCAATTCTTTAAAAAAATTCTTGCTTGCAATTTTCCTATATTCTTTATATTTTACAAAGATATGCTATTGTGTTTATGTACATATGCTCCTGTTAGTGTATATAGGTTTCTCTGCAGACTAAAAATATGAAACTGCAACCGATGAAGTAACAATAGCAGAAGTATTTGAAGTGGGCACAGATTGAGACATCGGGCACAACTTTAAAAATGTTGAGATCACAGGTTCCCAAGCAATGCCTTGAACCTCTCGGGCAAAAATGACTCTTCACAATAGATGAATGGTTGAAGGAACAAATGGACAGGCTACGTTGACACAAGTCATTGATAACAGAAAAAGCAAAAATAGCCATGGTGGCCTTTAAGAAAAAAATCCAAAATTCACGTTACATATACCTTTATTAGGCCAATGAAGAGGTCACAAAATAGTCTGCAAGTTTTCAAGCTCTCCAAAACTCTTCACCAGGCTAGATGGTAAACGGAGTAGGAGTCAGGAGGGGAAAGTTGACTCATATAGAAACTATGGAGTCTTTCTTTAATTGTGACAATCTTGAAATATGGGAGGAGGTAGCAGGTAGTCTAATGAGGCTCTTTTGGGTACTACGCAGGTGTCAGGTTGTACCTATGACACCTGAAAGCTTTTCATTTTTTCCAGAGATTTGAGAAACGGAAGCTATACCAGAAAACTAACATAAGAAGAGCCCTTGTAGATCAGGAAAATGCTCCATCTCTCTTCCAGGACTCTATTCTCACAGTGGCAAACCAGATGTTTATGGAACACCCACAAGGATCAGAAGCTGCTGCCGAAAGGGAGAAGATGAAAATCTCCTTCTCCAATGTAGTAGATTGAGCAGAGTCCTTTGTAATTGAGCAAAAATACAGGCATAGCATTCAAACAGTCCTTTATGGAAAACTCCATTTTCAAAAATGGCACACACGTGCTTATGCATTCTGGGTGAACTATGAGCGTGATCTCTGGTTTTGTACCTGAAAGGCAGCCATTGCTCTGTCTGTCTCTACTTCTGATTCCAGGAAAGGTTCAAATATAGACACAGATATTGGTCCGCTCTCTAAAATCAGTAACTGCTGGCTGGGATTATTATATGCAAAAAGGGCGATAGCATTTCCTGCTCGCAAACAGATATCCTTAAAACAATCAGAGAAACAAATAATTGTATTGACTGTGAAATATAAAGTACATAAAACACACACACACACACACACACACACACACACACAACCATGGGTGGTATTCAGCTACCAAGTCCTGTCTGTGCAAGAATTTCTACTTGTGCAGTGGGAGACATACAAACACACTCACTCACTCACTCACTCAAGCAAGCACCCCACACCCTACCCAGAGGATTGGGGGAACCTTTAGGACAGATTTAGGGGGTGCACTTTCCATGTGGTATTATTCAATTCCAGAGGGTGGAATTACGCAACAGCAGCTGCCAGAATTTTGACTGCAAAAAACTGGAAGGGGGAGAAAATCCCATCACTATTAGAATGGCAAAACAAACTCTGTGAGTTTGCAGAAATGGCAAAATTGATGGCAGTTATTAGAGGCCACTCAAATCAGAGAATAATTAGAGAGTGGTATGGAGTGAAGGAATACATGAAAAAACATGGTTCCGGAATTGAAATATTAATAGAGAATGTGTAAAACGTGCAGGGGTAAGCAAGAAAATAATAATAGAATCAATTGAATACTTATTAAATTATAACAACACAACAAGATGGAAGAAGTAAAATATTGAGATCACACATGGGTGAAGCGGAGTGGGGGAACCTATAATATCATTTATAATATAATTTGTTAATTGCGTTGTATTTACAATATAGCAAAGGGAAGCCCAGAGCAATTAGATATATTTTAATTTAGGTAATCTATGTAATAGACTTATGTTAGAAAATGAATATGGATTTTGAATTTGATGTTTGTAATTTTTTTTTGTTTTGAAAAAATAAAATAAAATAAAATAAAATAAAATAAAATCCAGAGGGTGGCTGGGTAAATTTGTTGCAGTATGAAGAATGGAATCTTGCACACCCTTAAACCCGACACATTTATTGTGGCATAAGGTTTCACTAGTTTGTTTCTCGGTGGCTCTTCAGGCAATCCTGTACCTGTGTTTACACATCAGGGAAGGGACAGTGGTGACAAGCATGGTAACTCTGCCCCCATTCCCCTTCAGGCCTTGGAAGGCGATCTTCTGAAATGAGGAGGTTTGTGAAGGCTATCTGCATGTTAAAGGTAAAGGGACCCCTGAGCATTAGGTAGGTCCAGTCGTGACCGATTCTGGGGTTGCGGCGCTCATCTCGCTTTACTGGCCGAGGGAGCCGGCGTACAGCTTCCGGGTCATATGGCCAGCATGACTAAGCCGCTTCTGGCAAACCAGAGCAGCACACGGAAACGCCGTTTACCTTCCCGACGGAGCAGTACCTATTTATCTACTTGCACTTTGATGTGCTTTCGAACTGCTAGGTTGGCAGGAGCAGGGACTGAGCAACAAGAGCTCACCCCGTCGCAGGGATTCAAACCGCCGACCTTCTGACCGACAAGCCCATGTTGCAGAACTATAAATTTCCAGCATTCCTGGAAAGGGGAGAAGCCCTGGAGCCGACTGCCGCTTCGCAGGTAAGATTCACCTTCTGTTGTGTGGGCAGGACGGTCCCTCCCCTTACCTGGCCAATCCCCTGGCAACGCCTCCCCAGGTGGGATTGGTCGATTGGCTGAGGTAGGCAGAGACCTTCAGGTATCCAGCCTGGGCAGGATGAAGCCAGCCCAAACTACCAGGAGTCGCACTGGGATCTGGGTGGCTGCGCACAACCACGCAAAAGGCTCCCCATTTGATGTGGGGAGCGGTCATTGCAGAACTATAAATTTCCAGCATTCCTAAATAGACAGGGAACCTTCATAAGCACAGAAGGTTGCCCACTTCTTAAGTTTGCCCTCACGGAGGGCAATTTGACTGGTGCTGGCAGGGAGTGGGCAGAGCTAGCTCTCTTGTCCCCAGTGCTCCCACTCGTGTTAATACAAATGCAGCACACCTGAATATGGCTAGAGTGTGTCAGTGTTGTCTGTAGCTAGTTTGATAGGGAGAAGGAAGAGGCGAAATGAGGCCATGAAATTCCATGCTAAGAAACAATGGGTCAGGATGAATGTACAGTGGTACCTCAGGTTAAGAACTTAATTCATTCTGGAGGTCTGTTCTTAACCTGAAACTGTTCTTAACCTGAAGCACCACTTTAGCTAATGGGGCCTCCTGCTGCCGCTGCGCCGCTGCTGCACGATTTCTGTTCTCATCCTGAAGCAAAGTTCTTAACCCGAGGTAATATTTCTGGGTTAGCGGAGTCTGTAACCTGAAGCGTCTGTAACCTGAAGCGTATGTAACCCGAGGTACCACTGTATCATCATCATCATCAACAACAACCTCATTATTAAAATTTGTATACCGCCCTGTACCCGCATGTCTCAGGGTGGTTGCAACATAAAATCACAGTACAAAAACACAAAATACACAATCAACAACAACAACAACCCCCCAACAACACCCCCCTCCACACACACTCACATTTTAAAAGGGCATTGGATGTCAGTCAGCCAAAGGCATGGTCAAAGAGGAATGTTTTTGCCTGGTGCCTAAAAGGTGTATAATGAAGCTGCCAGGTGAGATTTAAGTGAGATTGGAATAATAATGGCACATGCTCAGAGTTGTGGTTTTTAAAATGGTTTGTGGCTCAAGTGTATCAGGAATGTAGATGCAGTTGTAAAGCATAGGTGAAGGTTATTTGTTAATTGTGCACTTCATAACTGAACTAACACACACACACACACACAAAATCATGTAAAGCCTCTGTTCCCCACACCGTTAAGCCCAGGGTCTAGGAAAGGCTTTCTCAAAACTTCTGTCTCCAGCAGTTTTTGGACTACAGCTACCATCATCCATAGCTAGCAGGAAAGGTGGTCAGGGATGATGGGATTTATAGTCCAAAAGCAGCTGGAGACCCAAGTTTGGATCTAAAATTTACCTAGCTGCATCACATTTGGCCAGTTAATATACTCATTGGCCCTCCAGCTTTTGGTGTAGTTCTAAGGTGATTCTGTGCAATTAACAAGTAACTGTGCAATTAACAAGTAACCGCCAACTGTTCTCATGCTGTGCTTGCAAAACAGCCTGATTTGATCCATATGTGAGCTCGGAGGTCCCTTTAATCTCTTGTATGTGTACACTGGCTCTTCCATTCTAATGGCGGGAGCAGATCTGTACATGGAAAGGAGTATTTGCTCACAGCTTGGGGGAAAGGATCCGTTCCTGTAATCAGGCACTGACGTTAATTGAAACAAAGAAAGAAAGAAAGAAAGAAAGAATGTCAGTGCCTTATTACAGCATGAAGCGTATTTAATCTTTTCTCTTAAATAGGCACTATGATGTTCTCCAGTAAAGCCAGTACCTTCTCTGGTGCGTAAAGGAGCCCAAGGACGTCAGAATAACTAAAGCCTTCCTTCTCTCGCAAGACACTCTGCAGGTTATCGTTCTTTAGAACAATGCAAGCCAAAGAATATGCAACTTCAACCTAAACAATCAGTTGGATGGAAAAGCAAAAGTTAAAAAAAGAGAGAAAATATCAGTTTTATATAATAGATCATATCCTATCCTATTCACATCAAAGTTCAGAATGGGATTCAGACATATACACTGCATATAAAGAATATTTTTACTGATTTCATAGGTGATCTTCAACACACTGGTTAAATTCAATTATTTTTAGCCCAATTCCAAATTTTCAGCCCCATTCCAAACGTCCTTCAGAGCTTGCTGACTATCCCTCAGTCCCCAATGAACAATCCCTTTAAGTAACATGTAGCTGCAGTGCAATGATATTTACACCATAAAAAGCCACAATCTCATCCAGAGTTGTTATAATATGTGCACATAATATATAACAAACTGGACTCTTTCTGTACCTCACAGTTCCACAATGCTTAATGGAGATTTTTGTCTTGCCCTGAGGTTTCCAAATATAGTTACTGATAAACATAGTTCTCCTTCCCCTAATTGTATCCTCCTTGTCCACGCAATTAGTCTTTTGCCAGCCAAATAGCCAATGCCCCAAACAGCATCCTAGTACCTAATTCTCTCCATCTCCCCACAACCTCCCCATAACCTCTAGTGAAATGGTCATCACATGGTCATCAAAATGCAAATCTCCCAATCCTTGCTCCACATAAATGGGTGCCACTAGTGGTTGAGCTGTATGATTAGAGGTCACAGGGGAGATGTTAGATATTATAGGGGAGAGAAGATGTGAGGATATCAAGCCAGATATGGGGATGTTGCTGTTGGCAGCTCCTTGTCTACAATAACATCTCGTTCCAGTCTTTAGGAACTGGAATGTAGCAAACAAAATTATTATAGTCATGTTACTTTTGTGAACGTCAGCGTCATACAACTCTAACCAATTAGGTGCCAGTTTCCAAAAATGGTTGGCTGTGACCAGCAGCTAGTTTCTTTGTATAGGAAAATAAGAAGCTGCCTTATACTAAGTCAGACCCTTGGTCTATCTAGAGCCTCATTGCCAACGCGGACTGGCAGCATCTCACCAGGGTTTCAGGTAAGGGTGCTTCCAAACCCTACGGGGAGCGTTTGCATGCAAAGCACCACGACTGAGTTGAAGCCCTTTAGCATCGCGCAAAGATGTATTAGCTTATATTATGTGCTGAACTGAAAGGACTACTTAAACCTACTCAAGAATCAGGGCTTTCCCCACCCCCCTGCTGGAACTCAATGGAACTCAGTTCTGGCACTTCTCAGATGGGCGCCATTGCCATTATAAGAGAGTTTATGGTGAGTTCTGGCACCTCTTTTTCTAGAAAAATAGCACTGTCAAGAAGTGTTCTATCCCTAAGGATGTGCTTTATGGGGAGCTGGCTTCAGGTACCAGGCCTGTTGGCAGACCAACTCTGTGTTACAAAGATGTTTGCAAATGTGACATGAAAGCTGGCAACATCAACCCCACCATCTGGAAATTCCTTGCAGATAACCGAAGAGCCTGGAGATAGACAGGTCACATATCCCCAGCAGTAACCAGAGGGAAAATGACTACTGGGGGAGCGCAGAGAGAAAAAACACCATAGTTCATCTGCAGCAGCACAATCAGATGCCTTCATCTTCTCCAGCTGCAACAAAACACGTTTCTACAGCCACAGCAGGCGCTGTAATTCTCCAACGGTTTGACTTCTCCTCAGATGGCACACTTTCCCACTGTCCTCCAAGAAAGACAGATGCCAACACTTAAACCTACTCAAGAAATGCTTTGGGGGAGTTCATCTCTATACTGAATAAGGCTACCACTTAAAACCCACCTTTATGTGAAGAGAACTATGATGTTTCAGTAAGTGGACCAATATTGGCAAGGCTCCTTCATCTACTACGTTGTCTTGACTGACTGGATTGTTTATGTTGGCTTCACCTGAAGGTCCAACAAGTCAGGCAGAGAGCCACACATAAGGAGCACAGGAAAAATTGAAAAGATAATCAGAAAGTGTGAACGAGCCCTCTCTTCCTCCAAAAAATAGCAAAATTTGGCTTTCATTGTGTGTTTTGCTGCTTTTATTTTTCTACATTATCTGCTCCCTACATATTTGGAAAATGCAAAACGAGCAAACAGTATGGAGGCTGTAACTCTGACTTACGTTGTGTTTGTTTGCATTTTTGATTTTACGTTAATGAAAAATAACAATGAAATAAGATAAAAATAAAATGTGGGCTTTATAGAGTTTAGGTCCAGATATGAGGTGTGTGTTCGCAGATAATTCTATTAATAATGTGTGGTGACCTCACATCTGGACCGCCCAGAGTGGCTGGGGAAACTCAGCCAGATGGGCGGGGTATAAATAATATATTATTATTATTATTATTATTATTTTGCCCTGATCAGATAAGGACCAAAAAGAGACATGGAAGGAGACTTCTTCCTCTAAGTTGGTGATTCAGTGTCAATTAAGGCTGAATTATGTGGTTGCCAACGAAAGCAATTCAAGGTAGCCTCTTGCTGGCTGTTTGTGTGTATTGGCCCATAGATAGCAACTAGGTTGGAGAGCGATAGCGGTCCATGTTTCATAAAGCTCACACATCTGCATAGTTATGCAGTAGAAAGAGGCTTTCTGCCTGCTCACCAGCATTGTCCTTATGAAAACTTGGGGCACAAGCCAAATGCTGGTCACCAGCCATGGGCTGGCTGACTAGGCCTTCTGGGTAGTTACTAGGAAGTCAGTTTTGGTTTGTCTCCATTTCCAGTTTTCCCCATCTTAAATTCAGTTCACCCCATTTCCACATCTGCTTGTGATTAGGAAAAAAAAAAGTCCTCCTGAAAATTCATCAGCAATCTAGTGCGAATTTCTTCAGCCAATGTACACATTTTAATGCAACTTTGCCTAATATGCACATTTTTTGCTACCCACTTTCCCCTATTATTTTTGCATGCTGTTTTCACAAATATATGCATTTTTATGCAGACTAGTAAAAATGCATTTTTGTACCCATCACCTTGCTGGAGAACTGCATTGCAAAATTCAGAGAAGTGTGAATTTAGAAGGATGTCTGTGTTCGCGTTCACCTACTGTTGCGAAAAATTGAGAATTGGGCAGGTTTGTCTTCTAATGTCAACTGAATCAAATTTCTCCCCCATCCCTACTTGACAAACTCTTCTTGCAATTAAAAAGGTAAAGGTAAAGGGACCCCTGAACATTAGGCCCAGTCGTGACCGACTCTGGGGTTGCGGCGCTCATCTCACTTTATTGGCCAGGGGAGCTGGTGTACAGCTTCCAGGTCATGTGGCCAGCATGACTAAGCTGCTTCTGGCAAACCAGAGCAGCGCACGGAAACGCCGTTTACCTTCCCGCTGGAGCGGTACCTATTTATCTACTTGCACTTTGACATGCTTTCGAACTGCTAGGTTGGCAAGAGCTGGGACCGAGCAACGGGAGCTCACCCCATCGTGGGGATCCGAACCACCAACCTTCTGATCGGCAAGCCCTAGGCTCTGTGGTTTAACCCACAGCGCCACCCGCGTCCTTCTTGCAATTACAGACTGGCAAAACCAGGAGATTTATCAAGGCCCTGGTCAAATACCACACGCGCCTTTTGTTAATGGAAAAGACTACTTATATCACTAAAAATGTATTAGGGGTTATATCCGATGACAGTCCTACTTAGAGTAGATCCACTGAAGTTAATTAACATGACTAGTGTAGGCCCATTAAATTTCAGTGGGTGTAGTCTAAGAAGAACTTAGTTGTATACAACCCAACTTCCAAAGTTCTTGCATTGCTCTAAACTGCTTAATTATTTTTAACTGTTATAATAAAAAACTGCTCCCTTTCCCTTATGGGGTATTCCAGAGCCTGCACAGAGTCCTTAAGTGAGTTCCCTATCAGTACAAGGAAACAACAGAGGCCAACCAGAGTATATTTGAGAAGCAAAGCGGCTAGTAAGCCCCAAACGGGGGATTGTTAGAAGAATTTTAAGGTCTCAAATATAGAATAAATATTCATAAATGCACACATATCTAAATATATGAACCACGTGTCTGAAATAGTATGGGAGAACAATCCCGAAGCCATTTTGACTCTCCCAATGACCTCAAATATTCTTCTGCAGTAATGGAGGCAAATGGGGAAAGCCTCCACATTGTCGTTTTGCTTGCAAATCCTGTCTTAGGGGCGTATTTGTGCATGAATAAGGTGAGCCTGTGACCTGGAGTCAGGAGCTAAATTATTAACCATCACAAAAGAATGGCCAGACTGCCCAGGCAATGCAATCAGTGACCATGATCAGGTATCCTGGCAGAAAGGATTTCTGCTATAGACCACCTCCTTCTGTGATTTCTGCTGTAGACCGCCTCCTTCTGTGATGTATGTATGATGTTTTTGGATGTAGTCTTGGGCTATAGGGTGGGCGATTTCAAAGGTCTATATAAGGGCTTGTGCACCATTGTTCAGGGTTCTCCTCCCTCCTGTATGTGGTGAGTGGGGACCCTGTTGCAACAGTTTATTTTTCCTTCAATAAAGATCAGGCTTACTAGCCGCTTTGCTTCTCAGATATGCTCTGGTTTGCCTCTGTTGTTTGCTCCTACCGATAGGGAACCTACAAGGACTCTATACGGACTCTGGAATACCCCATAAGGGAAAGGGAGCAGTTTTTTCTTATAACATAACCTAAGTACAACAGAAAAGGAACTACAAACCAATACAAATGGTTCCCAAGGCTCTGATGACACTGAGCAGTGTGCCCTCTGCTATCCTTCCACTCCTTAGCAGCCGAACCAAAGGGGAAATTCCGTTCCCTTCGCAGATCTGGTTCTGGTGAATTTCGCTCTCCTTGCTAAGAGCTATGACGGCCTCACCTCCTTCCAAAACAACCACAGCAACACACATTTAGCAACCTTCAGCCCCATGCCCAGTTTTTCTTTCAGAAATGTAACGGAAAAGGTTGATGTCATGTCAGGGAACTGCCATCGGCTCAGAGGTGAGAATTAGAAGGGCAGTTGTGTTACAGGGAGCCTCCGGAAATCTTGCGACGCAGTTCCTCTTCCGGGGAGGAGGAAAGACCCACCTCCAGTGGAGAAGAGGTGCAAGGACCAGAGGATGCTAGTGAGAGCCTTAACACCGCTCCTGAGCAAGCCGGTCAGGAGGAAAACATGCCCTTGCCATTGCCCATCCTGCGCAGTAGTCTGAGGCGCAAAGAGGGGAGGAGATGGTTGGGGGTAACGAAACTCTTATGTTGGGGGTGGTCCAAAAAAAGACCACTCCCGGATTCTGCTAGCGATTGAGCCAGACATGAACTTTGGGGCTCTTCACTGTAAATAGTTTGCACCAAAATAAAGCCTGTAAAAGACAGGTTGGAGTCCTGCCTGGTTACTCTCGAGCAACCACAACAGCCACCTGGCAGTTGACTTACCAACACACTGCATTTTATCAGAGGGTGATAGCAGCATATCGATAATAAGGTTGTATCCAATCTGTTCTGCCATGTATTTCTGCTGCTTCAAGGTTTGCCCTGCCAGGGCCCAAAGTGTGGCAGCACCTTGTTCTTTAACTTTCAGGTGAAAAGCCTGCAGATTGGGCAAAATAATAATAATAATAAAATGTTCCTGGTTATATTTCAAAGCGTTAACGTCTCAGAGGATGTAATCCCAAGCTGACTTCCTCATCAATAAGCTCCGCTGAACTCAGAAGGACCAAGCTACAAAGTTATCCAGTGAGGTCAGATAACAGCCTACTCAGCTGCTCTACAAATCCCAGAGAAAAGATGGGAAAATACTTGCCTTCAGGAGCTTTAAAAGGAATTTGGTCACAGACTTGGATAGAAATCTCATCTGGATGTTAGTGTTCCTTTCAGCGAGTGCCTCAATCGCCATTGCTCCTTTCACTTGGACACTGATTTTCCTTCCTCTGAGAAGTTCAACTAGAGGGGCAATGACTTGCGCATCAGCAATGGCATTCTGCATTCTAAAATTCCCTCGAGCGAGTTCTGCAATCGCTGCCGAAGCCACAGCCAGCAGCACATCTTTATGCAGAAAAAGATCACGAAACAGTAAGAGCCAGCCACATGTAAGACCACAGCAAATAACAGCCCTGTTACTGTTTTCACTGTTATTATTTTTCGTTTCATTTGCAGATCAGAGATTTGATGTAGTAATAAACATCTAGTATTCTGTTACCTAAGACAATGTTTGTTAAGCAATACCGCAGGGATGGGGGAGTTCTCATCGGTCCCAACCAGATAGGCCAGTGGTAAGGGATGATGGGAGTTGTAGTCTGACAGCATATGGAAGGTCACAGGTTCCTTATCCCTGCAATATAGGCTCTCAACCGAGCCAGTAAATCCATAATCCATGTCCATGTGTAACCCAAACTTGCTACTTGGGCCTCACCCCTCCTTGATTTGCCCCCTCCCCTAAAAAGCAGCCTCTCTAAGAAGATCTATCTCTGTGCTCAGGGCATAGCTGTCAACCGTCCCTTATTTGGCGGGAAACTCCCTTATCCCAGCGCCATGTCCCGCTGCTGTCCCGGATTGATGATGTCCCTTAAATTTCTGGGGTTTCATGCTCGCCCGGCTTGGGAGGGAAGCAGCGGCTTGGGGTTCTCCGCCTCAAGAGAGAGAGCGAGAGAGAGCACACGAGCTGCCGCGTCTCCATCTCTCCCTTTCCCCCCTCAGGGGTGCGTCGTGAGGAGACGGGTGGTGGCGGGCGGGCAGGAAGCCCCTCTCTTCGGCTGCACTGCTAGGGGAAGCCGGAGGCAGCAGTGGCAGCTGAGGAGTTGGCCTGAGGGAGGAGGAAGAGGAGGGGATGGGGAGGGATGCAGAAGGGCGGCGCTTCAGAGGCCGCGCTGTAACTGCCTCATGCCAGCGTGGGAGAGAGTCTCTCTCCCTCCCTCTTGGGTGGGGAAGGGCCAATGGAACTCATAAGCTAAGCAAAATCCCTTATTTTGGTTGCTGAGCCCTTATTTTCGAGGCTGCTGGTCCCTTATTTTCAAATCCGTAAGTTGACAGCTATGGCTCAGGGGCAGACCTTGGTAATATGCCGCCCTGTGCAAGGCCATTCAGCGGCTTAAGCTGGGCTTTAGAAAAGAGGCACGAGGTTATGGCATGGTCCTAGGGCCCTCCTCCCACCTTTCTTAAGTCCGGTAAGTACTTGTCCAGCTTTGGGAAGGAGGCAGGAAGAAGAAGAGGAGGAGGAGGTGGTGTTTGGACTTGATACCCCACCTTTCACTCCCCTTAAGGAATCTCAAAGCGGCTAACAATCTCCTTTCCATTCCTCCCCCACAACAAACACTCTGTGAGGTGAGTGAGGCTGAGAGACTTCAGAGAAGTGTGACTAGCCCAAGGTCACCCAGCAATTTAATGTGGAGGAGCAGGGAAGTGAACCTGGTTCACCAGATTACGAGTCTACCGCTCTTAACCACTACACTACACTGGCTCACAGGAGGATTCTAGGAACCTGCCAGAGCCCTCACACCTCCTTCCCAAAGCCAGGCAAGCATTTAGCAGGCCTGGTGTGACTGCACCAATTGGACTGCCCTATATCTGCCCCTGCTGCACCCCCAGTATCCACCCCTTGCAGCTTTGATGGTCTGTTGCCCTCCTCCAAAAAGGGGGTCCAGGAGAACATGCACTGTGCCCACTCCCCTGTGTATGGATAGCAGCACTTGTGATTCTGCATTTTGTTCCTTTGCTGTACCTGAATCTGACTGCAAGAAGTTGACAAGTGGCTCGATGCCCCTGGCATCTTTCACTTTCAACTGGTTCTCATGGTTGTTAATGCACATTACTCGAATGCAATTTATTACGTTCACAAGCAGGTCTTCTATGTTGTACTGCAACAGATTGACAAGCGCAGGAATTCCACCCTGCAGGAAAAAGAAAGAAAGAAAAATAGTGTTGAAGAAAGCAGCGAGATCCATTCAGTCACATATACCAAACTGTCGATAGTGCAGACACGACTCTTGTTCTCTGTTCATCAGAAGCCAACTTTGAGAATGTTCCCTCTTTATCTAGCCGCAATTAGTAAATACATCTTCACCCCCTCTTAAGGCTAACCAGTACTTTTCTTAACCTGGGATCTGAATCTCTTGGCTTGACGTGGGTTCCTAATCCTGGGTTTAGGAACAGAGGAGACTGGTGCTCATAGGGGCTGGTAGGGCAGAAGGCAGGGAATACAGCCAAAGGTGGAGCCAGAGCCAGAGCCAGAAACAGGCAGAACCAACTAATTCTGGTTTTGACCCCATTCCCCCACTGAATTCTACAAAGGCAACACTGAGACTAAGGAGGAAGAAGCTGACAACCCAGTCCTTAGAGTGCCACCCACGGTAAGTAAGGGGCCAGGGAGCATGGTGGTGGCTCACGGCAGAATGTCGGAACAGCTTCCACCACTGAGGAGAACTCTAGTTACTTGTCAGGAATGAGCCAGCTCCAAACGAAGGTTTGCAGCCAACTGCAGATAGCAGCCAGGAACAGAGGGGCTTAGATGTTAGCCAGGCAGGGGAGAGCCGGCAGCTGCAGACCGGCTCTTCCTGACCTTGACGAGCAGGCTGATAAGGCAGTAGCTGAGAGCAGGCTGGAACACAGCCAAAGCTTGCAGGAAGTACAAATAGGCGCGAAAAGACTCAGAGTCAGCCTCGCAGAACAGGAAGAGGTTGCAGCTGATCCACTAAGTCTGAAGAGTCGGCGAATGGGAGGGCTGCTAGATAGGAAGCAACACAAGAGACTTAAGGGTCGTAAGTTCAATATCTTCTGTCAACGCCGGAAGAAGTCTTCAGAAGGGTCATCTTGAGTAATGATGCCAGAGGCTTTCTCAGAGCTGTTAGAAGCTATCTGTTTGTTTTTGCAATAAATCCTCCTTTTTAATTACCTACGCTTACTGTGTTATCAAGTTGGGAACCTGGACTCCTGGCATTACTATTGGGAACCTTAAGCACAATTAAGATTAGTTTCAATGTACCTAGATGATCCTCAGGGTCCCTTACAGGTCTACAGTTCTATGATTCAAAGGAAGAAAGGGGGGGTCTCTAACTTAGGATACTTTTACAAATTGAACACACCTGAAGTAAAAGCAAACACATTTTTTTATTATTATAGTACATTTTAAAAAGGAGGGAATGAAAGAAAATACTAAGGTGTTTTGGTTTATTTAGGGTTAGGCTTACCTGTTCAGCAATTATAACCTGATTGTTATCCAACTGGGCAATATCATATAAAAGGACAGCACAACGGGAAAGCAATTCAGGTTCATGAGTTGCCAGTAGCTTAATTAATACTGTGATGCCTCCTGCTTCTACAAAAGCTCTGGCGATGGACTCATGGATTGAGATGTTACTCAGAACTCCCACAGTGATGCACTCCAGGTAGATGGTGCCACTTTTTAACAAGTTGATTAACGAGGGTATAGTACCTGCAGTGCAGAGCGCAAACGAAGGGTCAGTTACAGATTTCTTTCACAAACACGACTTCCTGTGAATCACTTGAAAGTTCCTGACTTGTTTAGAAGAGAATAGGAGAATCTGTATGTGTTGGCAGGGAAGGGATGTATGAAAGATCACAAAAGCCCTACTTGTGCATGTAACCCTACACATGAGCAAGACAGGGTAGGATTGAGAACATTTTGCTCCTCACACCCCTAACCTCACCATCCTTCTCACTCTCAAACCCATGGAGGATTCCTGCTCAATGGAAAATACAAAAGAGGGCTTTAAATCATGTGGGGATCCCTCACATTCTTTCACATGTGGTGGACTTGTAAAAGGGTAAAAGAGTATTGGGAAATAATCCATAATGAATTGAAAAAAATGTTTAAAATAACTTTTCCAAAAACAAACAAACACCCAGAGTCCTTTTTGTTAGGGATAATTCAGATAGAAATTCCCATGTGTCAGAAAAGTTTATTTATGTATGCCACTACTGTGGCCCATGTTTCATTAGCCCAAAAATGGAAAACAAGTGAGGTCCCAAAACTAAAAAAATACTGAAACTTAAATATTAACATATCATTTTAAAGATGCCATTTTATTTATATATTTTACAGGTTTTATTTACACTTTTCAAGTTTATACATTTCATTAATTTTACAATTTTAAAAATTGACTTCCTTTCCCTACTTTCTGCGGTTCCTTAAAATTTTTTTTAAAAAAATATCTTCTGCATATCCAAATTCATTTAACTTGCTCATTTAATTATCTACTGTAAATATATACTCTTGTGAAACTGCAGGTTATTACAATAATCCTGCTAATGTTTTTATCTGTTTGCAATTTATCTGTAAATATTAAATAAACCATTTCCAGTCTTTTATAAAAAAAAGTTTGTTATCTTGATTTCTTATTTTTCTGGTAAGTTTCACCATTTCTGCATATTCCGTAAGTTTTTGTATCCATTCTTCCTTTACTGGGACTTCTGCTTCTTTCCACTTTTGGGCCAGTAACATTCTTGCTGCTGTAGTAAAGGTAAAGATAAAGGGACCCCTGACCATTAGGTCCAGTCGTGACCAACTCTGGGGTTGCGGCGCTCATCGCGCTTTATTGGCCAAGGGAGCCGGCGTACAGCTTCCGGGTCATGCAGCCAGCATGACTAAGCCGCTTCTGGCGAACCAGAGCAGCGCACGGAAACGTCATTTACCATCCCGCTGGAGCGGTACCTATTTATCTACTTGCACTTTGACGTGCTTTCGAACTGCTAGGTTAGCAGGAGCAGGGACCGAGCAACGGGAGCTCACCCCATCGCGGGGATTCGAACCGCCAACCTTCTGATCAGCAAGTCCTAGGCTCTGTGGTTTAACCCACAGCACCACCCGTGTCCCTGCTGCTGTAGTAGCATATGTAAATAAATTTCTATACAACTTAGGTAATTCTGTCCCTATAATTCCCAAAAGAAAAGCTTCTGTTTTGTTTTTTTTGACTAGAAGTTATTTTGAACACCCTTTTCAATTCATTGTCATGCCATTTTAAATCCATCAAGCCAATCTCCTCCCAGCAGCAAGGTTTTAGGGGAGGCTGTGCCAGAGGAGGAGAAAACTATAGAGCAGTACTAAACTATGGTTTACTGTTACATCTGAATGTGGCTGGTATCTACAAAAAAAGTGAGGATGCTGCAACCCCCATACAGTTATGAACTGGGGCATTATCATCTACTGTTAATTCTGCTGAATTCTGCCCCCAGTGGTTTCTTTCAGCGAGTACATTCAGTCTTTCACAATTTCATTTAAAAATGTATTTGAAGAAGATGCTTCCAACATGTTAAGAGCTGCCTCCAACAGTTCGCTTTATTTAAAGCCGATCTACTCCCAGGAGCAAAGAAGCAGAGAACTTTCCTAGAGTACATCCTTGTGGGATTTGCAACGGATGGTGCTGCATAAATAACAGTTTAAAAATAAGTCATCCGAACGCAGCTTAGGTATAGCACCGAAAGCAATGCGGCAAGTTTGTCATAGCTTCAAGTCCTTTGATTTTTAGTGGGAACTAGATAAATTATAAACAGATGAAAACATTGGCAGGATTATTGTAATAACCTGCAGTTTTATAAGAGTATATATTTAAAGAAGATGAGTAAATGAGCAAATTAAGTTCATTTGGATATGCAGAAGATATTAAAAACAAAATTCAAGGAACCGCAGAAAGAGGGGGAAGGAAGTCAAGTTTTGAAATGTCAAAATGATTGTAAAATCAGTGAAATGTATAAACTTAAAAAGAATAGATGATAGATAGAGATAGACAGACAGACAGACAGACAGACAGACAGACAGACAGATACTTGATTTTTAGTGGGAACCACATTCGTCTGGATCCAACCCTGTGTGTACCGTTTGCTTTAAAAAGGCAAGGATGGAAGGAAGAGGTACTATGTCTTCCTATGCATTCACATCAGGCTTGGATTAATCTCTTTTATTGTTTCCCCCCCTTGTTATTAGAATCGTAGAACAGTAGAGTTGGAAGGGATCCCGAGGGTCATCTAGTCCAACCCCCTGCAATGCAGGAATCTCAACTGAAGCATCAATGACAGATAGCCATCCAACCTCTGCTTAAAAACCTCCACCCCTTCCAAGGGAGTCCATTTCACTGTCAAACAGCTCCTACCACCAGAAAGTTATTCCTGATGCTTAGTCAGAGTGTCCTTTCTCGTAGCCTGATGCCATTGGTTTTAGGTCTTAGCCTCCAGAACAGGAGAAGACAAGCCTGCTCCCTCTTCCATGTGACAGCCCTTTAGATATCTGAAGGTGGCTGTCATTATCTGCTCTTATCCAGGCCAAACCTACCCAACTCCCTCAACTGTTCCTCATAAGGCTTGAAATCACCTTATATGGGCATTTAGTAGCTGGTGCACAGATACTTATATGAAAACCTACAGCAGGAATGGAGAACCTCTGGCACTCCAAGTTGTTGTTGGACTCCATCAGCCCTAGCCAGACAGGCCAGTGGTAGGAGGGATTATTGGAACTGTCGTTCAACAGTATCTGGGCCCCCCGACCTATAGCATAAAGACAGCAACATATCTTGTTCTGCTTATCTCACCTGCATCCAAAATGCACTTCCAGTAATGATCTTTGGCGAGACAAAGTACTTCCAAACACCGTATTGCCATTTCTTTCCTTTTCTGCTCTTTGCAATCCAGCATACCTGTTGAGAATCCCCATAGCAATTTGAAGACACTTTCTGGTTACCCCAAAGGATGTATCCAAGCTGAACCTTTTTGCAATAACTCCAGTTTGCAGAATTGTTTTTCGTTGGAGTTTATCCAGCCAATAAATAGCCAGGAAACACATTTTCAAAACTCTGACGCAGCTCTAGGTAGAATGGATCTGTTATGTACTGAGATGAATAGGATCCAAAATGCAGCTGTCTGATTGGCCCTAGAACAATAGGATTCAGAATGCAGCAGTCTGATTGCTCCTAGAACAATAGGATCCAAAATGCAGCAGTCTGATTGGTCCACAGGAGCCACCCAATCCAGCTCCAGGTGGAAGTGAATCCACAACCTGATTGGCCCACAGGAGAATCCCGGAATTAGCCAATCACGTGGGGCCCATTGTGTAAATAATGTATAAAAGGCAGACATTCTGGGGGAACTTCCATTCCTCCTCACCACTATGAGCTGAATAAAGAGCATGAAATCGACTCTCGACTCCGAGTAAATTTCAGAGGGGCAATTCGAGAATGAGGTATCAACAGTGAATTTTTTATTTAATTTTTTCATTTTGCCCTGAATGATGGTCAGGGATGCTGCGGGCAACACTGGCCTCTGTTCCTCTTTCGTTCCCTCCCTTCTCTGATGCCCTTTTGTGTTTCTGCCTCCCAAAGGCTTGCACGGCTGTTTATTGCAGCAGCCCTGGCTGCTCCCCAGGCAAATGGTGCCTCTGATAGGGACCTCTCTTTGGGGCAGGGGTGGGGCAGTTCAGAGACCAGGGGCTGCAGCTGCAGCTGCCTGGAGGACTCCCAAGGAGAGGGGAGAGGAGAGGAGGCTGAGGGAACACTCCACAAGGGAGGGTGTTCTAAAAAGGGTGAGAGGCTGGCAGCTCTGCAGGCAAGGGGTGATGTAACTGGGCTCCTGAGCCCCAAAGGGTTGCTGCAGAAGAAAATGTAGTCGGTTAAGGGAGCCAAGGTTGAAAACCTCTAGATTATACCATTTCAGGCTACAGTTGGCAGATTTTATTTCTTTTTAATATTCCCTTTCATTAAAATAAAGCTCCTTTTCTACTTGGAGCAAGCTTTAAAAACTTGGAGGCATTCAAAAGAGGTATCCCTCCTCACCATTACGCTGAAGCAGTACAGCTCATTCAAACAACATTTTAGTCTACCCAGGTCTTTAGGACGATGGCCAACATATTCAACAGCTAAAACTGTGTGCTTTTATTGTTATTTTGTTTTAGTTTTGGTAGTGTTGCGGTTTAGTCCTGCTGGCCACATAACCCGGAAAGCTGTCTGCGGATAAACGCCGGCTCCCTTGGCCTGAAAGCGAGATGAGCGCACCAACCCCATAGTCTCCTTTAACTGTACTGTATTTAACCGCCCAGGGGTTCTTTACCTTTACCGTCCAGGGGTCCTTTACCTTTACCTTTACCTCAAAAGGTGGAGTGGGTTAATAGAAAGCATTTAGTCTGCCGATATTTCCTTGTCAGCCTGCTGAGTCCTATGCTGCCACCATGTGGTAGTTCAAAGTCCCTTCTGGCAAATCTGTTATGGTGTGGGGGCTGCTATAGGACAAGTCTTTCCAGAGTTTCCTCCAGCTTCCTATCCTGCCTCTAGATAATAGAGCATCAGATGTGTTATCACTGGGCTATGGGGGCTGTTGCACCCTCCTGTTGCATCCAAGGGCCACCTTGTTGCATCCTCGTGAACTGAAACATCCCAGTGAGTCAGGGCCACCTAGAACCACTTTGCAGGGAGACGAACTGATGTGCTTACCAACAAGAGTTTTCCAAACCGGAAGATCAGGGTTGTGCAGCCCAACCAGATGCTTCAGAACCTCCGTGTGAAAGTTCAGCACCGCCAAATGAATGATATTATTTTCTTCGCTGTCCTTTTTCAGCCAGTTGGCTTTGAGAGAAAACAAATGCTGGATCGTATCTAATGCCCCAGATGTAGCTGCAAGCAAAAGTGGGGTGGAGCATTTTCTGTAGGAGAGAGGAGAAACATCACTGCGATGCAGATAAATACTCAGCGAAATAGGATGATGAAATGGATTTTATTTCATATACAGGACAAGCCTTGGTCATAGTTCACGGTTAGTCCAGAGAGAGCTAAACCCTTGGCCTGGAGGCATACAAGATGCTAAGCCAAACTATGATTGTGATTCCTTTCCCAAAGAAGAAGAAGAAGAAGAGTTTGGATTTGATATCCTGCTTTATCACTACCCGAAGGAGTCTCAAAGTGGCTAACAATCTCCTTTCCCTTCCTCCCCCACAACAAACACTCTGTGAGGTGAGTGAGGCTGAGACTTCAGAGAAGTGTGACTAGCCCAAGGTCACCCAGCAGCTGCATGGGGAGGAGCGGGGAATCGAATCCGGTTCACCAGATTACGAGTCCACCGCTTTTAACCACTACACCACACTGGCTCTCTGCACACCCATGTATTCATGCTAAGCTATGTGCAAGCCAGGGCATTGTTTCTGCAAGGTAGCTGCCAAGTGACAGTGGAATCCTGCACACATCTATTCAGAAGCAAGCCCTACTGAGTTCAATGAGATTCACTCCCAGAAAAGTAGATGAAGAATTGTGGCCAAAAACGAACAAATAAAAGTATACACATCTCCCTATGTTCTCTAATAAGGAAAGCCCTAACATGTTCATTAGGGCTTGGTGAGATATTGATATGTCATCCAAAACTGGTCTGAAGTCCATATCGTGATATCGGGTTCATCGTTTTTGACCTGGCAATATATTGCAAATCACGAAATGTGTTAGGGCTGGGCAATATATCACTCAAAACTGGTTTCAAGTCCGTATCGTGATACTGATTTCATAATTTTTGACCTGGCAACATATTGCGGATCTTGATGTGTGCATGTGCGATGGAAAAATCACAATGTGGGGAAAACTGTGAAGCCAGCCAATGCTTCAGCATAGCTCCATCCTTATTTCAGACATCATGATATATTGGTATATTGTGATGTTTAACTGGGGATATATCACAGTGTTGAAAACCAGATACTGGCCAGCCCTAATGTTCATTGGGATCTACTCACTGGAATATAGGATTTATTGTTATTTTATCCTTCCAGACAAATTGCATGTAACAGAAATGCAGTTGAGCTGAACCGGGCTGTGGTGGGATAGTTTCTTTGCCTGCCTATCTTGCTCTCTTTACCTTCCCACTTTGCAACGTTGATTGCTCTAAAAAGGACTCTTATCAAGGATTCCAGGCTTGAACCCGGAACATGAAGGTGAACGTTGGCCTAGACTGCATTCTTAGGCTATCTGAAGGTCCTCCAAGCTCCCAGTAGACTCTTCCAGGAGGATTTGATTGATATGGGACAGTACACCTTTAGATTTATTAGAAGTCGACATAGCAAACATTTCAAAACATGATCACACCCTAGAATAGCCTGTTCCCTTGCAGGCAAATGTAAGACCAGATAGTTATGTAGCCAGCTGATGGGCACATTATGAACCCTTGTCTCAAATTGATTGACCCAAGATTGGGCAATTTGGTGTTACATTATGCATAATCACTAAGCTTCGAACTCTGAAATTTGACAATATTTAGAGTTCCTTACTTGAATTCCAAAAGGAAACAAGGTGGCGTAAATTCCCATGCTGTTTTCTGCTTACTTACTCATTTCGTGTTTCAGACTCTAACGAAGCTGGGTGTTTTCGGTAGAGAATTGTGAAGCAGGTAACATTGTCATAGAAGGCAGCGTAATGTATAGGCAGCCACCCATGTTCATCAGGTATTTCGTAATCTGCTTTTAAGGCCAGGAGGAAATGGAGGGCTTCGACGGAGGAGCACTGAGCTGATAGGTGCAAAGCAGTGGGACCAAAACCTGACAGAGGGAACAAGACGCAATAGAATGAACTACACCGGGGTCAGCAACCTTTTTCAGCCGTGGGACGGTCCACCGTCTCTCAGACCATGTGGTGGGCCGGACTATATTTTGGAAAAAAAATATGAACGAATTCCTATGCCCCACAAATAAGCCAGAGATGCATTTTAAATAAAAGCACACATTCTACTCATGTAAAAACACCAGGCAGGCCCCACAAATAACCCAGAGATGCATTTTAAATCAAAGGACACATTCTACTCATGTAAAAACACGCTGATTCCTGGACCGTCTGCGGCTCGAATTTAGAAGGCAATCGGGCCGCATCCAGCCCCCGGGCCTTAGGTTGCCTACCCATGAACTACACAGACATGGTACACTTCAGCTGGCAAAATTTAAGGCAAAGCCCCCAATGATTTGAATAATTATTTGCTAGTTTTATACCAGTGCTGTTTCTACACCACTCCTTTATTGTTTTATGTGTACAGTTGTACCTTGGTGGCTGAATGCCTTGGAACTCATATGTTTCAGCTCCTGGATGATCGTAAACCAGAAGTGAGTGTTCCGGTTTTCAAATGATTTTCAGAAGCCAAACATCCAGCGCAGCTTCTGTGGCTTCTGGTTGGCTGCAGCAGCTTCCTCCAGCCAACCAGAAGCCGCACTTTGGTTTCCGAATGTTTTGGAAGTCGAACGGACTTCCAGAACGGATTCTGTTCGACTTCCAAGGTACGACTGTATATGTATGTATGTGTTGAATTTATAGCTCTTTTCTCCAAAAAGCTCAAGGTGATGTCTTTGCTTCTCCCCCCCTCATTTCAAAACCACGACAACCCTATAAGGTAGGTTAGTCTGAGAGGCAGGGGCTGGCCCAAGGTCACCCAGTAAACTTGAAACCTAGTCTCTCTAAGGTCCTAGTTTCACACTCTCACCTCCCCACCACACTGAATTTTCACAGAATCGATATTGTTTCTCTTTCCAGCACTAGAAAAATAGCATGTGAATTTATCAGATTTTTAAAAAAGCATCGAACATGCCATGCATTGTAGCATTAAAAATGGAAAACATAGCAAAATCTCTGCCCACCCCTGAATATGAACAGCATATAGCCCAGCCTTAGTGGAGAAAGAAAGAGAAATCAATGGCAACAAACTAAATAATTTTCATCAGCGTAGACTATAAAAAAATAATGCTGTGTTTTTTTTGCAACTCACCACTTTTCTCTCCTGCAATGTCCTTATCTTGGAAGCTCGTTGTTCCTGAAAGAAAGCATATTTATTTAATCACTCCAAGCATGACATCCCTACATGCCAGTGTGATATATAGACATAGGTTCTTATTTTAAGATTAATTATATCATAGGTTCCAAAGCTATTGGCTATGCAGAATTTCCAGTGACGAAATACTATCGACTTCAGTGCAATCAATCTTTTTAATTATTATTATTTTATATATGTGTGTGTGTGTGTGTGTGTGTGTGTGTGTGTGTGTGTGTTTACAATGTAATCTCTGCATTAAATTTACTCCTGGAACAAAATTACAAAACTGCAACATGCTTAATGGATTCCGAAGAGATTTTCTTCCGAATGGGCTTACCTGTGCACCCCTTAATGGCAAGAGCAAAGCTCCCACTAACTCAAATATTTCATTGAATGAACTGTTCTAGTTACACTATAGAGCATTATCTCTTAAGGTACAGAAGCTGCAAGCCTTTGCCCTTAAACTTATAGCCCCTAGTTTTCCTAAAGCTAGCACAACTTTATTTTGTATAGTTATATATATTACAAAAGTCAGAGGACAACAAATTATTTATCACTTACCCTTTGGATCAGATTTCTGGGGACGTTTCCCTAGAAAAAAATGTATTTATTATGATTTGGCTATTGCGTCTGTCTTTCTTTCTTTCTTTCTTTCTTTCTTTCTTTCTTTCTTTCTTTCTTTCGGTATACACTATCCTGCTTCTCACTCTAATGATAAAGGCCTCCTCCAAAACAGTTATTTCAGAGATGAAGAATCTGTGGTTCTCCTCTCCAGATGTTGATGGATTTCAGTCTGCAGGGCCAATGGTCAGATGATGGGAGCTGTTGTCCAGCACAGCAGCATATCGTGGGTTGCCAATGCCCAGGGTGGGTGGGCATGTATGCCAGGCGGGGGACAGAGACTGCTGCTCCAGCCCAGCGCCAAAGCAATCCCCCACTGGAGCCAAGTGGGACCACATTGCTCTGCCTGCTCGCCCACTCAGGTATCTGAACTGGAGTCTGTAACAGGTCAGATGAGGGCTAACAGTGATGTCTGGAACAATAAAGTATCTCACACACTTCAGAAAAGAAAATTGGAATCAAGAGGGATCTCCACAAAGGTGAACGAAGGCTTCCTCAAACTCAGCCCTCCAGATGTTTTTGGCCTACAACTCCCATGATCCCCAGCTAGCAGGACCAGTGGCCAGGGATGATGGGAATTGTAGTCTCAAAACATCTGGAGGGCCAAGTTTGAGGAAGCCTGATTTAGATATCTCTAGTTCTTGCACAGAGTCTTTTCTACAACCAAGAAAGGGGACAGGGGGGATGCTTTCCTTGTGGGAAGGACCCCTGGGAGTTGTGACTCTAATAATTTCTCAGCATATACTATTTCTTACCTTGGCTAACTGGGATGCTGCGCCTCTGGTTGATTGTCAGATATGATTTAATCAGCTGGCATATGATTGACACACGGTTGTAGATAGCAGCATAGTGGATAAGACCGTAGCCGTGATCGTCTGAAAGAGCAAGGCTGGAGAGGGATGTCTTGCGGCAGAAGGTGAGGAAGATAGCAGCCAACCCTCTTTCAGCAGCAGCCCTCATGCCAAATGGCAGGCTCTAAATGTCACACGCCCAAAAGGCACATAGAAAAACAACAAGAATAGGAATACAGTGATTTTTCACTCCAGCTACTTTGATTTGGGCTGTGCGTACCATGCCCTGAAAGAAAGAGAACAGTTAAAACTCTGTACCAAGATAAATTGACTCCTGAGGCCAGCCGACTGCGGAAAGACACAGGGTCTCTCTTATTCTGCATCACATTATATAATTTTGTACTTGTTCTGTATCACGCGTTCCATCCTGGCTTGTTAGATTGAATAGGCAAGGATGTATACAGACCACTGAAGTCTTGGCCCCAACCACTGGATGCCAGTTTCGGGACTCAAATTATAGGGGGAAATGTAGAGAGGCCCTTAATGGAATCTTCAAGATACCCGCCTCCCTCAACAAATTTTAGCCAAATTATTATCCTGCCAGTGGCATGCGGTCAGTGGACTAGGGGGACTAGGCTAGTCCCCTAAATGTTCCCAGTAAATTAGAGTATTAAAGTATTAATACTCTGGTGCCTGCTTCTCAAAGCCTGGGAAGCTTCTGCCCAGCTTAGGGTGGGAGACATGATGCTCTGACCGAGTTCAAGAGTCCTCCCATCATGGAGACAGCAGGGCTCCAACATCCTTCTCAAAGCCCAGGAAGCTTCTGCCCAGCTGTCAGGGACCGGGCAGATGAACGAAAGTGGTGGAGACCACCTCCCCAGGAGTCTTCCAGAGAGGATGAAGGGGCATTTAGTATAGACCTCCATGTTAGTATTTTTCATCCTCCCGTTGCTGTTGGATCCCGTGATCCACACTGTTTACATTCCATTCTTCTGGAAGTGTGAGAACGGAAACTCAGCACCGCATTTCCGTTCTCTGTGCTTTTGTTTTAGGCTCTTTGTTCTGTCTCCCGGACAGACAGGATGTTTGTGTGAGCTGCTCCTCGCGTTGTTGTTATTTTCTTTATTATGATTTGGTTTGATTTGATGTATAGCAATAAGATTAGCAATGCTACATACTTCCGCAGCCAAGCTTTCGTTTACTCTGCTGTTTGCATGCTCATATGAGCAGATATGAGTCGCTGAGATACAGGACTGCTGCCGAACTCTTCATGAGAGTCCTGTTATCGGAGGGAGAGGCCTCATACTCCAGAGGTGGTTTGGCAGAGGGCACGGTCCAGAGGAAGATGAGGGCAAAAGATGGGAGATAATGGGAGATGAGGAGGAAGACTTTGAAAGCAACAGGCAAAGCTTGGGCAGCAGTTGAATGAGACGCTGTCACTGGAGTGTCTCCCAGAAAACGTAGCTGCCCCCAAAACCAGACGTTCGCTGAGGATAGCAGAGAAGAAAGCTCAAAGACAAGCGGCCCTGACCAGCCAGAGGCAGGAAGAGTCTGATAAATAGGGAAGTAACGGAGAATGGGCTGTTTGGGCCATTTCCACTAAGGCTGCCACCTTTGTTCTGGCAAAATATTGGGCAGGGCAGGGTGGGGCAGAGAGAGGCATTGAAGCGATTTTCTTTTCCACCTGGTGCATAAATGAACTCAAAGCAATCCATTACAATCTGTGGCAGCCTAACAGGATGGCCCCTCTGGAATTTGTCACATGCACAGGGACAGGTATGCATGAATTTGTAAATCTGTCTGAGCTTTGCTACCTGTAGCTTAAATACATGACTTTTCACACATCCTTTCACAGAGATAGATTTGGAGAGGAGCCCTAACTTGGCAGAGAGAAAAGGGGGGGGGGGAAGGGGAGCGGAAATACAGGACAAACTGCATCCTGTATTGAATCAGCACAGGACATAGTATTTTACACTATCCTACGGGACGATCCTGTATTATACAGTGTTATGTATTCTGTGTTTGCCTGAGCTTGAGTCTGGACTAAGGATTTTGAGCTCCTGTGTTCTGATTTGATACATGATATCCAATCACAGAACATTTCAGGATTTGGGCCTCTACCATTGGCCCTTAAACTCTGAGTCATGATTCACAGCTTGGAAGTTTAGATAGCCAATCACGTTGGGAGTGGGAGTGGCCCAGGGCTTCAGAAATGTGTATAAGCAGTTGTTTGCCCCTGCTGTCCAGTTCTGTTAGTTCAATAAAGGTTCTTGCTGTTATCACTGTTTCTTGCCTCATGGGAACCTACGCTTCATTCAGGGTGGTTGGCAACCTTAAATTTTCCACCTGGCCTGAGAAGCAGGGCAGGCGGGTTGACTCCATCCACAAAAGCTGCTCTAACTGGAACGAAGCATGATTTTGAGCGACAGAGGGAGAGGAGCAAAACTGTTCTGAAAGCGCTGTTAAAGGAAGATGACCATAAATGTGGTGGACCTCACAGGGTCCAGTCCCTTAAAAAAACCAAAAGCCATACCTTGCATTTAATAGCCTTCTTATAGCCAAATCTTTTCTTGAATTGGTCCATTGCTTGAATATCCGTTAATGGAAGCCTTTTGGGTTTAAGTGTGCTTACTACTTCGTTTATGGCTCCCCACCATTGGCTCTTAAAAAGCAGATAAAATGGTTCAAGTTCGATCCCGATTACATAATAGCTGGAAAATGCAGGGGGTGGGGGGAACACACACACACAGTAGAAACTGGAATATTTTAACACATTATTTCATAGCCTATAGTTCACAATGCCTGTAAAGTGAGCCTGAGAATCTTCTGACCCACCAAAACAAAGACATCCCAGCCGCTTAATATGGTGGTGCACCAGGGGCTTATAAATATATATTTATTGCTGTCTCCGAGACTGCAAAATTGGGATCGTAGTTAAACACTGGGCAGGCCACAATACACAAAATCAGTTGCTGGGAGACACAAGTGCTGTTGCACTCATGTTCTGTTTACATGCTTCCCATGGGTATCTGGTTGGCCACTGTGAGAACAGGATACTGGACTAGGTGGACAACTTTGACCTGGTTCAGCAGGTTCTTATGTATAGGACTTTATTTTAAAAAATCAAGCAGTAGTAGCACCTGCATTTAGCTCAGTGGACCGCAGGTTGTGTACAGCTGTCTAAATTGGACCATGGCATACCATTATAATTCATTTTAATCCTTCCTTTCCTCTAAGTAGCTCAGGATGGCATACAGCAGCACACCCTCTTCAAAAATTATCCTTGCGACAACCCTGGTTGTTTGGGTAAGAGAGTGTGACTGGTCCAAGGTCCCCCAGCGAGCTTCATGGGTAAAGTGTAGTTTTAATCTGGGTCTCTCCACCATCCTAGGCCAACGCTCAACCCACTGCACCACACTATTTGTACAGTGGTACCTTGGTTCTCAAATGCCTTGGTACTCAAACAACTTGGAACCCAAACACTGCAAACCCAGAAGTAAGTGTTCCGGTTTGGGAACTTTTTTCGGAAGCCAAACGTGCTCCGTTTTGAGTGTTACGCTTCCGTTTTGAGTGTTATGCTGAGGTCTGTCTGTTTTTGCTGTTATTTTGCGTTTTTGGTATTGCGGCTCTTTTTGTTTTGTTTTTGTGACTGTGTGGAACCCAGTTCAGCTACTGAATGATTGATTGATTGTGTGACTGCAGTACATTGTTTCTTGCTTTTGTTTTATGGAACAATGATCTCATTAGATAGTAAAATTCACGTTAAATTGCTGTTTTAGGGGGTTATTTTTAAAATCTGGAATGGATTGATCCATTTTGCATTACTTTCTATGGGAAAGCGCACCTTGGTTTTGGAACGCTTTGGTTTTGGAACAGACTTCTGGAACAGATTAAGTTTGAGAATCAAGGTATCACTGTAGTATCCTTTTAACATTGCTCTAGTATCTGGGCAAAAGGGACGCGGGTGGTGCTGTGGTCTAAACCACAGAGCCTAGGGCTTGCCGATCAGAAGGTTGGAGGTTCAAATCCCCTCAACGGGTGAGCTCCCGTTGCTCGGTCCCTGCTCCTGCCAACCTAGCAGTTTGAAAGCACGTCAAAGTGCAAATAGATAAATAGGTACTGCTCCGGTGGGAAGGTAAACGGTGTTTCCGTGCACTGCTCTGGTTCGCCAGAAGCGGCTTAGTCACATAGCTGTCAACTTCTCCCCTTTTTTAAGGGAAATCCTATTTGGAATAAGGGACTTTCCCTTTAAAAAAGGGAAACGTTGACAGCTATGTTTAGTCATGCTGGCCACATGACCTGGAAGCTGTACGCTGGCTCCCTCAGCCAATAAAGCAAGATGAGTGCTGCAACCCCAGAGTCGATCCTAATGATCAGGGGTCCCTTTACCTTTACCTTTTAGTATCTGGGCACTGTAAAGATCACTGAAGTGTATGTTTCCATTAGCCTGAAAGAATGGAACCTAGGCATAAAAGATAGAGCAAAGGTGGTTCTGGGGGCTGGGGGGGGGGGGAAACACTTGATAGAGTAGAAGTGCACTGTAGGCAAAGTCGGCCCTCCAGATGTTTTGGGACTACAACTCCCATGATCCCTAGCTAACAGGACCCGTGGTCAGGGATGATGGGAATTGTAGTCTCAAAACATCTGGAGGGCCAAGTTTGCCTATGCCTAGTTTAGACTAAAGGGCTACAGGAAGCACAGAAAATATGATTGTGTCATGCTTTATGCCAGACTGGATTCCATCTACAAGATTTTCACTACGTGACTGGATTCCCTTTATTATAATGCACAGTGGGCAAAGAGCTATGGTCAAAATAATTTGTTTTTTAAAAGCAGCAAAACTCAATTCTGCATTCAGATTTAAAAATCTCGATGAATCAATAATAAACATCCGTACTCAATCGTCAGTATGTCTTTTAGGCAAACTTATTTCTAATCAATTCTTATTGCCTACTGTAACATCTGCTGCATGTACACAAGTGTTTGCTGGCACTTATGTATGAGCCACTTTTTGACTCTCAACCATTAACTAGTGTTACGTTCCCAAAAACTCAATCGAAAGCATCTCACGTTCTCTTTACCTCTTGCCTTGAAAATCCATTATTGGTATGGGGTAATGTTCTCTATAGGGTGCATCTGGGTCCAACAGTTGAGCGAGGTGATTTGCTGCACATGTATGCATTTCGTCATAGGCAGCCTACAATTAATGTTAAAAACAACAGACCCTATTTATGCTTGCAAAGCCTTTAAAACTTCCTGTATCAAGGCCAAGCACTGCTTTAAGTAGTTAAAGCATCTTGTCAATTTTCAGTAAAATCTGCAGGCTCAAAATCTGCTAAGAGCTGAAAAACCCAATGGGTAGAGAAAAACAAGTTCAAACCCTGTCTGGGCACATGGTGGAAACAGGTTTTTAGTTTCATAGAATCAAAGAATCAAAGTTATTTGACTTCCAACCCATAACATGTGAGGTTACAGTTCTACAACAGTCCTGTTCTTGCTGAATTTCATGCTGAATTTCTTCAAAGTAAATGCTCTTTAAAATAAAATAATACAGATAAAAATAAATGTATTCTCTTGTAAAATACATTTTCTTGAAACAAATCAGAACTGAAGGGTGGTATTAAACTAAATTTTGCTCAGACTCATTGGCATTCGTGAACACGACTAAGTTAGATCCATTAATTTCAATGGATCTGCTCTGAGTAAAAGGAAGTTGACTATCACTCCCTACAATTTACCTTTCATGGTGTCATTTAATAATTATGTATGCACTTTAAATATGTTTATACTGCCTTTGCTTGAGAATGACACCAGGGGAATTTACAATGCTGATATTAAAAGCAGTTAATTGCAATAAACAGTAACAATAATAAAAAAACTAGCAGACAAAATGGTAATCAGATCTAAAAGGTTTAAAATGCTTAGAGAGTCCCTTTAAATCTCTGAGAGGTTTTTGTTGTTGTTGTTGTTGTTTTGCTTAATGCCTGAAAGAATGTAAAGTTGCTACTAGGAGAGGATGTGCATGTTTTCCATCATGGGGCCACCACAACAAAAGGCCCTTCTTGCCATATGCCTAAATATAATAAGGAAGGTGCAGAGAAATGGGCCTCAGTGGATTACTTCAAAGTACAGGCTGTTTGATATAGGAGAAGCTGCTCCTTTCACCCATCCTAGGTAATAATAGTAATAATAATAATAATAATAATAATAATAATAATAATTTATTATTTATGCCCCTGGGTAAATAAATGTAACTCTAGATAGGCACTCTTCTTTTGTCCTATTTGAGTGTCCAGCTTTACCTGGCAGTAATTTCTACATGTACCGCTGCACACCACACTGGCCCCTCTGCATGCATTGAGGGAAGGCCCCCACAATAATCTTAATTTTATTGTTTATATGCTGCCTATCTGACTCTGGGCAGCTCCCAACAAAGTATTAAAAGCACAATAAAACATCAACCATTAAAAACCTTCCCTAAACAGAGCTGCCATCAGATATCTTCTAAAAGTTGTATAGTTATTTATCTCCTTGACATCTGATGGGAGGGCGTTTCACAGGGCGCGTGCCACTACCGAGAAGGCCCTCTGCCTGGTTCCCTGTAACTTCACTTCTCGCAGTGAGGGAACTGCCAGAATGCCCTCGGAGCTGGACCTCAAGTGTCTGGGCAGAATGATGGCGGTGGAGACGCTCCTTCAGGTATACCGTACTTTTCGCACCATAGGGCGCACCGGACCATAGGGCGCACCCAGTTTTTAGGGGGGGAAATCAAGAAAAAAAATATTTTCCCCCCCAGCCCCAAAGAGCAGCGTACAGTCTGTGCACAACCTCTCCATGCCGGAGGGGTTGCGCGCGGCTATGGCACGCCAAGGCAGCGAGCAGGATGGATCCCGCTAGCTGTTTTGGCTTCCCCTTTAGCCCCGTGCTGCCTCTCCTTGCCAGGAGTCGCTGCGCAGGGCTAAAGAAGCCATAGCCCCGTGCAGCCTCTCCTTGCCGGAGGGGTTGCGCGCAGCTATGGAGCAAGCCAAGGCAGGGGGCGGGATGGATCCCGCTCGCTGTTTTGGCTTCCCCTTTAGCCCCGTGCATCCTCTCCCTCCCGGGAGAGGCTGCGTGGGGCTAAAGAATCCATAGCCCCGTGCAGCCTCTCCTTGTTGGGAGACGCTGCGCAGGGCTTTCCTGGCTTTTCTGGGAGGTGGGATTCCTCACCTTCGCAAACCGGCAGAAGCGCGCACACTTTAAAGGGCTGCACGGCTTCGGCTTCCTGGGAGGTGGGGATCCTCACCTTCGCAAAAGCCCGCAGAAGCCGCACAACCCCTTTAAAGAGATCGCGGCTTCTCCTGGCTTTTCTGGGAGGTGGGAGAAGCAACTGATGCGGCCAGTCAGTCCCTTCTCCCTCCTGGGGAAAAGCCCGCAAGAGCGCACGGAGCTTGTGTGCGGCTCTTGGGGGCTTTTCCCGACTGCCTCCCCCCTGCATTCGCTCCATAGGACGCACACACATTTTCCCTTGCTTTTTAGGAGAGAAAAAGTGCGTCCTATGGTGCGAAAAATATGGTACAGTGGTGCCTCGCAAGACGAAATTAATCCGTTCCGCGAGTGTCTTCGTCTAGCGGTTTTTTCGTCTTGTGAAGCAACCCTATTAGCGGATTAGCGGATTAGCGCTATTAGCGGTTTAGCGGCTATTAAAGGCTTATCGGCTTATCGGCTTAGCTGCTAAAAGGCTATTAAAGGCTTATCGGCTTATCGGCTTAGCTGCTAAAAGGCTATTAAAGGCTTAGCGGCTTAGAAAAGGGGGGGGGAAGCGAAAAAAAATCTCAAGACTCACAAGACATTTTCATCTTGCGAAGCAAGCCCATAGGGAAATTCGTCCTGCGAAGCAAGTCAAAAACGGAAAACCCTTTCGTCTAGCGGGTTTTCCGTCTTGCGAGGCATTCGTCTTGCGGGGCACCACTGTACTTAGGGCTTTAAAAGGGAGCACTAGTACTTTCAAGCGGGCTCCAAAGTGAATTGGCAACTAGCCAAACCGTTTTGACATTTTTCTGAGGTACAATCTGAACAAGAAAGTACCAAGGGAAGCATCCAAACCAGCTTCAAAGGTGGCCCCAGATGGAACATTTTACAGAAATCTGAAAAAGAGCTTACCAGGGCATAGATGACTGGTTAGATGGCCTGTTTTCTGGAGAGGTTGTAGCTGCTGAACCAGACCCAGCTAGTGGTAGGACGAGTTTCTGTGGTAAGGAGACTTAAGGCGGTGTCCACGCTACATCTTTAAAGCACATTTGAAGCAGATTCTTTCCCTCAAAGAATTCTGAGCACTGTAGCTTTACCTGTCACAGATTTACATTTCCCAGCAAATCCTAACATTATCTACAGTGCCCAAAATTCTTTTGAGGGAGACTCTGCTTTGAATGAGCTTTAAAAGGTAAAGTGCGTATGCAGTCTTCATGAGCTTCCCATGACAAAGGAGACATCCCAAGCTGTAAAGCTGAACCTTCAGTGGGAGCAAATTATTATTTTCCAGAGCAGGTGGAATGTAATCCCCTGAAGCTGTAAATCCCCAATCCCTACAATCTCTCCTTATCGCAGGCTAAATTATTTCGAAAATGCCGATTTAGTACCTTAATCTCATCTGAAAGGTCTTCAACTGAAGGAGTACCAACATCATATTCAATGCCACCGTGGAGATGGAAATACTGATTCTGGGTGTATACAAAATGCTGGCACTTAAAATCTGGTCCAAGCAAAATTGGAGGCAGTTCACGTTCCGTTTTGACTTTGTCGTCTACAAAAAGGAAGAACTGGATTTTAACACAGAGGAGAAGGCAGCTGCCACTGCTCTCAGCGAATGACATGAATGAATGACATTACTAATAATATAAAATTATATGCCCAAACTTTAAGCAGCACTTTCAAAAATGCAGATTTCCCGTAGTTTCATCACATAATAAGGACTGGTTGGTGTCAAAAGAGTATGCTATGTAAGAGTTCCCTGGGAAGAGGAGTTGATTGTTAAACCACTCTGTATCTCCATGAGAGGAACGTGGGTCTCCTCACAAAACCCTTCACAAACTACAAATCTGATTATTCTTTGGGGGAAACCATGGCTATCTGAAGTGGTATAATATTGCTTTAAATGTATGGTGGAGATAGAGCCATAGTGTACTCTTTTGACATTAAGATTGACATTTTGGATTAAGAAGTAGTTCCAGTTCTAGTTCATGAGGAACAAATTCCATGGTGACTGGGTCCCTTTTATTTCCTTTATTAATTCTTGCCACAAGGAACCCCAATCAACAGTTATTCATTCATTTGGAGGGGGTCTGGTGCCTTAATTTTAGCAGACCCTCCAAGTGTCCCTATTTTCCAGGGACAGTCCCGGATTTAGAGAAAACTGTCCCAGTTTCTGATCTGATCCTGGAATGTCCTGCTTTTCCTTAGGATGCCCCTATTGTCATCAGAGAAATGTTTGAGGATTTGGAGTTATCCAGCCCCTGAGCCATCTGAAGGCAGCCCTGAATAGGGAAGTTTTTTTTAATGTCTTATGTTTTTATATATTTTTATATACGTTGAAAGCTGCCCAGAGTGACTGGAGCAAGGCAGTCAGATGGGTGGAGTATAATAATATTTCTACCCTGCCCATCTGGCTGGGTTTCCCCAGCCACTCTGGGCAGCTCCCAACTGAATATTAAAAACACAATACAGCATTAAACATTAAAAACTTCCCTAAACAGGGCTGCCTTTAGATGTCTTTTAAAAGTAAGATACTTGCTTATTTCCTTGACATCTAATGGGAGGGCGTTCCACAGGGCGGGCGCCACTACCGAGAAGGCCCTCTGCCTGGTTAATAAATAGTAGAATTATTATTATGGAAAAGGACGTCCCTGCTTTTATCAGAGAAATGTTGGAGGGTACGTTTCAGGTGCATTGCCTCTTGTATGCTTTTGTTAACACAAAATTTCATTTGTTTTAGTCCATTGCAGGGTATACAAGCACGTAATGTCGATTGCCTGGCTTTCTGTTTTTGTTTACTAAGCGTTCCTTGCATTTTTGCTTACTTTTCTTTATGCTACTGTTGTCTAATGTGGATTGTGTGTGATGTATCATTGCTGGTTGGACTGATTGTAAAGTTGTTTGTTTGTTTGTTTTAAAAAAGCAGTTCTAGTTCTCAATGAGCTGTTAAACCTGAATCAGGACTGTACCATTTTAGACAACTGATAAGGGGCTCATAAAGGGACGCGGGTGGCGCTGTGGGTTAAACCACAGAGCCTAGGACTTGCTGATCAGAAGGTCGGCGGTTCGAATCCCCATGACGGGGTGAGCTCCTGTTGCTCGGTCCCTGCTCCTGCCAACCTAGCAGTTTGAAAGCACGTCAAAGTGCAAGTAGATAAATAGTTACCGCTCCAACGGGAAGGTAAATGGCATTTCCATGCGCTGCTCTGGTTCGCCAGAAGCGGCTTAGTCATGCTGGCCACATGGCCTGGAAGCTGTACGCCGGCTCCCTCGGCCAATAAAGTGAGATGAGCTCCGCAACCCCAGAGTCGGTCACGACTGGACCTAATGGTCAGGGGTCCCTTTACCTTTACCTTTACCTAAGGGGCTCGTATGATTGTTCTTACAGATATGGCCTATAACTTGTTCATGGATTAAAAGCAATCTCTCAGCAAAAGGACAAAACATAGTCTTACCTGAATATGGCTGAAGAAGCCGACTTAAATTCGGGATTTTATTTTTCCTTTTTAAATTGATAATAAATGGAATAAGAAAACTCATTAGCTTTAGATATGCTATGTTTTTCCGGATCTCGACCTTTTTTTCTAGGTATTTCTTCACAAGTTTTTGTTGAAGAGCTAGCCTCTGCTGCAACCTCTGGTATCCATGCATACTGAGGCTGTCCTCAGTCATCCTTATCGCATTACAAAGGTTGTATGCTGCATCAAACTTGAACACATTTTCATACTGCTGAACCTCTGTGGTGGCAAAAGTCAACTTAAGAAATATGTAGTCTGCAAACTGCATAAAGAATGCTTTTTCCTCTGGACTGTTAGGGTCATAGGTTGGATCTTCATTCAGGTTTTCCTCATAGATTCCTTGGAAATCTGGTTCTTTTGAAATATCCATTAGACCTATATCATACATATGTACACAAAAAGATATATAAATATATGAAATAAAAACAGATCAGTTAAACTACAGATATTCCCTGTCCTACATGGATAAGGACCAGACAGTTAAGTCCAGTCAAAGGCGACTATGGGGTTGCGGCGCTCATCTCACTTTCAGGCCGAGGGAGCTGGCATTTGTCCACAGATGGCTTTCTGGGTTATGTGGCCAGCATGACTAAACTGCTTCTGGCACAACGGAACACTGTGATGGAAACCAGAGCGCACAGAAACACCGTTTAGCTTCCTGCCGCAGTGGTACCTATTTATCTACTTGCCCTGGTGTGCTTTCGAACTGCTAGGTTGGCAGGAGCTGGGACAGAGCAACGGGAGCTCACTCCATTGCGGGGATTTGAACCGCCAACCTTCTGATCGACAAGCCCAAGGGACTCAGTGGTTTAGACCACAGCGCCACCCGCATAACTTTTTACCTACATATATATATATATATATATATATATGCGCACAAGTGAAACAACTGTAATTAGTAATGTGAAAAAATCTAACACAGAAGTGGGTTTTTAAATCATACAGCATAACCTTGCATGTCAAGAAAACTCCTTACTCATCCTTACTTTAATTTTTGTCAGGGTTTTTTTTCAGCCGGAACTCACCAGAATTCAGTTCCGGCACCTCTCATGCGGGCACCATTGCCATTATAAGAGAACAAGGGAGGCATTCACGGGAAGTTCTGGAACCTCTCTTTCTAGAGAAATAGTGCTGATTTTCGTCAAGGAGAAATTTGGAAACTATTAAATTCCCATTTACGGTGGTACCTCGGGTTAAGTACTTAATTTGTTCCAGAGGTCCCTACTTTACCTGAAACTGTTCTTAACCTGAAGCACCACTTTAGCTAATGGGGCCTCCTGCTGCTGCCGCGCCGCCAGAGCACGATTTCTGTTCTCATCCTGAAGCAAAGTTCTTAATCTGAAGCACTATTTCTGGGTTAGCAGAGTCTGTAACCTGAAGCGTTTGTAACCTGAGGTACCACTGTACTTCTGTTTTAAATACAGGCACCCAAATTTAGCAAGCAGCATTCTAAGGCACCCTTTGGTGGGTGTTGCCAATGCAGATAAGAATCTGGATACTCCTCATCTGTGCCACAAGGCTTATAACCAGTATGAGTAGGTACAATTTCCTAGAATCATAAGCGGCTTAATACTTTGTCTGACTCCTTGTCTATCTAGCCCAGAATTGTCTACTCCAGGCTTCCTCAACCTCGGCCTTCCAGATGTTTTTGGCCTACAACTCCAATGATCCCTAGCTAGCAGGACCAGTGGTCAAGGATGATGGGAATTGTAGTCTCAAAACATCTGGAGGGCTGAGGTTGAGGAAGCCTGGTCTACTCTGGCTGGTCACTTCTTTGAAGGCTTGCAGGGGGAGGACCTTTCCCCTCATCTGCTGCCTGGAGATGGTGGGGATGGAACCCGGGATCTTCATACACTTTTGAGCTATGTTCACTCCCAGTTTGTAGAAAGCTGGTGTATGCATTTGTTTAAACAAACAAACAAACAAACAAACAAACAAACAAACAAATAAATGCATTAGCAACATGTTACTAATTGTCTATGATAGTTGGATTGAGTTTAGGGCCAGAATATCTCTCACATGTTGAAGATAGTTTAAGTGAAGAGTTCTCAATCCTAACTTTGCATGAATTTATGAGTATCCCTTTCGACTCCAGATTGTGGTGTCAATTCTTATGGAAAGAATTATTTCCATAAGAATTAAGAGAATATAACATAATATGATACTGTGCGTTAAACAACAAAATAAGTAATAGTACAAAGAGAGTATTCGAAGGTCATTCTCAATCTCTTTCTTTCTTTTTTTTCCTTTCCTTTTCTTTTTGTGTCATTCTTTTTGCTTTTTATCATGTAAAGTACATATGGATAAATGTTCCAAATGGTAAAATATGCGTTGCAATGTTGTGTAGCGTATTATAAGATTAAGGAGGGCAAATTGTAATATACGGTGGTCTGTTGTGGATGTTATTGATGTTTGTCAAATAAAGTTAATTTTTAAAAAAATATATTGTGGTGTCAGACTCCTCACGTTTGTGTAATTATGTGTACATAATGGGCGTGAGGCTTCCCCACAACTGCACAGAGTGATATGTGCAATTGTCTCATGATGCTGTGCATGCAGTTTTCGTTGTTCTTTCTACAGGCAAGTGTGTTCCAAGTATACGTAAAGTCTATACAGTCTGATGCAGTTCTCACAAATGTGTCAACATCAATAGCGTCGTGGTTCCCCCACTTCCATTCCTGTTACTAACTGGTTTCAAAAAAGAGGCTGACAAAGAGGTCATGTCAGATCTCTTGCCCTGAGGGGCATGGACAGAAAGGTACAGCCATGGTAATCTGCAACCCTCTAGCTCTCAGCAGTGGTCCTTTCCTCTGACAGTATTTACCACAGAGGCTTCTGCAGCAGCATCTTGCCCTGGGAAGAGCAGGGAAGAAGCACTTCTGAACAAACAGTTTTTCAAATACTAATGCTTATTTTTTTGTAATAAGCCCACATAAGGTGCTTTGTGATGTCTGTCTGAAAAGTGGCATATAAGTATCTTAAACAAACAATGAATTGGGTAGACAAACTTAGAGAGCAGATACCCTTTTGTTGAGGGACTGGGCCTTTGCATAACTAAAGAGATGGCCAAGCACAGGTGATGTGTTGCCAGAGAACAAAATAACTTGAGATCCTTCTGGAATGGGGAATGTCTTTCTCCTCTCCCACTGGAGGTGGTGTCTTCAAAGTTTCTCTGTGTGAAAGAGAATAGACCGGGAAGATAAAAAGTGGATCTGAAAGCAGCAGAGGAACCTGGGCTGATGTCTAGATTTGTTGCAGTGTAATTGTTGCGAACTGTCCTTCTTATGCTCAGCCTGTATATGTAAATAAAACCTTTTATCACAGAATCGCCATCAGCCACCAGATCCTTCGTTCCAAGGAAACCAAAGCCAAGGTACCGGACGAGCCCCTTGCAACCTGTTACTGCTTAGAGATTGGGATGCTCACAAGATCACTCTTACCTAGGGCTGCCATGCGTCCGGAAAATCCCAGACATTGCTGGGATTCAGCTGCCAAAAGTTGCGTCTAGGCGGAAATTTTAACAGCCGTTTAAAATGTCTGGGGAAACCCAGGTGTATGGCAACCCATTGTGTAAGCGGGATTTTTTTTGCTGAAATGTTAAACCCAAATTGCGAGGATTTGCAAAGGAAAAGCTCTTTGGGCAAAAACTTGAGGCAGCAACATTTTTGTCCGGGTTTTGGATTTTCACCTCCTGAAATATGGCAACCCTATCTTACCAGCTTGACAGAACTCTGCACAGGCAGTTCTTTCTGTTTGAGGGATGCCGTCTGCGTCAATATCCATGCTAGAACGCCACAGTTCAGAGAATCTGACGCGTTTTTCTTTGGGCATGTATGCCCCATGCCACAAGGCTTTCAGCATGTAATCCACGGCGATCAACATTTGTCCGATTCGCGTGTCAAAGTATGCTGGAGGGAGGGAGCAAGAAGTACTTTGGTCGTAATTAGCATCCAAACTGATGGATGGAATTTGGTTCAGACAGTAAATCCCAACAGACAACTCTCTGATGATCTGATGGATTTCTCTGCAGTCCAACTCTACGTCGGGCTCCACGGGGGTTAGAAAAATAGCCGTTGGGACATTTATGCTTTTCATTTGTCTCAGCAGCCCAGTGGGGAGGTCCAACGTTTGGCGCAAGTTATCTTTGGTTGCCAGCCAGCTACAAAACGAAGTGGTCAGTAGTTCCTGAAGCTCGCTTCGCTCGTACTTCTCAAAGAAGGCACTTGCGTTTCTCTGCGCAGCTAGGTGGGCTAAATAAGTTGCCTCATCCGCTTGCTCATTCCTAAGCACTTGCTTTTTTAGTGGTCTCAGCATCATATTGCCTCTTTTTCTGTTCTATTGTTTCCTAAATACTTAAAAAAAGGAGAGAGAATATGTAATTCACGTGAGTTAATCAAGTGGTTTATGGGTTGTTGGAACAGAAATATTGCTGTGAAGATAGGACTAAAACACAGAGCCTGAGTAGTATATTCCTTGACCTTTAACAAGGCACGTTTCCGAGCACAATTCAAAGTGTTGGTGTTGACCTTTAAAGCCCTAAACTGCCTCGGGCCTGTATACCTGAAGGAGTGTCTCCACCTCCATTGTCCAGCCCAGACACTGAGGTCCACCTCTGAGGGCCTTCTGGCGGTTCCCTCACTGTGAGATGTGAAGCTACAGGAAACCAGGCAGAGGGCCTTCTTGGTAGTGGCACCCACCCTGTGGAACATCCTCCCATCAGATGTCAAGGAGATAGATAACTATACAACTTTTAGAAGACATCTGAAGGCAGCCCTATTTAGGGAAGGTTTTTAATGGTTGACGTTTTATTGTGCTTACCCAAAGGCGCTAGGGGTGCGGGGCACCCGGGCGCCGGGCTCTCAGGGGCGCCAGGTCGTGAGTCCGGGGCCCGAGAGTTGAGTCTGGGGAAGACCCCGTCTGTCAGTCGGAGCGCCGCAAGGGGCTTTTCTGCTGCCGTGAGTTTGGGGGCGACCGAGGCTGCGGGACACTGAGGCCAGCTCCACCTTCCTGCACGCCTGGGACTGAGCAACCTGGGGGGGGGGGGTTCCCCGGGCAGATCTTTGCACCCCGGCGCCGCATATGCTTAAGGCAGCCCTGCTTTTAATACTTCGTTGGGAGCTGCCCAGAGTGGCTGGGGCAACCCAGCCAGATAGGCATCATATAAACAATAAAATTATGATTATTGGGGTGGACATGCCCTCAATGCATGCAGAGGGGTCAGTGTGGTGTGCAAAGGTACATGTAGAGATTACTGCCAGGTGAAGCTGGACACTCAAATAGGACTAGAGAAGAATGCCTCTCTAGAGGTGCATTTCTTTAGCTTTGGCCCAACCTTATTTCTGCGATTGTAAGGTTTTTTTAAAAAACAAACAAACCTGTTTTTAATATTTTAATTTTAATATTTAATATTGCTTTTTAATTGCTGTAATCTGCACTGGGGGCTTAGGGTGGATAGCAGGCAATAAGTAAATAAATAATAGAAGTTTGCAATAACTAAGCAATTTCTTATGGGACAAGAAAGTCCCCTTAGATATCCTGCCCTGACTAGGGTTGTCATATGTCTAGATAGCTGGGATTTGGCCGTCAGAAGCTGCGTTCGGGCGGAAATCACTGAAAATGTCCTGGGAAATCTGGAGGTAAGGCAACTGCCATGTTAGTATTGTAGATTTTGGCGAACTTTCTTAAAAATACCTCAAAAATGTCTCAACAACTTGGGGCAAAACTTTAAAAAGCTTGACAACTTTGACCCCCCCTCCAAAAAATACCTCAACAACTATGATAATCCTAGCCCTGACACCATTTTGAATTGGGCCCTTATGAAAGCTACCACAATGTTATTATTATTATTATCACCATTTCTATTTAAGCATGACCTGAAAAGTAAGGTAAAAGGAAAAGTCTACTTGGTTACTGTTGTACTGAAGATTGCCGTAGTTAAGAGAGAAAGTGCAATATTGCCGAAATCTCAGAAGGAAAAATAGAAGCATCACCAGAAAAATGCTTTTCCAAATCCAGGCGGTGCATTCAAAAGACAAGCATGTGCAGGTACCACAGCCAGCAACTGTGAGGCCTTGTCTCTTGACCCAGGTCTAGGGAGCACCCACTTTTGTTTCCCTCAGCTGTTGTGTAGTAGACAATGTGGGAAGAGAGGCTGCTGACTAGATGTGGTAGCCATGGAAACCAAAGAACAATGAGGGAAGTCAACAGTGAGGGAGCCTGTGGGATGGAGTCAGTAAAAAGACTATTTTTACTGGGCAATTTCCACCTTTTCTGTGGGGGCAGACAGCTCTTCAGTGGACCCAGACAACGTCGATTGTATTATGTGCTGTTTCTGAGTGTCCCTTCCACAGTTCAGTATGAAATAAGTATTCTGGGAACTTCACTGTGCTTGTCTGCCTGCATCCGATGGGATTTCTGACTCTGAAAGGCTGCCCCCTTCCCTATTTCACACCAAACAGCTCGCCTTTCCAAATAGAGAGGGATATTCGTGGCCACACTAGAACTTTCCATGGCCTAATCTAGGCAGCCTAGTCCAGGCATGGGCGAACTCGGCCCTCCAGATGTTTTGGGACTACAACTCCCATCATCCCTAGCTAACAGGACCAGTGGTCAGGGATGATGGGGCTGATAGGGCCGAGTTTGCCTATGCCTGGCCTAGTCAGTATTTATACTTCAAATTCTTAGTGGTTCTGTCAACAAACGCACAGCTGTTGTTAGCAAGCTGAAAAATGACTCCCAAGAAATTAAAATCAGAGGAGTCCCAAGCTTTCGGCAAGGAGCCATCCCACTCATGCTAGACAAAAAAGCAATCCTCATCCTCAAGGCATTTCTTCCTATTTCACCTGTGTTGCAATCCGTTCTACAAAACAGCTCCAGATCTGCCATTTAAAAATATTAAGAACTTCGGGTCAGCATGTTCCATGAGCAGTTTTACAACCATTCATTTTATTATGATCAACAAATCTCTTCAGATTACTTACAACCATTCCACCATTTAAAGAGAAACGTCTCTGCCATCGGGAGTAATCTTAATTTCATTTCAGGATCCCCTCTCCTCCAAAAGAGATTATTCCTGAGGTATGTTAACAGTAGCTTTTAATTCTTGAATTCAAGACTGCATTCATCTGCACAAAAAAGGTTGTGATGTTTCATGTTTTCCCCCAAGGCTCACACTGGACTCTGCTTTGTAGTGAATTTGGGTTAGCTAGTAGGTTACTTCTGCAATTAGTTACTACAGTGGAATTCTTAACTCTGCTTTCAGTTGCCTTTGTGCTGCTCTTTAAACATCAGTTGCATAATTTTCTTCCAGCTCAAGTGGGGAGTTTAGGGATAAGTGTGGGTCAAACAACCTGGAAAGAGATTTTGGCACCTGATCACTGTTGCAACAGTAATTTATTATCCACATTGAACAATACGATGACTGCAGCAAACCTTTGCTGATATATTCATTCTATTGAGGTTTTCTTGGCATCTGAACCAGTTTTGTCGTCATTTACATCAACATCTCTGCCAGCAACTGCACCATATCTTTATTTCAGGTGCAGCTGCAGTATGGATCTACCCAGTAAAAATGCACTCTGATCTCGGACCACCACACCATCCTTCCCCTCGCTTATGCAAAGGAAACTGGTGGGAGCAAGACAGCAAGCAGCTATGATGTCCTTGAGAAGAGGAAGAAGATGGAACTGTCCATCATCAGACTCTTCTCCTCTAGCGCCCCTGAGGGCAGCTGCCAAAATTTACGGGCAGTATACTTTAGCAAAGATGCTAAGCAATTTTGGTCCTATTGGAAAATTCAGCACACCTGCTCTATAGCCTTCTTCACACAGGTACATGCTGCTTCTACACTCACATAAGTATTTATGCCAGTGGTTTTCATAAGTAATTTTTATTTGATTTTACAAGTGTAAAATTATAACAATATCAAATACACACTATTGTCATATTTTTCAACTGCATCTTATTTCTTCATCTGTATTTTAAGTCTCTCCATGTTATCCAATGTATTTGTTACAAGCGTTGTTAAAATCCTAAAGTTTTCATTTGCTTACAGTGGTCTCTTACATTATAAATCTTTCCCATTATTTCTTAAAACTTTTGCCTTCTTGGTTCCTGAGTGTTCCCGTCAGTTTTGCCATTTCGGCATAGTCCAACAGCTTAGTTTACCATTCTTATCTGTTAGGGACTTTCATCTTCTTTCCACCTCTGGGCTCGTAGCATCTGTGTGGCTGCCCTGTGTGGATGCCCTCTTGCATCTCTGCCTCCCAAAGGCTTGCACAGCTGTTTGTTGCAGCAGCCCTGGCTACAAGCTCCCTAGGCAAATGGTGACTTTGGGAGGCACCTCTTTGGAGAAGGGGCAGCTCAGAGACCAGGGACAGCAGCAGCAACTGCCTGGAGGACTCCTAAGGAGAAGGGAGAGGAGGCTGAGGGAACACTGCACAAGGGTGGAGTGAAAAAGGGTGTTTGAAAAAGGGTGAGAGGCTGCCAGCTGGTCAAGGGAGCTGTGGACTCAAAAAGGTTAAAAACCTCTGCTCTATGTGAAAGACATATTCTGCAGGAACAAAAAATGTGCACTGGGAATAACTGTACAAGTGTACAGAGCCAGCATTGACCAATGGCTCCTTATGGAGAGATACTTGGGAGCTAATACACTGGCATTGTATAACACTTTTTTTACAAGCGTACGGCTTAAACTGTTTGCACACAGAGCAGCTCTATAACCTTTCAACTACTTGCTGGTTCCCTTTGTGGAATCTACTCATGTGTCTACTTCAATGCCCTTGGCTAAGATGTATGACTACATTAACAAATATACAGAGTCCGAGACTTTTAAAAAAACCTTTATTTTCTTTCATTTTTCACGAATCATCTTTCAGAACAAACCAGGGACCATCTAGCTAGCTAGCCATGACAACGTTCCACTGAAGCCAACAGAACGTCGTGGGTTGTGAGACTTCATACTTTGTTCTCAGCGGGATCTCTAGCACTGATCCTGCACACATTAACTCAAAAGTAAGTCCCAGTGCTGATCCCACTGGGGCTGACTCCCAATTAAGCACACTGGCTGTATCTGGCATTTCCTGGATTGTAACTACCGTGTGATTGAGTTCGTAACAGGCTTCCCAGAATCCTGTACACAGCTACTCGACTGGAAGTGACTGGAGTCTTGTGCATTTGTCAGATGCCTTTTCGCTGCTGTTTTCCATTTTTGCAATCCTGGAACCAAACTGCATGGCTCTCTTTGGCAGGACCGACGAGGCTGTCAAGCCAAGCTCAGCCGCTGCCAGGCGGAGAAGCAATTTCTCCCCGATGCCTCGACGTAGAGTCAAGTTTGCTTTCTCCCAGATGGGAAGAGAATTGAGAAAAGATACTACTTCTTCGTCAAGAAATGGAAACCTAAAACGAAAAAAGAACGCCAAGCAAAATTTATTTTTCAAGAGAATTCAAAAATAAATTGCGAAGAATATTTTTGGAAAAATCCTTGAATCTACTGATTTGGCAGTTACAATCAGAGCTAATTAGTAGTTTCCTATAAGTATCCAAATGTGTGAATTATTCATAAAGGTAAAGGACCCCTGACAGTTAAGTCCAGTCGTGGATGACTCTGGGGTTGTGGCGCTCATCTCGCTTTACAGGCCGAGGGAGCTGTAAAGACAGACAGTTTTTCCGGGTCATGTGGCCAGCATGACTAAGCAGAGCACGGAAATGCCGTTTACCTTCCCGCCAGAGCGGTACCTATTTATCTACTTGCACTTTTTGGCATGCTTTTGAACTGCTAGGTTGGCAGGATCTGGGACCGAGCAACGGAACTCACCCCGTTGCGGGGATTCAAACCGCCGACCTTCTGATCGGCAAGCCCAAGAGGCTCAGTGGTTTAGACTTCAGCGCCACCCGCGTATTCATACATACACCTATTAAAAAAACCAAGCAGCTCAGAGCTAGACAAGCATACTGTGGGAAACTGTGGAGAGACACATCCTTCTGAGATGCGTAAACTGAAGGTCAATCCAGATAAGACAGAGGCACTGTGAGTGGGCAGTTCCTTAGACTGGATGGATGGGAGGTTGCCTGCTCTTGATGAGGATACACACCATCTGAAGGAGCAGGTACACAGTCTGGGGGGGGGGGTACGTCTGTATTCTGTTGCTTGAGGCTCAGGTGGCCTCAATGACATACAGCCCCTTCCATCAGCTTTGGCTGGTGGCCCAGCTGTGCCCTTATCTGGACAGGGATAGCCTAACTTCTGTCACCCATGCTCTGGTAAACTCTAGGATAGATTACTGCAACACAATATACGTGGTGCTGCCTCTGAAGATGGATCGGAAACTAGTGCAGAATTCTGCAGCCAGGTTGCTCAACAGGGCAAGATGGCTACACCGATCCTGGTCTGAACAGGCTGCCAATAAGTTTCTGGGTTCAATTAAGAGTGCTGGTTTTGACCTATAAAGCCTTAAACGGCTCAGGACCATGATACCTCTCCCCATATGAACCAGTCTTGAACCCTGCAATCTTCGTGTGCCTCCTTCACAACAGGTCTGGAAGACGGCAACATGAGGACAGGCTTTTTCTGTGGTGGCTCCCTGTCTGTGGAATGCTCTCCCGAAGGAGGTTCAGCCAGTGCCCTCATTGCATATACAGTGGTACCTCTGGTTACATACTTAATTCGTTCCGGAGGTCTGTTCTTAACCTGAGACACTACTTTAGCTAATGGGGCCTCCCACTGCTGCCATGCTGGCGCTACACGATTTCTGTTCTCATCCTGAAGCAAAGTTCTTAACCTGAGGTACTATTTCTGGGTTAGCGGAGTGTGTAACCTGAAGCGTATGTAACCTGAAGCGTATGTAACCCGAGGTACCACTATACAGTGGATGCTCGGGTTGCAAACGTGATCCGTGCGGGATGCACGTTCGCAACCCACAGCGGCGCGTCTGCGCGGGTTGCAATTCAGTGCTTCTGTGCATGCATGACCGCCAGAACCCGGGTCATGTGGCCAGCAGGACTAAACCACTTCTGGCGCAACGGGACACTGTGACAGAAATCAGAGTGCACAGAAACGGCGTTTACCTTCCTGCCGCAGCTGTACCCATTTATCTACTTGCACTGGTCTGCTTTCGAGTTGCTAGGTTGGCAGGAGCTGGGACAGGGCAACGAGAGCTCACTCCATCACGGGGATTCGAACCGCCAACCTTCCGATTGGCAAGCCAAGCCCAAGAGGCTCAGTGGTTTAGATCACACCGCCACAAGTTACTGCATGTATTTAGGTGCCAAGCAAAAACATTCCTCTTCTCCCAGACCTTTGGCTAATGAAACAATCTATGGCCTTTTAAACCGGTGGGGATGGGGAATTGATTTCATTTGTTATTATGGTATGTATTTTTTGTCTTTTTATATTGAAAACCGCCTTGTGATCCTCAGATGAAGGGCAGTATAGAAATTTAATAAATCAACATCATCACCATCACTTCAACTTGCTGCACCTGAATGAAGTAATGATGCTAACAAAATATCCTCAGTTATGATGATTTAAAAAGAAATAGCCCAGTAACTTCCCCTTCCAAACAGCTTACCTAGCTTCTTTGCCATGATCCCCAATAACTCTATCATCTCGGCCAAGGTTCCTAGATGAAATTCGCCCCAGTTCCATTTCCAGTTCTTCATTCAATCCCTCCAAACCATGTTTTTCAAAGCAAGCCCGGTGCCTAGAATAGCCGGCAAGCTGCTCATCTGCTCCAATTCCAGTAAGTACAATCTGCAACAGAGCACAACTTGCAGTCTTAGCATTTATTTACTTAACCCGCTGTACCCTAAAACACTTTTACTCCGCAAGATTTTGCATTTACTTTGGTAAATCTAATTATAGCTACATCCAAATTAAACTCTATTTAGATTTAAATAAACAGTTTTATAAGGTTCAGTTCTGTTCCAATGAACAACTGGCAATCTATTTAGACAGGAGAAGAACAGCATTTTATTCAGCTGGAAATATGCAGATGACTATTACAACTGTGCCAGATTTCCATCCCATTTAAATCATAGAGCCATCATCGTTACCAAAAGAATACAGTAAGCGGTGTTCAAAACTCCCATTGCTCTAGATGCACTTCACAACTGGGAATTTCATTAGTGCAAGCAGATTCTGAGCTCTGGGCACAGTACTGCGCCTAAGATTTCAGATTAAAACTGCAGTGGAAGGAAAGGAGGACCTTTTTCTGCCTCCCCACTTCCAGCCACTTTCTGAAGAAGAGACCCTCTTAAGAATATTAGTGGGGTGGGCAGGAGAAGGACTCAACCATATGAAAAATGAACATATTTTAACTGCAGTTCATTCATTTTCAGCTTGTATTCTTGTTATAAAAAAGCATGCCTGGACATTCCGTTGTTGTACCCATAACTTAGGTTTAAGGTGCCATTTAGCTCCTAACTTTCGTATCTCAGTTTCTATCAGTGACAGTAAGCCCGTAACTTACTTACACGCATCTAACTTGTCCACATTCAATTTTACATGTGTGGCAAAAGAGCTAATAAAATAAAAAGGAGCTGCAAAGTTATGCCTGCAGTATAAGCAGGGCTCACTCCCTTGTAGGCTTAGGATTGCAATACCAACTATGGAGTAAAAACAGATGTGTGTGAGAAAGTCGTTAGTCATAAATTGATAGCTAGCTTTATACCTTCGCAACGCTTTTATATGGCCTTATATCTCCCTGACTGGTAATCAGGCCTTCTCCTCTGGAAGCAAACCACACAGCACAACCGATACTATCATCCAGAACAGTGCCCAAGGGATAAACTAAATGACTTATGTGTTGTTGTCTCATTGCTTTTAACTCCTCAAGCGTAACGTTGATTTCCACGAAATTCCACGATCGGGAAGGACTGACGGTTTTCAGTTCTTCCAGCCCTGCCTTGCCGGTAATTCTGTCAGGCACATTAAAAGATGACGAAGAGCCACATTTCACAATGCCGGTGTCATCGAAGCATCCCTGACTAGGGGGCGACGGTTTCTGTTCCTTGCTCTTTTTCTTGGTGGAACTGCTTTGCCTTCCTTTGTCTGTTACCTTGAAGGCCACATTGAGAAGATCAATGGGTTCTTCTGAAGGAACATGCCTGTCAGCAAGGGCTGCTATGAGAATGGAATCAATGCCCCCAGAAAAAAGCACCGCAACATGGGGTTTTCTCGGAGCTGCTCCTGACATTTCGGCCTCTCTAGCCAGACATAAAACTCGTCTCTCGACTGCTCTACTCAAGACGTCAATAAACTGGTGAACAAGTTCCTTCTTATGGTGCTTTGCAAGAAACATCTGCAGAACTTCCACATCTGCTACATTGTTGGTAAAATCAAATAACCGGGACTCCTCCTGTGTGTTAAGGGTCTCCTTATTTAACGGAATGACAGGCGCTACCAACGTGTGTGAGTCATTCACCACAAGAGACACGTAACTTGGGGAATATTTAGAAGCCATATTTAAGTCACCAAGGACTGCTTTCTCGGTAGCATTCTGTCTGGAAGGGTATTTCCAAGGATACAGCGTTAAAGTCACCGCTTCGGATGCAGCGCAGGCCTTGAGATCCAATCTGAAGATTCCCGATGCTGGAACTTCCTGCCACAGATTACCAGAGACGGCACTTACGGAAGAAAGAACGAAAACTTTGTCTGCCTCTTTATTGAACTGCCACAGCAGACTGCGGCGGCCAAAGAAGTCTCTGCCGAACCACAAGCAATGCTCCGACGCCTGATAAAAAACAAAAGACCATGGACCCTGAATGGAAGAGAACACTGACAAAACGTCCGATTCACGGCGGCACGTGCAAAGTTGCCGAAAAATAATTTGAGTATCGTTCTCTTCAGCTGTTACAGGAACACCGCTGAAGATTTCTCCATTCCAAAGAAACACATTGCCACTTGTAGGATCTTCCACAGGCTGTGGAGTCAACTGTCCCCTTAAGTGAAGCACGTGGCCAGAAAATAAGCAGTGGTATGGAAGCTGGGGTACAGTCTTAATCAGTTGTTGACTACTATTGGGCCCTCTTCTCCTAAGATTACATAAAATATCCTCTTTCAAGAAACAGCCGTCAGGGGGATGTACAGACAAGCTGACCACACAGCAAATTCCACACATTGTAAACGTGTGTTTGAAGCCTTAGCTTATTTCTTGATTTTGACTTTCTCCGAATTCTCCATTTCCTGATGTGCCTTCTTCAGTTCATCTAATGTGTCTGTAAAAAAGAGAGGAAAACCTGTATTTAGCACATCAGTTAAAAACTGCAAAATAAAAGCGTTATAAAGTATTCTAAACAGTCCATAACTGCATGCTCTAGAAGTCCAATTATTGCCAAATTTAAAACGAACACTTTAAACTGCGTCCACGATCCAGAAATCTGCAATAACAAGTAGGGGAACAACTCCTCCAATCAAATGGACTGGGAAGGAGCAGGAAATGGGGGGGGGGGGTGCCAATATGTAATCTATGTCCCAGCTAACAGCAGGGAAGGTAACACAATAGTCGCAACAGAAGACTCATTCTGCTAGTATTCTCATGGGCATCTACACCAGAACCTGAAAATTGAGAGCTGTGGGTTACAGAACTCTTTTGAACACATGGTGAAGGTATGAATAAAAAAAAGAGGATAGGAAAACAGGAACTTGTATCACATAGCATATTTTTTTCCACCAGATATAGCTGTTTAATTTCACTTCTGTAAAATTTAGCAACAGTAGTATCTGAGCCTGCTATATTCCAAATACCGATATTTCTGTATTACAGTAATGAACTCCTTTCAGATGATTTATGATCACACCCCCATGCTAAAAACTGATATGAAGACAATAGCTTCTTTTATATGAGAACTTACATTTTATAACAAAACCCATCCATTAATTCACCCTGTATATTTTGTTGAGCTAAGCTAGCTTCTTAAGTCTACCTTTTAAACATCATTCTAATTGATTTTACCTTAATCTCAGCCACGTATGGAGAATATTTCAATCTTCTTTCCATCTTAATATCAGAAACCCTGTAAATATACAACTTTGATCCTCAGTAAACCTGAGCTTCCTCATCTATCGATCGATTGATCTATCCTTGGCTATTTTCAGACTAGTGATATGCCTCCCACCATCACACGACACACTTTATATGGGTCCAAGGACCAAAAATTCCTAACTGGTTCATGAAACACAGGCCCCATAGCACTAATCATCATAAAGATTTTCTGGATGGTTGCCTACATTCTAATGATGGTGATGATTACTTATATTAAGGACATAATTGGGCATATATAAAGGAACGCTATCTGTACAAGTGTAATACCATGTAAAATCCGTACTATGTAACATCACGCAGCTTCTCTACATCCAATCACAAATAAAAAATTAAGAGAGCCAAGGAACATACTTTTGCATTCGGATAGTGTTTGGGTTCTGTCTGCTAGAAAAAATATGTTGCTGTTGGGCTGCTGCCTGTAAACTTTCTGCAAAACAAGAAGAAAACAAGTAGGTTTAACTACACTGGGGGAAAAATAAGTGTTCTTATTTCTGAGGTTTTTGTTACTGTTTTTGAATTTTGGTCTTAATTTACAATTTATTTATTTTTTTAAAAAAATTCAGAAATCACATTATTTCTCTACCATTTTTCAGGGAGGGGGTATCTTACTAGATTAGAGAAGTCTATAAGCAGGTTTATCTTAATTTTTTTTACAAAGCTTTGACACAAGAGTAGCGTGTCATGGTTTTCATTGATTAGGATCCCACTCATTCAGCGGGCACAAAGGATGCATGTGTGATTAAATTTCCTGTTTCGACATTTCTAGGGACCCATGAAGTAGTTGCTGCTTTGCATGTACCTAATACATTGCAGATATCTTTCAGAACAAAAGTGGAAGGTACGAAAGCTATCACAACTCAGTTTACTCTGTGCACTGCTGCAGTTATGTGCAAATCTGGACGCCACATTTTCAAAGCTCCCTAGGTTTCCTCCTATATAGTTAGTTATAATTTATCAAAAGGAATTACCCGGTTCTTCTTCAAGTTGGAAACTTCATCAACTACAACTTTTTGCTCTTTAATCTGCAACAAAAGGGAAAAGAAACTGAGAAAATGCAAATGTTCTGCTACTAAATTCAATACCACCAATACACTTGACCATTACAGGAGCACAACATGTGGATGGCCTTGAAGGCACACTTTTGAGTTTCTTTACAGCATTAATGGGAAGAAGCAACGTGGGTGCACCTTCTGCAAATATACAGTAACAGAAATAGTTGTGGAATTCTGCTTTATTAATGTGTGTTTCTGTGTTGAAGGCAGCAGCTATGCCTTTAGAATTACCAACTCCATTAATTAGACTCTCATGATTTCCAAGACATAGTTGTTGCATCAACAAGATGGTACAAGTGCATGTTTCCTCAGAAGTAAATCCCACTGTGTACAATAGAGCTTTCCTTCTAATAAATGTGTTTAGGGATTCAGTTGTAAGATAACGAACTGTTGACATCACAATGTTAAAATGTCACAGCAAGTTATTTTATCTCTCGCTTGACAGCAGAGCTTAACGCTTGCTCAAGATTCTTCCACCAGAAACAATGCAAACACAGCAACAATTTAGGGTGCCTCTGTGTGGCAGTTTCCCATGGACTTGGTGCTGCTCAAGAACAGCATGAGAAACTGAGATATAAAAGCTAGGAGCTAAATGGCACCTTAAACCTAGGTTATGGGCACAACAACGGAATGTCTAGGTGCGCTTACAAACCTGAAAATGAATGAACTGCGGTTAAAATATTAAGTTCATTTTTCACATGGTCTAGTCCTTCTCCTGCCCACCCCCCTAATATTCTTAAGATGGTCTCTTCTCCAGTCGACAGACAGTAGCTGGAAGTGAGGAGGCAGAAAAAGGTCCTCCTTTTCTTCCACTGTGCAGTTTTAATCTGAAATCTTAGACGCAGTACTGTACCCAGAGCTCAGAAACGCTAATGAACTTCCCTGTCGCAAAATGCGCCCAGAACAATGGGAGTTTTGAACACTGCTCACGCATACAAGTTTTATTTTGTAAAAAGAACTGTTATTGTTTTCCACTAACAATATAACATCAACCAAGTGTAGAGAAACAGCAGAGCACAAATATTGCACCAATATACTATATCAAGCCATACTCATACAAGCGGAGGTAGCTGACCGTTGCAGCTGCCCACCTCACCATGGAAAATTGCCACGATATATTTATAAAGAACATGGTTGTTACAGAAGGCATGAAATGAAGGTGCATGCAAGTTTTACGCAACAACCACACAACGCTGTCTTCATGAAAACGCTGCCACTCCTTATTTCCCCATTTAATCTGAGTTTACCATTTGCACAGAAATCCCAGCAAGTCTCAAAACAGCAGCAAAAAACAAAACAAAACAACAACAGCAATGGAAATGCTAAATCCTGATTAAATGGGGAAAACCGCAGCTTGGCCTTTAGGTGAGGACAATATCAGGTGGATGCTGCAAATAAATAAATAAAAACCAAAAAAAACCAACCCAAACCCCACTTGCATGCATGAACAGCACCGATTCCATAATAAACCAAAGTGTTGGATGACCATCTCCCTCTGTTAAGGTTATGCCTTTCCCATTCACCTTTCTGTTGAGCTCCTCTTTGTCATACAGCTTCATCTCCTCTGCCTTTTGTGGTATTTGGCTCGACATCTGCTGCAAGTCCGTGCTATTCCAAGGCCACCTGTACTTCTTTTTCGGTGCGATGAGCAGCTGCTTTTTCGGCGGATGAAAATCGCGCCTCAAAACCAGCCAGGATCACGAGATCTGAAGGGAAAGGAGGGGAAAAAGCTTCAGGATCAAGCCAGAGGCCCATGTAGTCTAGCATCCTGTTCTCACAGTGGCCAAACAGATTCCTGTAGGAAGCACACAAGCAAGACCTGAGCAGCGCAGCGCTCTCCACACCTGTGAATCACAGCAACTGGTACTCAAGAGTCACAATGTTTCCCACAGTGGGATGGGGAGATGGGTTACCAAAAGGGGCATCTGAACTGCAGTGACCTCGCTGCTGCCTCAGCCCCACTTCTTCCCCTCCTGCCTCCTTAAGGGGTGTCGGGGAGGCCAAGCAAGCAGTATCGCTCAACTTCTGAGGGGAAGAAAAGCCAGCGCGAGTTTGCCAAGTAACGCAAGATAAATTTAAACTAGAAGGACGGGACGTAAGAGGCACTCATGCCATGAGATCAGGGTTTCCACAACATGGGCCTCCGGCTGTTTTTGAACTACAATTCCCATCATCCCTGATCACTGATCCTGCTATCTAGGGATGATGGGAGTTATAGTCCAAAAGACAGCTAGGGGCCCACGTTTGGGGAACTCTGCACTAGATTAACAGAGGCAGATTTAGGGGAGCGTGAATGGTTCACCCACATTGGGTGCCAACCCGGGGGGGGGGGCACTGCAACAATAATGTAGAAGAGAAAGTGAGGGCAGGGGGCACCAAATTTTGGCATCGCACAGGGTGCTGCTGAAATTTGAAAGTCCAAAGTCCGTTGATGATATTAAGCAAGAGGACTTTTGTTTATGGTGGAAATGGGTTAAGGCTCCCTTTCTTACATTCAAAAAGAGACACACACACCCCGCCCAGTCCATTTATACAAGCTGGATCTGTGGAAAACGACACCGATTTTGCACATGGTGCAAAGTAAGGAAATGCAGCTCTCTGAATAATAGGGATTTTATGATTTATATGCTGCCCATCTGACTGAGTTGCCCCAGCCACTCTGGGTGGCTCCCAACAAAATATTAAAAACACAATAAAACATCCACCATTGAAAACCCTCCTGAACAGGGCTGCCTTCAGATGTCGTCTAAAAGTTGTATAGTTATTTATTTCCTTGACATCTGATGGGAGGGTGTTCCACAGGATGGGTGCCACTAGCAAAGAGGCCCTTCCACCTGATTCCCTGTAGCGTTACTTCTCGTAGTGAGGGGACCGCCAGAAGGCTCTTGGAGGTGGACCTCAGTGTCCAAGCTGCATGATGGGGATGGAGACAGTCCTTCAGGCTGAATATCCATTTTCCACCTCCCCTCCCAGGCTAAAACTCCGGATCGCTTCCAGACTCCATCACAGGGCCGGCCCTCCCATGAGGCACACTGAAGCGGCTGCCTCAGGAGGCAGAACTGGGGCAACCCACTGGAAACCCCGCATGCCTTTGGCAGATGAGTGGAGCGTTGGAGGCAGGAGCCATCACAATATCAAATGATTCTGATGTCTATGGCTGCAAACCTATTGCGCCCAGTTAACTAGGGAACAAGTCCCACTTGAACTCAGAATCTGATCCAACGAGCTCAGGGTTGCCTGAGACCTCCCTAGGGTTTCCCCACGGGCACCTTACATTTCACACGTGCAGCGTACCCGGCGCTTCGCTTCTTCCGCCATCCAACGACCCTCTCCGCCCACAGTGACGCGCTTCTTTCCTTGGGCTCGGAAGCAGGGTGGGTCCATCGCGGTGGTTCTTCCGATTGGGTCGGAGGGATGACGGGCGTGTTGGAGAACCTATGAAGACGGCTTAAATCGGCTCAAGGGGGGGGGAGGGAGGGAGAAAATATGCAAACGGAAGGAAGGACTGCAAAGGGTCGTTGCGCTTTTACGCACGGAACGCAGTTAGGAAGTGGCAGGCTGGTTCGGGAGGGGACCAGTTTATAAGACTTTTAGATGGATGATTGCCGGGAATCCTGGCCTGCAATGTGGCCGGTTTGCAGGCTGCCGTTTACACTGGGTTGCTTTTCCTTCTGGAACAAACCCCGGCACGTTTTTGCATGCAAATCGGTGGCTAAGGCTGCAGCACTCCAGATTTCGCTTTAGATTAGATGATTGCAAGGAATCCCGGCCTGCAATGTGGCCGGCTTGCAGGCTGCCGTTTGCATTGGGTTGCTTTTCCTATTGGAACAAACCCCGGCGCGTTTTTGCATGCAAATCGGTGGCTAACGCTGCTTCGCTCCAGATTTCGCTTTTTTAAACGGATTCGTTTGTTGCTCTAGCCTCGGTGTGCTTTCGTGCGAGGGGCTCTTTTGGGTGGGTAGGGGCTGCAAATCCCAAACAGCCGCTGTGGAATCGTAGAGTTGGAAGAGGCTTAATCTGACCACCCCGAGGCTTGAGCAACGCAACGCGTTGTGGCGGGTGGGGTGTTTTGTTAGCCAGCATAATTCAAAGATAAAGTTCGAACAATATTTTGAACCTCCAGGCTAAGCAACAACCCTTCTCCCTGACACCTGTAATTCTAGGTGAAGCATCTTGCATGTCCCTGTGGTCTGAAATGGTACAGCCAAACACACGCTTATCACTTGAAAGAGAGCGAGGTTTGGAATATGAATAAATCGCACTTCAATATACATTTCGAGGCGATTTACAACCATACAATAAAACACCTAAAGATAAGTTTAGGAATAATACAAACAAACACCCGAGACAGAGACTTTCCTCCCCAATCCTGCTGAAAAAGTTTGTCAGAAGAAAATGGTTTTTAATTTTTTTCCTGGAAATTACAAATAGGAGGCAGCTGTTGTGTTTCAACAGGTGTGCAGTTCCACAAAAGATTCCCTTGGGGGTCCCTTTACAAATAAGATGTCAAGAATCATTAAAGAGACTAGGACTACTAAAGTACCTAATTGATTTTAATGGCATTCTCTTCATCAGCATTTGGGGAGTGGGATAATTACCTAGCAGAAGTCCCTTTTCCAACCACTTGAAAAGTTAGCTCAGGAATCCCTAGCCGTCTCTTAATACAAGTGTGCAGTGCCGTCTAGTGGACGCCTTGGGATCATGTCAGGCTGTCAACTTTAGAGCTGTGCGCAGGCATACCTAAAAACAGGAAAGCTTTTGAGTTTTTTTCTGATGCAGGGTGGATAAGTTCTGCTCCTCTCTTCCCCTCAAGGAAAACACGCAGCCTCTAAATCGTTTGCCTCTTCGCCCGTGTAACCCATACTTCAGGTAGAATACTTGACCCGTTTCTTTTCTCTAGTAGTGTTTTGTGTGTGGTCATCTGGTCAGATTTTAGCTCTTAAGGCTGGGCTTGAAATTCTTGGAGATCTTTGCAACGAAGCCATGATGCATGGGTGGGGCTTCAAGGGTGGCAGCGAAACTGTCCCCAAATCAAACACATCTTGGTTTTCTTTTTAGCAAGGAGGGTAACTACTTATTTGCAGCATAGCCCTGAAACTTGCTGCATGTCCCCTTTTTGGGGAGTTCTAGCATCTGTGCATCAATAGAGTTAGAGTGCACTGAAAAAGAGAGCTATATATGTTGTGTGTGTGTGTGTGTGTGTGAGAGAGAGAGAGAGAGAGAGAGAGAGAGAGAGAGTGTATTTCTCAGAAAAAGGATCTGTCTTTTGTTAAGCTGTACAGTTCCCTGCACATTAATGGTAATATAAATACGTGTGTGTGTGTGTGTGTGTGTGTGTGTATACTAAGAACTTATGATTATTCAACATGATTCCTGGAATGTCAGTAGACTGCATTCTTGGAGGCAGCATACCACATGTAAAAGTCCAAAAACACCTACATAAAAACCCCTCCATCAACACTCCGAAGCATTGCAAACTTAACAACATTAAGTTTTAAATGTTGCAATGCAGCGTAATTAACCCCTGTTCAGGATTCTGCCAACCCAGTCCATTCTTCCTCCACCCTCTGGTTTTCTGTTTCCCTCCCTCAACAGTCAGTCAACATTCTGTGGCGACTGAGCTCAATCCTCTTTCAAATGGGTTTTTTAAGCAGTGGGATGGGACTTAGTCACCCCCTCCTTTTTTTCATTGCTATGAGTTGGTGGGTGCCAGACTCTCCTAAATTCCTGGGTCCAGTAGGTGTTAGAATTCAGAAGGCTTGGGGAGTTAAACTGGATGCTAGACCCAGCTTTCTGTGTTCAGGGAAATGGGCCATTATGAGAACAAAGGAAAGGTAATGAGCCACTGAGAAATCAAAGACCCTGTGGCAGACGACAAATCAACTCAGAATTAGTTAGAAGACAAAGCCAGAGCTTGAATTAATGTATTTAAGGTTGCAGGCTGGTAAAGGGCAGCAAGCCGGAAAGAGGGTCAGAACAAGATGGTTGACTTATATCTGAATCTAAGGACAAACTATGGGACAAACAAGGCCATTTTGGGTGTTGATGCTGTCAACCCCTTCATCATGGGCTCAGGATGTATATGTGTGTATATAAACCATATATCATAAAGACACCACAGTCTCTGCTTTGCCTCATTTCCAAAAGGAAACATAAACGATGGGTAAGCACTTGGAACGCCTGGAATCTTGCCCCACTCAGATATTGTGGTGGCGTGCAACACTATTCTGAAAATCTAGGGGTTTCCTTAAGCCACTTGATACCTCCCTTTTTATGGGTGGTCCCATTATGGATCCATATATTATTAAGCATGGCATGATGTTTTTCCTGCACTGGTTTTATATGATGAAAACATTTAGTATCACCAGTGGTTATTTCAACATTACAACATAATTACAATGTAATGGGTTGGGTTTTTTTAATGCCTCGATTTTTAATTTTTTATTATTTTTCAGGTTTATACATTTCACTAATTTTACAATCATTCTGACATTTCAAAACTTGACTTCCTTACCCCTCTTTCTGCAGTTCCTTAAATTTATTTTTAATATCTTCTGCATTTCAAAATTAACTGATATAACACAAAGGTTATATCAGTACAGATGGTTGCACTTTTTGTGGAAAGAAACCTAGCCACAACCAGCTAGGTAGTTTCTTCTCGGTTATTAGGGACAGAGCTGATGTCTGCAACAGCCAGGAGGAGAACCCCCGTGTAAAGGGGGTGTGTGTGCCCCTGTATTTCCATTTTTTTATTTGCTTTTATGAAACTGGAAACTTAACGTATTTACTATTATTTACCTTGCCTTTATGCTTCTAAAAAACCTGAAGCCTCTTAGGAATTCTAGGGGCCGAAATCCCAAGGGAGCAGAAAAGACTATTTATGTATGTGACCATGGCTGCGCGGATATAATTAGCTCAGAGACGGAAATAAGATAAAGTTGCTACCAAAGAAGAACGGCAGATCAAGTTGATGGATTCTGCCGAAATGGCTAGAATGTCCGGAAGAATTTGAAATCAGGAAGACCAACATTTTAATAAGGAATAGGGAAAATTTATAATTTATCTTAAAAACTATTGTAAACAGTTAAAATCGTTAGTAGGATTGGAATATCACTTGTGGTTTAATGGTAAATTTTGAACACAGTGGAGAGGTAAAAGATTTGGATTATTATAAAAGATGCAGAAGGAAATGATTCACAACAGGAGAAAAGGGAAGTCCAGAAGATTCTTTGGAATCTTGTTTTTATGTTGTATGTTCGATATGTGACAGTAAAATTTTAATCTGAAAAACCAAATAAATTTATTTTTAAAAAGAAAAAAGAACCTTGCCTTTCTGTTTTTCAAAAAAAAAGAAGCACTTCTTGCAGCATAAATAGCAATAACAAGCATACAAAAAAGGATGTAAAATAAGGCTGGGTTCTGCATTATTAAGCAAACAGCTTCCATTTAATGGACTGTCCTCACCCACCCATCCCCATCTTTATTGAACAAACAACATACAGAAATAAAACAAAAATGGCATGTAAGGCATCAAAGAAAACAAATCAGATGAATAGTTAATTTTCACACAGCTACACAATTCCTTCTCATGTTGCAAATTAGAAAATGATGTTTAAATCTAAAAGCTTAGCAAATACTTTCAAGAGTCACTCAAAGCAGTCAAAAAGTTAAAATACATATTTTGAAAGCTGGTAGTTTTCTAGTTCAACATTGAACCCGGTCGCTGAAATTATGCAATCAGAGCAAGAAAAATAGCATGATTAATTTATACCCTTTGTGGTTTTCTGAGAATGTTATTCACAACTGGAATTAAGTGTAGATGACTGTTTAGATTTTATTTTCTCTCAGGCTACAGGAGCTTTGCAAATAAATCTAATATCGTTAAGAGCTATTTTTTTGTAAACTGAAAAGTGCATCATTCAGTGACTAGTTGTTGATCTGCTAAAATCAACTTCACAACAACACATCTATTTCTTTGAGTCAAGCGGAAGAAAACATCTCAGTAAAGAAACAAGTTTCCATGCCACATTTGCTAGGGATTATTTGCTTTTCTTATAGGAAGGACTTTAATTCATTCTAAATTCTATAATGGACCTTACTTTGCCATTTAAGCACTTGACTCAGGCATTTAAACCTCAGGCAAAACAGAGAAAACAAAGACTTCGGGGTCGTATGTTGAACCACATTAAGAACGGAACTGTGGAACCTCCACACTAGAGCATCTAAATTGCAACGGAAAAGGTCTCAAGTCTTATATTCAGCATCTTCAGGTTGACATCTCTGGGTCCAGGTAGGGCTGTCTGAAGAGCTGCTGTCAGTTCTGTAAAGACTGTTGTGCTAGATGAACGAATGTTCTGACCTAGTATGAGGCGGCTGGCTTTGTCTTATAGTGAGGTTTCATATCCTGAGGATGTTTTGGTGCCTGTGGGGAAAATAAAAATAAAACCCTAATGGCATCCTGCTTAGTGGTATGAATAAACAAAACAATTAAACAACTGACCACTTGTTGTCCTTTAATGGTACGCTAAATCCGCTGTCCGAGACGGGCTCCATCTCCCTGACTTATCATAAGGCTGAAAATCTGTAACAATAAATATACCGCAACTGTTTGCTGATTTGCAGCTTGTCCAAGTTCAAGGTTTTATTTTATTCTATTTATATACCTGAAGTATACCTGAAGGAGAGTCTCTACCCCCATCGTTCAGCCTGGACAGTGAGGTCCAGCGCCGAGGGCCTTCTGTGAGAAACAAAGTTACAGGGAACCAGGCAGAGGGCCTTCTTGGTTGTGGCGCCTGCCCTGTGGAATGCCCTCCCATCAGATGTCAAAGAAATAAGCAACCATCTGATGTTTAGAAGACATCTGAAGGCAGCCCTGTTTAGGGAAGTTTTTAATGACTGATGTGTTAATGTAGTTTTAATCTTTTGTTGGAAGCTGCCCAGAGTGGCTGGGAAAACCCAGCCAGATGGGTGGGGTATAAATGAATTATTACAGTGGTACCTTGGGTTACGTACACTTCAGGTTACATACACTTCAGGTTACAGACTCCACTAACCCAGAAATAGTACCTCGGGTTAAGAATTTTGCTTCAGGATGAGAACAGAAATCGTGCTCCGGCAGTGCGGCGGCAGCAGGAGGCCCCATTAGCTAAAGTGGTGCTTCAGGTTAAGAACAGTTTCAGGTTAAGGACGGACCTCTGGAACGAATTAAGTACTTAACCTGAGATACCACTGTATTATTATTATTATTATTAGTAGTAGTAGTAGTAGCAGCAGAATAATAATAATATAGGATTGTCCTGTATTTCAATGTAAGATACTATGTACAAAGCCATAAACAACCAGGACCCTGGTTCCCTATGCTCTGACTTGATCAGCAAGATCTGCTGGGGCACTTTTCGTGATTCCTGATGCCCCTGAGGTTTGGATGGTGTCCACCAGGGACTATGCCTTCAATGTGGCAGGCCCTTTCTCATGTGCCAAGGAAGTGGGGCGAATTTGCCCATCCTTTCCTTCTGTTCCTTCCTTCCTTCTTCTCCCCTGTGTGTTTGGGGGTGAGGATGGGGAAGTAGAAACCTGAGTGGGACAAGAAGGTTGGCAAAGAGAACAGAATGGAAGATTCAGTGGTTGCACACTCCCCGGTTACCTCAGAGGACTTGGAGGCGATAGAACCAGCACCTGAGGAGAGAAATGTCAATCCAAAGCAGTGTTCGGCACAATTATGTGCCGTGCTGTGCCAACGGCTTACCGTATTTGGATTGCCCTGCTGCTGAAACATGACAAAGGTTGCCCACGGAGCAACGGAGCCAAGTATAATTTCTCAAGTCATTATTCTTCGCCCATGCGGCAATAAACATCACCCATGTGTATTAATGGATAAATCATCGCTGATAAAAATGACCAAACCGCAAGCGGAACGAAGACTCTGGACCTGAGAAGGAGTCGTTTAACGTCTCTCCCATTCCCACATTTATTGATGTTTCCAACAGTTCCGAGTGCAGAGGGAAGGTTGGAAAGTCTTTAAAATAAATGCATTTCTAATGAGTGACTAAACGCCATAAATCACCACACCTCAAACAGCCATGATAAGCTAATGGTCTTCTTTTTATTTAAATACAATATATAACCAAGTAGAGTTCCCTGAGCTACAGGGCAATGTTGAAGCAAACCAGTTTCTCCTTTCTAGGCCTTGAGCCTTAAGGCGGCCGTACACACGCTCCATTTAAGTAGGATATGAGTCAATGCAACACGCGTGCAACTGTGCTATTAAGTCGCCCTGTCCCCCTTCTGTAGGTATAATTTCAGGACCATAGTGTGTTGAACCATCGTTACTCATCCAGGTTTCATATAGGTGTTGGTAATACAACAGGGGCTATAGGGTTGCCACCTGTCCTGTATAATACAGGATTGTCCCGTATTTCAATGTAAAGTACTATGTTCTGTACTGAGTCAAATACAAGACGCAGTTTGTCCTGTATTTCCATTTTGCTGCTTCTTTCCCTCTCCCGACGCTTTCTCTTTCTGCCAAGTTAGGAATCCTCTCCAAATGCCCATCCCAGCTCCTGACTTGGCTGGAGAAACCCCTTCTTGCTTCTTTCCTTTCTCTCTCTCTCTCCCCCCCCTATCTCTCCACATCCTGCCCCCAAGGACGAGCAAACCAGGGCAAGGATTTCATGTCGTCGCTTCCAGTTCCCATCCACAGAGATGTAGCATGGGAACACTGAGCCCCATCCCTCAGAAGTCAACAGGTTCTGGGGCTCCAGAATCAAGCAGTTTTGTGCTAGTGTAGCCCAGAAGGCCCCCATTATGAGCATAGTTATCTGCATAGTATTTGAGAGAGGAAGGTGGGGGAGAGAAGTAGCTTCCCACAAGGCCTGAAGGACCAGGTGCACAGCCTGGGAGTCATTCTGGACTCACAGCTGTCCATGGAGGCACAGGTCAGTTCTGTGTCCAGGGCAGCTGTTTATCAGCTCCACCTGGTACGCAGGCTGAGACCCTACCTGCCCGCGGACTGTCTCGCCAGAGTGGTGCATGCTCTGGTTATCTCTCGCTTGGACTACTGCAATGCGCTCTACGTGGGGCTACCTTTGAAGGTGACCCGGAAACTACAACTAATCCAGAATGCGGTAGCTAGACTGGTGACTGGGAGCGGGCGCTGAGACCATATAACACCGGTCTTGAAAGACCTACACTGGCTCCCAGTATGTTTCCGAGCACAATTCAAAGTGTTGGTGCTGACCTTTGAAGCCCTAAACGGCCTCGGTCCAGTATACCTGAAGGAGCGTCTCCACCTCCATCGTTCTGCCCGGACACTGAGATCCAGTGCCGAGGGCCTTCTGGCAGTTCCCTCGCTGCGAGAAGCCAAGTTACAGGGAACCAGGCAGAGGGCCTTCTCGGCAGTGGCACCCGCCCTGTGGAACGCCCTCCCACCAGATGTCAAAGAGAAAAGTAACTACCAAACTTTTAGAAGACATCTAAAGGCAGCTCTGTTTAGGGAAACTTTTAATGTTTAATAGGTTATTGTATTTTAGTGTTTTGTTGGAAGCTGCCCAGAGTGGCTGGGGAAACCCAGCCAGATGGGCGGGGTACAAATAATAAATTATTATTATTATTATTATTGCCCTCCTCCCCACCACCTAATCTTTCTTTTCCTCTCTTTCAGAAATTTAGCATGTGGAACAAAGTTTGTCCCTCACAGTGGTTCTCAACCTGTGGGTCCCCAGATGTTGTTAGACTACAGCTCCCATCATCCCTGACCTCTGGCCTTGCTAGCTAGGGGTGATGGGAGTTGTAGTCCAACAACATCTGGGGACCCACAGGTTGAGAAAGGCTGCCTCAGCAGAATGTGCCCTCCTATTTATTTATTTTTTGCCCTGACCTACATGTACTGCTGTACAGTACTGCATGCGTGCGAAAAGAGTTATGTGGAAAGTCATGAATTTCAGCTCTGGGTAGCAAAGCACAGACAGATTTACAAATTTATGTTTAGGTGTGTGTGCGTGTGACAAATTCCAGAGGGGCCATCTTGTTAGGCCACAATGGATTGTAATGGGTTGCTCTGAAGTTACTTCAGCACCAGGTGTGGGGGAAATCGTACACCCAAATCTCATACCCTCCAACACTTTGAAGCCAAGACCTGAGACGCCATCTTCCCGTTTTTTTTATCGCGAGAGCACAGTTGCCATTTTGCACCCCAGCCCCCCTCTTAAAAAGCACTTTTACAGGCACAACGTCCAAAAAAGATCTGGTTGTAGTTATCCTAGGCTCTCTGACACCCATTCAGCAATGTTTACGGAGACTGCGTGTTTTGT